ATAAAACCCCCACAAATGCCATCAATCACATCATTTATGCCTGCGGACGGCGAGCACGGGTGACTCGCCGCCCGACTAGAACCAGACCCTAGCGTACGGTGCGTCGCGTTCTGCGCGCCCCTCAAGGAGCCATCAGACCACCACAAATGGAGCCCAATAGGGTTGATGCCGATACGGGTTGCCGGGGCTCCGGCTCGATGTGCAGGAGTAGGAACAGGGTGGTTTTCATTTTCAGTCAGTACGAATCTGACACTCATCTCGCCTCACCCGGGTGAGAGAAATCATTCGATGATTTTCTCCCTCAAAAAAAGGATCGGGATGATATTTCCAACAGGGGTAGAATATGGTCTGGAAGAATACAGAGGCTCCTTTACATCCCACGGGAACGCGAGCGAACCCGCCGGCAGAAGCTAGTACTAAATAACTAGCTAAGTAAGAATACAAAACTGCAAGATTAATGTTAAGCGCATGGCTCGTTAGTGATTTAGATAAAAGTAAATAAATAAGTCGTGAACATATTTCACGATAAAATTCACAATCAAGATTAATCGGATAATCCTATTAGTTAAATATAAGAACTACAGAAAATACAAGGTTACGACCGAATACTGAAAGGGTACTTTTACCACCACTTTAAGTTGTACTGTTGTTGTTATATCTCTGTCATTTTAAGAGTTTGCAACTACAGAACTATACTTAAAATTGAGTGGTCACCGAGTATTTGCACATTAATCACATGAAATTACGTAAATAAAAACAAAACCTGCGTTTAAAAAAACCGACTTCGAAAACCACAACTTAAAAACAAGCAAAAGGTCAAAACTAAAAAGCAAAACATAACTATTATTAGTCTTACGTACTTATAGGTTACCCAGTTACCCACCTACTGATATGTGGGAAGTCGGGTGACATCATCACATCTTAGGTGGAGTGACGATATCCGCTGCGTGGCTGGTAGCGGTTACTGGTTGAATGCGAAGAGCTGAAGATCGAGCTCAGTGACGTGCTATTGGAGAGGCAAATGTCCAGCATTGGACGAACATGGACTGATGATAAACATGTTCTGTGCTTTTTAGTAAAACCTACTTATATCCTACACAAAAATTCGCAAATAACCACGGTAAAGGACGCTCTACACTTCTCTTAAAGTCTCAAGTGGAGATGAAATGCGAAAGTTTGTGAGGATGTGTGTGTGTTTGTTTGTTTGTTACTCTTTCACGCTAAAACGGCTAAACATATTGAGATGAAGTTTGAAACACGGGTAGATTATGGTCTGGAATGTGTTACATAGGCCACAGCAATACGGGCGAAGTACTGGCACAAGCTAATGATAAATAAAAACCAGCAAATATTTTCTAAACATTTATTTAACTAATTCTAAGTTCACATTAAAAAATTTCGTGCTTTCATACAAAGGTAAGATTATTATTTAAACATAGTTTTAGATTAGTGGGTACAAAATATGTTAAGCGAATTAAATGCATTGTTCTTTACATGACTTTAGACAACTAAAGTAGATCATGAGTTTGCAAATTTTCTATAAAATGATGTAGACACAACATAAAGGTTTAAACAGAAGTTAATGTACAGTTTGCAATAGATAATAATAACTTTTAATCCCCTTATAGTTAAGTAAACACCGGGTATTTCAAAATTTCAACACCTAATGTAATTTGTCGGATTTGGATCGAATCTTAAGCCTCTAACTCGGTTATAACTTTTGACTCCAAGGTGGAACATTCTTATAGTCGCCTAAAGAGGACACAAAAAAAACCGTTAGACCCTTATTGACTAAAAACCAATTCGGTGTCCCGTCTTATACGAACCATCGAACTAATAGACCGTATAAAATTAAGTACCTACCCGGTATCAACGCTCACAAACCCATGACACAGGGGACAACACAATCAGTGAATGATGCAAAGATTTCTTTAATTAAGAAATTATCAGAATGTTATGAATTCCATGATAATAATTATTTTATAAACAGCTGTGTAAATGCTACATTTTATCGATTTGTACTATTTTTTGTGAATATTGTGCAAGATTACATTTTGAACCATACACCTTTGTAATAAAGTTTAAAACTTATTATTGAAAAGTCATTGTTTATTATGTCAGAAACTGGCTGGCTGTTATTAAACATCATTTTCACTATATAGTAAAAACAAAGTCGATTTTCGCTGTCCGTCTGTCATGCATAAATTGTTAAAACTGCGCAAATGATGTTAATGCAGATTTTTTCATAAATAGAGCGATTCAAGAGGAAGGCTTATATGCATGTATAATAACATCCTACACCACGCTTGTGAAGACGCGAGCGGAAAGCTAGTTTCTTCAGTAAAATATAACATTTACGCAACTACAACCAATCCTTATATTAATAAATAGCATAATACTTAAACGTGAGATAAAGTACTATAAGTAGCGACAGAGAAATACAAAGCATCTAATTATAGTATAATATAATATAATATAAAGGCACTTTTTAACTAAACTAAAATATATATATTGAGGTAATATAGATATTGTATAGATAGAGCCTACGTTGGTCCAAAAAATATTGATTGAATGTTTTTAGATGAACGTTAAAAATTCGGAGGTTCTCTAATTTCTTTTATTAGTCTTTTTAATATAAATTATTAGCAGAATTATTAGGTTTTGTAACACAACAGATAACTAAAAACGGGACTCCATACAATATCTATATTCTTCAGCATAGTCCCATCAATATTCTTTAGAATCCTTAAAGTTAAAGGTTTAACCTGTAACTGGTAAATATTTAAACAACAGTTTATGATAGAAAATATTACATATATCGTCTTTTTTTTCATTCTGAAATAGCCACAGATTTTAAGCTATTGGCACCAATGTATATTTAGAGATAAATGTAAGTAACTTTATCTTGTATATAATAAATTGTAACAGGTCAAGAACTTATGTTGCCCGACTAGGGTATCGAACCCAGGAGTGGGCAAGCAGAATCTGAGACGATAACCTTGGCGAAAATTTTAAGTACACAAATGTAAGTTTTATTATTTACATGTTAACTGTTTTCAAAAATTCCCAATTATCATGCCAGCTCAACAATAAAAAAATACTTTAAAATATTAAAAAAAAACACTAATCAGTTGACCAATCTATAACAATGTTATCAGAGATTTACCAAAGTGGCAATTACATCGATCCTAATAAATATTGATAATACGAAAATTTACTGTAACTTGATAAAATAAAATAACAAGATTCTACAACGATACATTGATAAAGGGTATTTATTTGTAATCTTTTAGCTACACCATGTATTAAGGTCATTTGTAAAAGACCCCCTAAATGGGTGAAATTAATTTTCAATCAGATTCTATTCGAAGTTACTTGCAGTCAACATAATGAAATGACATGTGTTTACCTTTCATTCTCTCTTGTCAGAAGTCATGATAGCATACCTTCTTCATGTTCAATTGCTAAACTCTTGGTTTGTCGGAACATAGGTCTAAGCAAGACAATATATTTTTTATTGTATTATGATACAGCGGCTGGCGGGAGACCGATACCCAATCTATCCAACCCGTGGATTACGTGTAAGTTCCAACAAAACGTGAAAAATTACCAGGAGTAAGAAACAACTGTGCTATCTTAACCACTGTCTTGTAGTTTAAGACTTTGACCGCCATTAAAAAACTGTTGAAGGTAAATCCTCCGCTAACGCCGGTCACCGGTGACCCCCATGGCGTTTAACGTGTTAACATTTTAGAAAATGCAATAATAAGGTAAAATGTACTCCAAATACATTATTTATTAATACTATTACACATGTCTATGTATTTTGTTATTCGCTACAACACAACTAACATTCCTTTCTAAATTAAATAACATTAATATTGCATAAAATTAACGAAATCATAACAATAGTTTATCACATATAAAAATACCTAACGCATTCTACATTATAGACTCGATTCAGGCAAGTTGAATATACATACAATTATATTTGATTGCATTAAAGTAAAATAAAAAAACTATAACGTTGACAAATCTAATCGTTAAGATAATGATCAGAAATGTCAAACTAAAAAAGGCTTCCGAGTGTCGATAATATTCAATAGGGTAGATGCCTAATTTTTATTTTAATGTCCGTCTGGTAGATTATTTTAAATCGTTAGACACGTATTTTTTATTTTCTTAAAGAAACGAATACTTTCGTTGATATAATGATTTGAAATGTCGCGTGACGTCACTTCTATGTAAATTTTATACGTAGAAATGACGTTTTAGCACCCACTCACCACACACAAGTATCATTTTTAGACAAAATAAAAAATACGTGTCTAGTATTTCTCCTTACCTAACTTACGGACTAATTAGATTTTTAATTTTCACACCCTGTCAACATCCCTATTGAAAAAGGTTAAGTACAATTCAAGACTGTAATTTTACTCAGAATCTTAATAATACTTTGACAGAGCTGAGAATTGAACTCGAAAAATCATAACGAATGTTCATTAATCCAGAAAACATATCGATATTTCAAAATATTATTAAAAAGGTATTATAGGATCCAAATAATGTAAAACAACATTAATACAGGATTATAATACTTTATTAAACGTCATACTATCAAGTAATCATGCAATGATAAATAAAATTTTAATATTTCGATAACAATGACTGTTGTACCTTATTTTGCATTTAACGCAATCAAATGTATAAGAACATGCATATGCTATTGGTTTATATGCATTATCAGATAAAAAAAATAGTTTGAACTTAATATTCGATAAAATTGAACAGACTGAAATTATCGACATTCGCTATACACTATCGACAAAATATCGAAGTTCGTCGTTATACAAAAACAGTAGCTAGTTTTGATCGAGTGAAGTAATTTTTCTTTTAGAAAATAATCATAACTTAACAGTGTTTACTGTTTATTTGGTTTTGGATAGATAATAATTATAAATATAATCTCATAACGATAAGTCACCTGATGACGTCACAGTTTACGAGTATGGCGTGCGCGGGTTCACGTTGATCATCTCCGTAGTGCTGCAAAATTAAAAACATATTTTGTTTTTTTTTACTCTGTAATAGCTTTGTAGATTTAAGGCCTGTTTTACATGTCTACATAGCCACTATGTACTAGATAAGATAAAGGACAATGGGGAATTTTGGGCCCACCTCACAATAGGAATAAGATACCCCTCTATAGATATCAAATTGAAATGACTTTAGGACGTCGTACCTCCGAGGATACTAACATTTGACCAAAGGTATACTAGTAACTATTGTTCTATTTGAAAATCCCTATCCTACGACGTATCACATGTTGCTATTAAGGGGTGGGCACACTCCAAACGTTCGATTCACAGTCCTTTGAATGTAGACCGTAATTTGTAATATTTTGCTTTTATCTGGTTCTTATATGAAGGTGGTGAAACAGGCTCTTAGTGACGTAGAAATAAAGATAGCTCATATCCTGAAATAATCTGTCAGAAGATTTAACTACATACAACTAAGGAGATTCCTTAAGAATTAAAAAATAAGGTCCACACAAAATGTGTCCTAAGCTATAGTAATTAAGTCTAGTAGGCAAATCTGAAACTGACAATCAATACGATACAAATAACTAGATGAATTAGATGAAAGTTATACAATAAATATTATAAATAGAATGAATACTCATTTACAGTAAGTTAAGTTGAATTTCGCACTTATAGTACACAATCTGTAAGTACGAATTTCATTGCTTAATTCAGTATAGGATACATTCTAATATTATAGTAGTGTGTTAGAAGGTGGTGGGGAAAGGAAGGGTTGAAAACGAGCCATTTTGAAAACAAACTTAATCAAATAATCAATTACGTTATCCTTGTCTAAGTCGAGGTTTTAAACAATAATAATATATACGTTTATAAACAGTTCAGTAAATTAATAAAAATAAAAGTCGAAGTGTCATAGAACTGTGCCACAAAGTCGATATTTACACATACCTACATTTTATCGGCTTTTAATTGACGCTTTTTAATATAAAAACTAAATGAATAGTAAAAAATAAAAAAATATAAACTACTTCTAACTATCGAATAGTCGTAGAGTAGTACATACAGTTTAGTTTTGTCTTGTGAACTACCCACGGCTGCAGCTTCGGAATATTCCTTCCACATATTGCTACAAATGGTTATTTAATTTCATTGCAGCACTATTTTTTAATACTCATGCTCAGGCTAAAAACTCGGACTATTATAGTGTTGTTCTATTGTGTACGGTTATCGATATAGTGATGTATCTTTATGCATATTTTATCGATAAATAGATTGCATTTTTTATTTCTTTACGATATAAAAGCAAACTTATTGTCATACACCGGTCCTAGTGTGTTTTCTGAAGAAGTTAATATAACTTTGCCCGTGATTTAAGAAGTGGTTTGAAGTTAATATACAGTAGATAGTAAGGAAGGTACTATACATTTTAGCCTACAAAAAACATAATGATTTATTCATACAGGATATAAAAATTATTTAAGCAACACTTTAAGGTCCAAATTACAACACTCATGCCACTGTACAATGAGCACCCACTTTTCACTATTTACGTTATGAGTCCCATGTAATAGGGGGTGAGCCTATTGCCATATACCGGGCACAATTCCGGGTGAGTTTGTTGTATATGTTGGCTACCCAATCGAGTCAAAACTGCTAAAAGGATCGGGCTGGAATTTGGAAATGGGTAGATTATGGTATGGAATAACATGTAGGCTACTTTTTATCCCATGGGAACGCGGGTGAAGCCGCTTAGCAGAAACTAGTATAGGAATATATGAGTTTTTAGCCCGAGCAAGAAATAAAGTGAAATTTAAAGACTGTTCTGAAAAAGTCAGTTCAATTGTCATAGCGATGCTGACGTTTGGAAAATTAGTTGGTTTGGTCAGGAATTAAGTTCAGTTCGACGGCCCAATAATCTGCCGTCATCACTCGACACTGGCAGTATAGTCGACAACACTGTATTGGAGTCTCCGTTGCCAAAAAGAAAAAAAAAGAAAAAATAAGTGGTTTGACATTGTATGGAAGAAGCATCGACTTGGCCTAATTATGGCTCCAAATTAAGATTTTTCCACAACCAAAAATAAATTGTTTGTCTAAATCACCAAACCAGATATTTTTACATGTTTACATGTAGCATTTAACACACATTGGTGCTTAAACTGCTAAATTACTGAGCCTCATAGTCCAAAGAATAAGTTATAGCAACAGAAACAATTTTAAGACATAAAACCATAGAACTAAGGTCTATTTTCCTCTGTCAGACATCGCCAAGACATTCAAGATAGCAAACTTTTCTTCTAAATAATAGAAAATAAAACAAATAATAACTTACTTCGGCTTATGCTCTGGCTCTTCGTTTATGAAGAAAGTTTGGGACATGGGAGGGTAGAGTCTGATGTTTACATGCAATTACATTATGCTGTTAGTAACCAATCCTGAACCTTATTACTAATACATTAAGCGTGGAATTGATTTACATTTATATTTACAATTCTGTCGTCTTAGTTTACTGATGGCGGCGCCACTAGCGTTTTTAGTCGTCAAAAAAAAACTGTACACAAGGGTTGTGTATTGTACAAAATCGAACCGACCACCGTGAAAAACATGCAATTTATCGGCCGTTTCCCGTTTAACGTTTCTTGCTTAATTCCCGTAACGACTTTTATTTATCAATAATTTGACTTAAACAAAAAATGCCAATAATTGCTACATGTTGCATTAATGGTTGATTGTATTTGAATCTTTCAGGGCCGATTTTTCAATCAACATACATATAACTTTTACTGACAGTCCTTGTATAAAAAATGTGTTACAATTTAGTTACTTATCTAGCGTTATAAAAATCAGTCTTAAGTCAAAATAAAAGTGGTTACAGTCAAAAGAAACGTCAAACAATAAAATGGTTGCTATAGAAGGTCTAGTAATACATACCTCTTGGAGCACTTGACATGAATGACGAGTAGTACGATGCCCAGCAGTAAGCACAAAGTTCCCACCACGACATAGGCCACGCCCAAGAATGGATTCTTCCCTCCCAGCAAGGACGTCGTCGATATTATGAACGACTTGGTACCGTCAAAGTCAGTTACCGGATAGTCTGCGAAAAAGGAATTTAATGAAATGTCTAATTAATGAAATACAATATGTATTATTATTATTACAGTGGCATTAAGTGCCGTAATGTGCACCTCTGCCTACCCCTTCGAGGATAAAAGGCGTGATGTTATGTTATGTTATTATTATTATAACTCGTACACCTTTTATGCAAACAATAATATTTAATATTATAACACCTGAAACCCGATGAGCTTATTTATTTAATTACTTCTTCACCACAGATAACAGTGAATGGCGGACTTAATGCCTTAAGGTATTCTCTGACAGTCAACCATAGGGTAGTGCAGAGAAATGAATCGGTTGATGCGAAGCCAGAACACAATAAAAAAAAGAAATAATTCTTATTAAATAATATGCATACTACTTTTTTATACCACGACGGTGGCTAAAAAGCACACGGCCCACCTGATGGTAAGCGGTTACCGTGGCCTATGTACGCACTACATACATAAAAACATAACATAACATCGACAACAACATACGAGTCCCATATAATATGGGTGGATGGGGGGTGAGCCTATTGCCATATACCGGGCACAATTCTAGACTCCGTGCGACTACTGAGAATTTTTTAAAACCCAGTAATACTTTGCTCGAACCGGGAATCAAACCCGAGACCCCTTGCTCGGCAGTCGCACTTGCGACTATACAATCGGGTATCCTTTCGGTTTCTATTCCGGGTTCCTTACTCGAAAATTATTTCAACTTCTCAATGCAAATTAATATTTAAATTTAATCGGATAAATTTCATTAATATAGCCAATTTTGAAGAAATAAGAATATTATTTGACGTCACAAGTCGTGTATCTTATACAAAAAATATCGATATTGACATTTCGATAAAAGTATTGAATTTGGCTAGTTTTTAAATGCTAGTGGTAATATATTATTATAAATGTGATCAACTTACTGTAGTCTACGATGAGTTCGTATGCTCCCTTGGCGAGTCCAGTGCTGTAGCCGAGCTCCTTGTGGTCGACGCGTCTGTACAGCTTGCGGAACGTGGGCAGCGCCGCCGTGCGCATCCATACTATTAGGTCCTCGTTCTAAAGTAATAATAAAAGGTTTTTAAAGATAAAACGTAAACAGAGAATAAAAGATAGGCGATTTTTAGAATAATAATCAAAATTGATTAACAGTACTGAGTTAATATCCGTTTTTACTCGAGTGTTTAACTACTTTTGGATTTTTATTGGATACAGGTCTTTATCCTTAAAATATACCACATAACATTACGCCTTTTATCCCCGAACGGGTAGGTAGAGGTGCACATTATGGCACTTAATGCCACTGTACAATGTAACACCCGCTTTTCACTATTTATGTTATGAGTCCCGTGTAATAGGGGGTGAGAACGCAATGAGATTTTTTTTTAAACCCAGTTATACTTTCCCCGACTCGGGTATCGAACCCGATTACCCTTGCCCGGTAGTCGCACTAGCGACCACTCGTCCAACGAGGCGGTTTTTTTTCCTAAATGAAAATAATATTGGTATAATTCATTGGTGTAAAACACCAATTAATTTATAATAGTACCAATATTCCGTTTATTCCTTAATCAAATATTCAATAAATTACTTTTAATTGATCATTTTAAAAATTACCTGGAATCCATTGTTCTCAGTATTATTAGGGTCCAACTCCCAGACATTGACTCGCCAATTTTCAGGCTTTGTGAAATTTGCGAATGCTGTAATGTATAAATAAAAAGAATAAGAAATATAGTAAAAATAAAGGAATTTAAAGGTTGAATATGTTGCTTATGGGACGACGTGCTCCATCGTAGACCGCATCATCGCTTACCACCAAGCAGAGACAATGGTCAAGCATCGGCCCACCAATATAAAAAAAAATCTTTCTTTATTGTCTATACAGAAGTCATAGTAGAGAAAATCTTTAGCGAGTTATTTTGAAACTGTAATTTTTTTTAAAGATGGCTTCACTTTAATTTAAAATAGCCAACGTTAGCCTATGAAATTCTCTTGTTATTCAATTTTTATACAATTTCATTTACTGTACATTCATTAAGGTTGGTATTATAAAACGATCCTCGGACGGAGATCTCTCCTCAGGAATAGTTGGAAATGGATACATATATCGAAAGTATTTCCATCCCTTTTAAACTGTTGAGGATTTGTTCGAGTATCGTTTCGTAATACCGGCCGTAGTTTGATTAGGTTTAAGAAATAATAACCACATAAATACCTGTCTTAAGATCTCCAGGGGGGTTCCTGAACTTGATTTGCTTGTCAGACTCCCAAGCGATCCCTGTGCGCAGCACCGGCACGTTTGATTTCGAGATATAAGAGAACACCGTCAGCGTATCTGAACAAATATTGGATAGTTAATTACATTGATTTAAATAAAAATCGATCTCGATTCACGAATAGTTTCACGACCAGAGGGCTTAGTACGAGTTTCTTTTTCGGTTAAAGTAATCGAAACGAGACGGCGTTCGGTGCTCTGATTGGTTGGTTCATTGGAGCCGGCCAATCACAGCGTCGAACGCGTATTCCTTACGATTACTTTGAACGAAAAAGAAACTCGTACTTAGGCCTCAGTGCGCGCGACGATTGACGCAACGTCGCGCAGTCAACGTACGCACGTTACACAATAGTAATTATTTTATTATTAAAACTATAATACACTTAATCTGTAAAAATTATTGAATAAACATTTTTATTTTTTACCTTTGCGTCGTCCATACAGACAAAAAGTGAGAACTAACACACCCGTTTAAGGTCGCTTTTTCATTGCTATGATCTAAACTTTTTGCTAGAATACAGTACTTTCTTTCAGTACATACCATTGAACAGAGAGTTGGCTATAGCACCACATGGGGCCACAGGTTTTTCCTTCCCATCCTCCATGGCATATGCAAACGGCAAGCAGTCAGTTGAAGGCGTCTGAGACAGGCGGCCCAGTAGCTGGCTGTCATCCCTAAAAAAATAAGAATAAAAATATGGAGTAAAGGCTCCATTTTACAGGATACCATGGTCGTGCAACCATGTCATGGTCGTGAGCTCAACCAACAAATTCTATTCAGATCAATAACGTGTCTTTTAAATCGGTTGCGTTACTGAGTGGCGACAGCCGAATAGTTGTCTCTCGCTGCATGTGGCCACTCTGCAGCCAGTCGGGACTCGAGGTCCGTTGTCCACGTAACCGGAAGTCATGCGCACGCTTTCGTCAAATGGTGATTGCAAAACGAATGCTTGCATCTTGCGTAGAAAAATCATAACTCGGAGCGGCAACGTTGCGTCTTTACGTCACTCAGTTCTTATTAAAATCCGCTTATCGTTATTTATAGGTTGCATGCATTTGTCAAATGAAGCGTCGTAGACAGCAGGCTTAAGGATTTCGGGTTTTTTTATTTTTAACCAAGGTACGCAACAAATTCCAGGACCCTAATGCAGTAGGCCGTTTTTTTTGATGGGGTATCATCCAATGACTTCTCCCACTGACGTCAGACTCTTACTGACTAAAACCACTCCGTTCCTTCTGCCATATAACTATTGTGATATTGCTAATTGCAAGTTAAATAACAATTGTAAAACTACGCGATTGGTCAAAAATATTTGGTAATGAGCCTAATGAAATGAAGCATGTGTATATATTCATTGCATGCATATATTCCCCGTAGCAGGTTGTATATCTAGGGTAAGAGCGCTTAATTATAGCCTTAATATTAAATGCCGACATTCAACTGTATCTAGGTTAGTCGGGAATGTCAGGGTCAGGGTAGCCATCTCTCTGTAACTCTGTAGTCGTGGAAAATCAATAAGAGGCATGTTAAAACAAACAAATAAAGATTTCTTTTCTGCAAAGTAGGTTTGGTGTTGCGCCCTATAAGTGACAATAAGCCGACTCCCATTACATGATTGACACAGTGACACTGATAATATAAGAGGTGAAAAGTATTATATGTGTGTATGTGTGCACCTCTGCCAATCTCTTTAGGGCTTGGGTATATTGCTGATTAATATTCAAGAAAAACAGGAAATCCAATAAGGAAATCTTATTCACAACATTTGTCAACCACATCATTCCAATAGCATTTTTAGAGGGGGGGGGGAAATCATCCAATGATATCTCCCGCCTGGGGTGAGGTGGGAGGAAGTGTCAGACTCATACAGACTTAAAACCACCCCATTCCAAGTCCTATTTTGAGGCGGAACTCGTGTAACCTGTTAGGTTGCCTGCAGCTCCGGGATTCATTTCAGTTGGAAAACTATGTCCAATATAATACTTAATTTCCTTTCACATAACATCACGTCATCACCCCATAATTCCTTGGAGGGATTGGTATAGAGATACTTATCACATTTTACCAATAATGTTTTAAGTCTCATGTTATTACATGTTATTGCGGTAATATTATTGTTATAACACAATTCAGTTTTGGATGCAAAGGAGAACGGCAGATTTTGTACCGCTTCGCTAAAAAAAGATTTGTCATTAAAAAATTGGGTCATTATAGAACCTCCTAAGTACGTTATGTTAGCATATTTAATAGATTTTTAAAACTTGGGAAACCCTAGAAAAACTGATATTCAATAATGATAAAAAGCAATCCACTATACGTAAAACGAACCGCGATTGACGTTTAGAAAGTTGCCATGCGTAAAGATGAAATCAGAGCATATTGAATTTCGCTATTTCATAAACTCATTTATTTTAATATCTATCAATGAAATATTTTCCTTTCCATTTCAAACATTTTTATAAGTAAATATAAAAATCTACATCCAATCTAAATCTACGTCTACATGGATTATTAATGATAATTAACATTTTAACAAACTTGAATATTATGGCAATGTTGAACTGGCATTTGTCTTGATGACATTGACAATTAATTTGTCAATACTGGCGCATTGCTGTTTGTTTCAAATGCGATGTTATGATGTGTTTGTTGAATTTGAAGTTATTTTATTCATCTGGTGATACGTTGAGTTTGGCAACCGTTCCTCCGTAGCCCAAATTGGTATTATTGGCATCATTCTTGTGACAATTGCGAAAAGACACTTATTTACATTATTTTGTGCAGTGTGTTGTTATTTGTCGCGATGATGAATTTACAGTGTATTAATTGCATTCAGAGTTTGTCGCACATGAGACGGCATGCTCTAGAAAATGAGAGTGAAGATTAGACGTGGTCAACAATATCCCAATGTGGACTTATCCTAGAGATGTAAGTACCTAGTTTACCCATAACATATCGAAAGTCACCATGTTGCCTGAATAAAAGAAGGCGCATAGTGTTATCTACCCATAATGTATCATTTTATTCTTTTTATTCTAGATCTCTCCTACCGACCATATTTGCAATGCTTGCTGGCAATTAGCAATGTATCGGGATGTTGCTGAAAGTATGTCCAGCAAACAAATTGGTCACTGGCATGTTTGTGTCGTATATGGGTGATTCATTGCAATGATAAGGTGACGCAGGGTTTTAATTGAAGGCGCCAACAAACAGGAGTAAAGACTGGCTCATATAGTATTTGATTGGATTCAGCCACAAGAGGTAGGTAATAAAGCATAATTTAACCATACTATTATCTATATACAGTGTAATCTAAAGTCAATATCATATTCTAATAATATTACTTATTTCAGCTTACTTCCCATGATGAAGATCATGTTCCATACTGACTGAGAGACCGTACAAGAGTCGAAACTATAAAACCACAACCTGACATACCACCTTACAGTGTTCACTATCAGGAAGTAATGTATTATGTAAACATGGACTAAGCCTCACTTTAACATTGCCATTTGTAGAACAGATGAGGCCGGATGACGTTGTTCGGCTCTCAAAGCTTCAACAGGTATGCATTCTCAATATAATGTACCTACATAATTATGTATCTATATGGAGTATATAAGCGGTTTCTAATAGGTTTATACTCATGCTATAATTATAATTTATTAATTAGCATGCTGTTTGAGCTCCTATGATCTGTGTTATACGAATAACTATAATAAATGTTATAAAATGAAGTAATGTAATCAAATATTTATTTTTATCTTTTCCATTTTAAGATAGGGAATCAGACTTATTATTATAACATATAAAACTAAAGGAAAAAAATGTACTTTTGTTTACTTTATTTACAGTTATCTTACTTGTTTACAGATATCAGCAATTGATGTCTGCTGTACCTATGACACTGCCTGTTCTCTTTTTAGATGAAGTACTCCTAGAAACAACCTGAATACAATGAAATAAAAGTATTTCAAAATAATACATTTGTTTTATTTTAACCTAGTAAGTAACTATATATTCCATCTTGATAAAAGTGATTTTAAGAATCAATCTATAAAATAAATGCCATATTTAATTTAGATAGCTTTAGTTTTATACCAAAAATGTTCATTTTCTTTAGTTGTAATGTGGTGGCCCAGAGGTTTAAGAAGCCCGCTTCTCATGCATGAGAGTGCGGGTTCGAAACCTACCAACGGCAAAGTACCTTTTGTCCAATGTGTCTTTTTTCAGAGTTATTGGTATATTCAATAATCTAAGAAAGTACAAAGACACCGCTGACGAATGGTGAAGGAAAACATTGTGAGGAAACATGGGCTTATAATTTCTTATTATAAGTTTGAATTACCAACCCACATTGAGCTAGTATGGTGATTAATGCTCAAACCTCCATGCGAGAAGAGGCTTCGGTCAGCAGTGGCCACTTATAGACTTAATGATGAAAATGTTGATGATTCTACTAATTTGACTTACTTATTAGAAATTAATCCTTACATGCGTGCTAAGCAACCAGTTTTCAGAAGAGATACTTTCTCAAAGAGCTAAGCTAAGTTTAAATCGAATTAACTTGAGACCCTTGAGACTATCTACCTGCAAGATTCAAGGTGAAGTGAGACATTAGTTTTATCATATCCGCCACAAGACTTCCACTGCTAAATGTAGGCCTTCTACCCAATGACAGTCGCTTACATTATGAATTTGCATTTTCGTAGGCACCTAAGAAATGAAAAAGATTGTGAGGCATACTCTTTAAAACTCTATAGTTGCATCATGCTTGCTGAATTAACAGGATCATTCCTAATTGCCTTTTGCGCTGCGACGCACCATAGGTTATTTTTTGGGTTTCTAAATTCTTGTTGTGTGTCGTAGCAAAATAAATGGTTTTTCTTTCTTTCTTTCTTTCTAATAATACAAAGTGTAATAGTCACTTGAGTAGCGAGCAGTATTTTTAGATTTTTGTTTTTTGTAAATAAACAACCACATGAGAGCACATTGACATTTTTCAGTTAACTGTCATCTGTCATTTGTAATAGATATTTTGCTTACGGTGGCTCTACACTTGACGTTGCGTATTTGTTGTGTTCGGCCAAAAAAGAACATGTTTGGAGGATTTATTCTTCTTTGTTTGCTATATATTTGCACGCCATTACATATAGAGATACTATTTGGACGCCATTTGTACGTAGTCTACAAATATTTGTAGAAATGAAGCGACTACGCAATGTCAAGTGTGGTACCACCTTAACATACCGTTTGCACATTTTCAAAGTGAAATAACTTTTGAACCCCAAGTTCTAAAAATATGTAATTTTTTTCTAAACTTCAAAATAAAAATATCTATCGTTCAGACTATTCACTTGGTTAAAACAATGACTAATACAAAATTTTATAGCGGTACAAAACTTCCATACAAACCTGCCATTCTCCTTTCTAAAATCCAATATAACAACAATATGTTACCCACCTCAAGAATGAAGCCTATGTTAGTCATTCCTCTAGCCAATTCAAATAAACTCTCAGATTCAGATATTCAAATCTCAGATACTAGCTTCTGCCTACGACTTCATACGCGCAATCCTGTGTCCCCTTCCCGTTCATGATTTTTGGTAAAATGTAAAAAAAGGAATTGAATAAAAAGTATCCTATATCCGTCTCCTGGTTCTAACCTTCCTTCCTCCCCATCCATTTTCATCCAAATCAATTAAGCCGATCTCGAGTTATAAACAGTGTAACTAACACAACTTTCTTTTTTTATGATTTAAAATATATATTAGCAATAGATATTAGATATGCACCAAATATTCAGTTACTATCTGGTATCCGGCTTATCCGGCCGGATACCGGATGGTAATGTACTATCCCACCGGATACCGGATAGTAAACTTAGTAATTTTATAAATGAAATCTATATAAATGAAGACACAATTGAATCTTTTTATTATTTTAAACAATTTTAACTTTTTATAATAACAAATTAACCTGCACGGCGATCGGCGTAGCGGTACGGGACACACATCTACGAAACTCAAAATGTAACTATCACTCTGCCGGTCAAATATTCGGCGGCCGGATACCGAATATTCAGCTGGTGGTCAGGCCGAATATCCGATATCCGGTATCTGGCCAAACAACTATTCATTGCATCTCTATTAGATAATATAGAATAGAAATACTGCAACCTACCTTGACTTGACATATCGTCGATGATTTTGATAGTAGTTGCTGAGACCATAGTAAAAGTAGACATCTCCCTTGAAGTCCTCAGTCAAATTGAATGGGAGGCGGCAAGTGCAATGTTTCATATCAGTCCGTTTGATATAATCCGCACATGTTATATTTTCTCCTTCTTTCAGACAACGTGTGTAATCTATCACATGTTCTTTTACCTAAAAAGTAACAGCTTTTAATTATGTGCAATAATGTAATACTAGGTCAAAGCAATGCTAGAGGTTTAGAATAAATTTGATTTAAAACTTTATCAGGTAATCTTCTTAACAAATTACATTAATCCTCATTGAATGGACAAGCAAATTCATTAGACATTTAATAAACTTGGGAGTTTACCTCATCAGAAAAGTAGAGTAATCCTATTCCAACGGGAATAAACGCAATGCCTATTACAAAAAACGTTGGCAAAACTGTCCCCGCAGTGAGAATAGGCTGCCAGGCAGGCAAACGTTGTTGTTTAAATGCAGATTCTAGAAACAATTTAATAAATTAGTCCAATTCCCAAATCGATACCTACAAGGCCATTTTTAAGGTGCGCCAAAGTGCCTTACCTGCAGGGCGCCTGGATTTCACATTTTGTTCCGACGTTTCACTGGACGTCGCCATTGTAAACAATATCTATGATTTCGTAAATGATCCAATCTAAAATTAATAATTACGATTACGACTTTACGACGATGAACACATCACACTAACACAATCACATCACTGTTTTTCCTCAAAGTGTTACCAACGCTAAAGGCTAAATATAGCAGAATGTCAATAAAATTATTAATTCTATTAATTTATCTGGTTTTAAAGAAACTAATTCACGTGAAATAAATTTGCATGAATGAATAACATGAAATATGACACAAGATTTTTTGGTTAACCACTCGTGTTCATAATTTATTACTTTTATTTTTCCCGTATGTCAGGGACTCATGACAAATATCCCAGGTAAGTCAACACCTAACTTCATGACATGACAGTAAACAAATGTCAAAACTGTGCTGCCATGCTTATGTACCTAAATCTACTAAAAAAGTAGTTTTAGCAGGGAATCGTAGTAAAACATTACATTCTAAAATAAAATAAAAAAATACGTAACATTTCAGTGATATGATAAGTTACTTTTTCTTTACTTTGTTTAAAATTTCCCTCTTCAGAGCAATGATTCTTAATTTAATAATAAGTCTTCTAGTTTGAGGGGTTTTTCAGTCTGACACCAAGGACCTTGTCTAACATTATAATTCCTGTAAATTCGTTTACAAATACAAAAATTCACACTTGTCCCTTGCAGGAGTCGAACCCGCCACACAGTAGGTACTCCAGACAGCCGTTATAACTTAATGGTAGAGTAATAAGCAGCTAGGTAAGTAGGAATGATAATTAAAAAAAAATTCTCAGTAGTAGCACGGAGTCTGTAATTGTGCCCGGTATAAGGCAATAGGCACACCCTACTACATGGGACTCATAACATAAATAATGAAAGTGGGTGTTACATAGTAGTGGCATAATGTGCACCTCAGCCCCCTTCGGGGATAAAAGGCGTGACGTTTTATATAAGTAGGTAACGTTTCATGGTTTTAATGAATAATTTTGTTTAAAACTCGTGGCGTCGACTAGGTACTCTTATGATTTAGACAAACATCATTTCATTTTCAATCGAAAACTTTATTATTACATTCAAATGTTTATAATTAAATATAAAAATATGAGATACTTAGATATCGAGCACTTATCTTTGATATCGAGTAATAAAAGCCTAAAATTAACTTTGTGGGCTTTAAGCGTCCTAACGTCATAAATAACAAATAATTTTATAACAAACAAGGCATTAGTAGGTTTTACGATGAGGTAAGCAGGCAGAAATATAAGCCGAAAATTATATTCCGATTGAACGCTTTACATGTTCCACAGTAAATGTTTTTATTTAAAGATGGAACATCATCCAATGACGTCTTGCCTTGGGTGAGTGAGTCAAGGGAGTCACACTTACTGACCAATAACCACCCCGTTCCTACTCTTGCTCTCTTGCTCTTCGGCCGGAGCCGGAGCTCCGGCAACCCGGTAAGCCTTTCGCGGATCCGTATCGGGCATCAACCCTACTGAGTCCTGTCTATGGTGGTCTCATCTCAGGTCTGATGGCTCTATGAGGCCCGCGTACCAAGTCGTGACTATTGGACCTAGCATGTTAATCACTAGCTGTTGCTCGCGAAGTCCACGTAGAATAATGACTTCTGGGAGAATTTGTGTTTATGAATTAGTCTTTTCCAAGGTATAATCGTATCAGTAACTAAGTTATTTTTATTGTGAAATGAATATAATTTCGTGGTTTCAAAAAATATAACTAAATAAATAAATAAATAAATAAATAAATGGTATTGAGTTCGGCTTTATATTCCGTACTCTAAATGTTATTTTAACACCTACGATAGGGGTTGTATAGATTTGACATTGGATACCTAATTATTGAGATTTTATTGGATTGAAATTGCATTGACATTGAGATTGGTTACATAAAAAATATAAAGAAATATATAAAAATATTACGAAATTCTTCATAGTGTCTAATTAGTAATCACTTACAACAAATGCGTACAGTTACAGACTAGCATGCAATTATATTCTAATATACATAACATTCATTTATTTAAAATTCTCAAGTTACATTTCGATATATTAAAAAAACAGAAATATAATAGTCCTAACCACCGGTAGCTTGGACCATGCCCCCGCCCGCTACTGGTCGGCTCCTATTTTTATATTTATAATATACTAGCGACCCGCCCCGGCTTTGCACGGGTGCAATATGCATGTATTATACATATAAACCTTCCATAAGAATCAGTATCTATTAAAAAAAACCGCAACAAAATCCGTTGGGTATTTTTAAAGATCTAAGCATACATAGGGACAGACAGGCGGCGCATAGCGACTTTGTTTTATACTATGTAGTGATTACATTATTATTATAATTGAAAATTAATGTATAGGTACAGTTAATGTTACAACATTAAGCCTTTGTTAATAACTTTATATGACGTAAAATAAAGGTATATGTATTGTAAATACGTAATTATATATGTGTGTACGTAATTATGTATGCATATGTATATATATTAAATAATCCAAATTAACTTTTTTATGATAAGCAGTAACACAATTATAAAAGAATAAAAACAAAAAAATTATACCCCAATAAAAGTAAATAGAAGCGAAATATTTAACTATAAGTACTATATTTTCACATAGACGTAAAGAAACTAAATGTGTGACTAAGATTATTGTTTTAAAAATAACTAACTTATCCTAAAATAAATAATACTTACTATTAGTGCTAGTAATTAGTTAAATCTGTAGATATGTATAACGGGCTTGTGTCAACTAACAATGAAACCAATGGATGAATGTTTCTAGGCGTAAATTGTAATACCTAAACAAGGAAAATCTAAATAATTTCTTATTAAAATATAAGATTATTGTTATTTTTACAAATTAAAATCGAAAAACTCCCCCCTGGCCGTGAACGCCAATCAGAACGTATTACGTTACATGGTGATATAAAAATATTAACAGATTATTCCTCGGACGTTTATTGTCATTTCGACGAAATCAAAATAGTTATCGTTTGATTTTCGTTTTAGTTTATTTTTATTGAAAAATGAATGAAAGTAATTACAAGTCTTTGTTTTATCACGGTTGCTTCGCGTAAGCAGCACGTAGGGCACCAAAGGAACCACCTAAATGACAATATAAAATCAATGTACAGTCAGCTCAAATAGTTGTTAACACGAACCTATATATTTTATATGTCTATGACAGTTAGTAACGTTTACGGTATTCAAATACTTATTTCAATACCTTATGTATTGTAGGTACATAAATGTTTTATGTGTAAGGTTTTATCTTTAACTCTAATAATACCGCTAGAAAAATAAACTTAACTATTACTAGTACATATTTTCGCTATTCTTTCACATCAATGAATGAATATAAAAACTTTTATAGATACTTAAGATAAATTCTTTCAAAAATATATCGGTAATCATAAAACACGTAATAATTTTAGTCTCTTCAAATTCTCATGTAGACATTTATAATTTTTAAACTGAATGTACTAATATCTTTAAAAGGAGATTCTTATCGTGTTTAAGATTTTCTATCTTAAACTTTAATTTTAAAAGCTTACTCATGATTTTTTTGATGAATATAAAAGAAGAAAGCTGTCTATGGTTCCGAAAATGATTGCGGCCGCAAATCAAACTAGACTTCGCATTCAGAACCGGAGTACCTAGACCTCCAGTTGTAACCACTTTCTTCGCATTTTTTCTTTGACCGGAACACGTAAGAATAATTTGGATTTAGTCGAAGTTTTTATACTTGTATTTACATACACGGGCAATACACAGTTTAATATGAAGTTTCCATTTTTATTTAAACAAAACAAATATAGCGGTACAAAACCTCCATACAATCCTGCCATTCTCCTTTCGTCGTAAGTGAACACAATCCCTTGTAACTATGTGACGTCATTCACGACGCTATTACATTTTCTTGTGTTTTTACGTCAGATTTAAAATATTTTTTTCAAACTTAAAATATGTTTTAAATATAATTTTTATCATGAAATATTACTTTTTTTGGGGTAATACAGGTACTAAACTAACGTAATAAGCCATTTTTGAAATTTACGACACAGGCCTATTTTACTGATAAACGATGTACAGGTTCCCGCCAATATTTGAATGCCCGTGTTTTTACTAACACGTAAACGTAGTTTAAAGAAATTATGTTCGTTGGGATGATTTTAATATACATATTTTTATGTTGAAAGTATAATTATTATTAATAAAAAATATTATTATATTTACTAAAATGGTATAACAGTCTATGGTTCATCGTATTGGGCTCGCTGCCATTGCAGCGGTAAGACCCCTCTTTGAGGAGTGGCTTGAGAGACGCTACGGCGTCCTCACCTACCGCCTGACGCAGGTCCTCACCGGACATGGAAGTTTCGGGAGGTACCTGTGTCTGATGGGGCGGGAGGAAACGCCCGGGTGTCATCACTGCGAGGACCGCCCTGAGGACACGGTGGAACACACCGTAGCGGAATGCCCTGCGTGGGCTGAGCACCGCCGTGCCCTCAGGGAAGTGATCGGCGATGGCGACCTCTCGCGTCCGGGCCTAGTGCAGGCCATGATGCGGAGCGAGGGGGACTGGGATGCCGTCTCCTCCTTTTGCGAAGCAGTCATGCTAGCTAAGGAGGAGGCGGGACGCGTGAGGCAGCGAAGCGCTGCCTCCTCGCAACCCAGCCATCGCGAAGGACACACCGGGCGTCGGGGATCGCGGGACGATCTCCGGCCACCGTAAGCGCGGGCCTGCGGACGGCGAGCATGGGTGGCTCCCCGTCCGACCAGAAACAGACCCGAGCGTACGGCGCGTCGCGTTCCGCGCGCGCCTCAAAGAGCCATCAGACCACCACAGATGGGGCCCAATAGGGCCGATGCCGATTCGGAGTCGCGGAGAACCTAACGGGTAACCGGGGCTCCGGCTCGACGTGCAGGAGAAGGAACGGGGTGGTTTTTAGTCAGTAAGAGTCTGACACTCCCTTCCGCCTCACCCAGGCGGGAGCAGTCATTCGATGATTTTCCCCCCTTAAAAAAAAAAAAAAAATGGTTCATCGTATAAAAAATATAAATATTTTGTTATATGATTACAAATACACCGTAGCACATTGCTACATTCCTCGTAAACGTATTATTTGGTATCTTTTTGTGCTATAACTTTCGTGAGACATACTAAATTAATTATTATGTATTCGGCTTACTCACGTAACTGTTTGGCGAGGAACTCTACTAGATAGATCGCCGCGATCCGCGACTACGCGGCGATCGCTGCTACTCAGTAGACTGCTCATGAATATAAGCCTCTAGCATGTCTTGACACTAGTCGAGTTTCTCGTCAAACAGTTACGTTAGTAAGCCGAAAACATAATATTTGGTATCTGGTCAATATTGCATTTCCGTTGATATTGTTTCATATAACTGTCAGGGATGGACAGAAGCTGTCGGCACTGCTTGGGCAGTCGCAGGTAAAAGCTAACAAGAGAAAAACGAGTTTCTATATGTATGTATAATACAAGTGTAAAAGTGTAAATTCTGTACATTAACCTTTTGAGCGCCAGGGTCACAAATACGTGACAAGCGAAAACTGTCCCTGAGCGCCAACGACACAAATATGTGACAAAAACAGCGGTACATTAAAACACGAAATAAACTATTTAAACATTACTTTAATGCCTATTTATTTATATACCTGTAAAATAGAAGGTCCAAAATTTATTTATTTCCATAGAACTAATTAAATTGCATTATAAATATTGAGAAATTTTACGTTAAAAAGAAAGAAATAAACTCTGAAAAAAGAATGTCCTCACACGCCAGAGTCATAACTGCGTGACCGCTAGTGATGTAGCGCATGTTGGATAATATCATTATTTCAAATCAAAGATCGATTCGAAACTTTCTCTGGAATATATTATTTTAGGTATAATTTGGTACTAGGATAAAGCAGCATTAATTTTATAAAACCAGTCTTAAAAATCATTCAATAAGCTACATAGTCAAAAATAAAATTTGGTTGGGTCGAATTTCGATATTCACTAATCTCAACTCAAGCGCATCCCTAACGCAACCCGAATTATCAGTACCCTGTACGCCATGGTCACGACTAGACGACAATATCGTGACGTCACAAGCGCGGCGACCAGAAATTAGTGAAGTGAATGAATAATATTTATGATTAATTTACTTGTGATATCGAGTTCAAGATTTATATTAAGTGACTATTATAATGAGTGGGAATTTAATGACTACGGAAGAACTTCTTCGCATATTAGAAGGAGTCTCAGATGACGAAGAATTTTCGGAAACAGAATCTTTGAATGAAGTTTTTTATTAGATTTTATTTACATATGGCTTACTATTAGATGATAAGATAATACAATGTAGATTTTGTATAATGTTGTTCTATTATTCTAAAGATTTATTAGTATAAGACTGATTGGTAACTGTGATAATTATATATAATGGTTAATTGTTTTAATTTGTTACTTTTTTATGCCTGATAACACATGGCTTACTATTCGCTGGGTGCGCGATGACAGCGCCAACTAGCGGTCGGCGGACTCGGCGGACCTTGGTACGTCAAATAGTTGACTGTCATTGTCTTTACGAGGAGTAAGCAGTGAATAAAGCATGAAGGTGTAGGTAAAGATGGAGTACACAGTACACACTTGAAATACCTACTTGAATTTTTATTTCTCTTCTACTGTCTGAGGTCAGTTTGTTTCAATTTCTGTAGTACACTAGAAAAAGAGATCAGACCTCAGTTTGCCTCAGAGAATAGGAGCGAGAGTATTTGACTCGAAACTTTTATTCTAAGTGTGGGCTCCATATTTACCTATAACTTCGTGGAATAAAGTCTGCCAAAAGTTCCTTTTTTAGCCACGGTGCGCGCTGAGATCGATTTCACTGTCCCCACCACCCACTTTGCACCCAGCGAATTAGATGATCAGAATGCAAGTTGCATTGTAGATTTTGTATAATTTTGAGCTATTATTCAAAAGATTTATTAGTATAAGACTGATTGGTAATTGTGATAATTATATATAATCGTTAATTGTTTTAATTTGTTACTTTTTATGCCAGGTTTATAGAACTTAATATTTAAAAACATGTATACATAGTAGGTACATACTGTATAACATTTTATTAAAATTTTCTATTTTTTCATAGTTTTTATTTACCTTCTTAACCTATTTCAATCATATATTTTTAAGTACCTGTTACATTCGGAATTATAAATCTGATTTAAAAAACGTGTTTCATTTATTATAAAATAATATTGTACTAGAACATCGATAAACGAGATATTACGTTGCCACATCCTTATTTCGGTAGCGAAGTAGTTATTAAAATGGCGGGCCGTCCACGCCATGGTCACAATATGAAGACAGCAGATCAAGAATAGTGTTGTACCTACAGTTATTATATTTAAATATATTGTAGTCTCATATCTGTTATTACGGTATTATACAAGTCTGTAAATAGTGTATAACTATTACTTTAATAGGAAGAAATGTAATGTTGAATTAAATTTCAATGTTATAAGGACATTACATTTCGAAATTAAAGACGAAAATGAAAATAAAATTGATTATCGATGAAGTTTTGGAATCCCTATTTTTTTCGTAGGTATTTGCGGTGAATTTGTGGCCTGGCGTTGAGGGCAAGTTCATGCGTTTTTGCTCTGGCGTTCAAAAGGTTAAAAATATTAAAAAAATAATAGTAGGGGGTGTTACTAGATATATACATTATACCACTGTACAACACCCACTTTTCACTATTTATGTTATGTGTCCCATGTATTGCCATATACCGGGCACAATTCCAGACTCCGTGCTACTACTGAGAGTATTTAAAAACCCAGTAATACTTTGCCCGACCCGGGAATCGAACCCGAGACCCCTTGCCCGGCAGTCCCACTTACGACCAATTGGCCAATGAGGCAGTCGAGCTAGTATAATAATAAATAAATAATCACTACATAGTATAAAACAAAGTCGCTATCCGCCGTCTGTCTGTCCCTAATCCCTATGTATGCTTAGATCTTTAAAACTACGCAACGGATTTTTATGCGTTTTTTTTTAATAAAGTGATTCTTAAGGAAGTTTTATATATATAATACATGCATATTGCACCCGTGCGAATCCGGGGCGGGTCGCTAGTATAAAATAAAATTAAAGCCTTTTATTTTCTTCGGAAAAACGAGTATAATTTTTTCGTTAGTATAAATAGAGGTAAGGGATAAGCCTTATCTCTATCTTAAGTATATAAATACTTAATCGTTATAAGATAATGCTAATAGCCTCTAATGACATACAAATATACCTAACGATCATCAACGAATGATCATTGTGCTGAATGATGCATTCGAAAGGAATGAATCTGAATGTGATCAAAACAAAAGTGATGATGATGATGAACAGGAATGAGATGAGCACAAAAAGACATAGAAAATTGGAATACTTATTTTTATTTATTCCATAAGCTACTTTGTTTTATGCTTCATGCACAAAATGTACAAATATGTGAACTTAATGCCGCAGGCATTTTCTACCAGTATGACCTTTGGGTAATGCAGAGAAGAGTAAATGGTAGGTGCAAGGCCAAGAGGCAAGCAATGATTGTGAATAATTGAATGAGTTTGTTTATCTAGTCTAGGATCTCTGTTTAAGAGTGATGAAAAGCGTGGGAGGGATATTGAAAGGAGAGTGAAAGCGGGAAATAATGTCAATGGTCGAAATGTCGAGTAAAATTATATCCAGATTCCGGTCGGAACGGCCCACTATTACAATCCTTACTTCCTTACTTATATTATAAATGGGAAAGTGAGTTTGTTTGTTTGTTCCGCCTTCACGCCGCCGTAACTACCACTACGTACTTTTTATCCCGGAAAAAAATATACTTCCTAGGAAAAACAAATATATTGGTATAGATGGCGCTGTATGTACTGATATAAATGGCGTTGTATGTCATTTAAAACCAGTCAACGAATTACCTACTTATTGGAAAAATGTAAATAGCGCGATATAACCGAATTCCACGCGAGCGGAAAGCTATTTGTTTGTTTGCCTGTCTTAAACGGCAGAACGGAGGTACTAATTAACGTGATTTTTTAACTGGAGGTAGTTGAACGGATGGATAGTCACATAGGCTACTTTTTATCCTTTTGTGACGCGAGCGAAGCCGCGGGTAAAAGTTAGTTAATTATACTTTCTTACATTCGAATGTTACAAGCGGCCCGCCCTACGCCTTAAGTAAAATGATACGGCTACAGCAACAACGGCCGCTAAGCCCAGTACTAAGAAGATAATGCCAAAATTAAGTGAAACATAATTTGTCGATTTGCGGACAGAACTGATGATGATTTTTCTTCGTCCGCTGTAACGTTCCTCGGGATACGCTGCAAAAAAAAAACAACTTTGATATACAATTTTATACACAATTTTATAAAGAGGTTATATGTACTATAGGGTTATCGGAAAAACATTAAATAGCATTCTTATCAGTTGTTAATTAATTATCTAGAGCTACATAGTATAAAAAACTGGTTAGCGTATCCATGTGAATAAAAACCCGATATGAATAAACAGGAAAAATAGAACAAAAAATCCTTTTCTTCTTTTAAAAAAAAACGTTGCCCCACGTTAGGATTTTCTCCTGTGTCGTGGGTGCGTTTACAAACATACAAGTTTACATACACAATGACATCCAGACCAGAAACAACAATTTGTGGATCACACAGTGTTGTTCCGTGCGGGAATCGAACCCGCAATACGTTGCACGGCAGCCAGTTGCCCAGCCACCGCACCAACCGTGCAATCATTAAATAATGTACGGCAGACTATCTTACCACCATGCTTTAGAAATAACTTTAGTATTGAATCGCTATACGTATCTACAGACTACAGCGTACCTAGTACGACTTTGTTTTATGTATAGCGACATCGAAACGTTACCGTTCGTTGCCAGAGTTTGTATTTCCTGAAGGGTAATTGTGTATGTAGAGTGAATAGGTTGCTTATGGGACGATGTGCTCCATCGTAGACAGCATCATCACTTACCACCAGGCGAGATAGTGGTCAAACGTCGGCACATCAAATATATAAAAAAACCGTGTTTAATCCTCTGATTTGTTGGTTCATTGAAGCAGGCCAATCAGAGCGCCAAACGGGGTAACGTTGCGAGTCGCGGGCAAAGGCCATACTTGCACGGAGGGTATGTCATAGGGGAAAAAGTTCGAGCGGGTCGTTTTCAGTAAGTACGAGTTTAACACACTGGCGGTAGAAACAATTTGATGATTTAAATTTCTCACAAATAGACTTACCATATCTAACTCGTATCACGTATTTGGCCGGAGGCAGACCTTGTTCGTAGTACCCCGTATGGTTAATACGCATTACCGGTTTACGATGCAAGTCCGTCTTCATCCACGCAATGAACGCCTCATTCTGTAAATCCACCAAAACCAGAACACTGGCGTAACTATATTGATATAACACAGTCAGCACAGATATTTACATTGCAAAAATTAGTGCAATTTTTCAGTTTATATTTATTTCTTTTAGTTTAGGAAGCCATCATTTGACTGAGTACACACACACATAGGTCTGGTTAAGTACAATTCACTATAGTACAAGTAGTGGGTGGCGTAAAACACTTCAAATCAGCCGACAGCCAATACATTCAATCTCCATTACAAGCTCGGTGCATTTTGCACCTTCTTCTTAGTCGTTACATATCTGGCAAAGTGGGCTTGGTCGTCACGTCACGCATCGCATCGTTAAAAACTTGTAATAGCCTTGCGGGGCCGTATCTATTTCAGCAGCTTTTTGCGGCTTCTGTACTTATTTTTTTTCTTTACAATAAATAAAGCATAATTTTGATATTTACCTGAAATCCATTATTTTCAGGATGGTCTTCATCCAGCATCGTAATATTATCTCTCCAGTTAATCGGTTTCGCGTAATTCTGTAAAACTGAAAATAGAAAAAAAATATATTCATACAATATTTACCTTATTTTATTTAAGGCCATGGGCATTCTGTTCCAATTGACCTTTGGGTGATGCAGAGACAGAAACAATGGTCGATGCACGAAGGAAGCGCATTCGAGATCTATGACTGAGAGATTTTATTATATTATTATGTATAGATCATTATCGACGAAATATAGACGAGAGCGGTATAATCACTCGGGCTGTTCTTCAAGCGTAGGTGTACTAACTCGCAGTCGTGGTGGACCGAAGGTTAAGGCGCTTCTCATGCATGAGGGTGCGGACGGAATTGAAATCTGGCACGTACCAGTGTGCTTATTTCCGATTTATAATAATAATTTTCTAAGATTATTTAGACACCACTAACATACGGTAAATCAAAACAGGCATCGTGAGGAAACCTGGACGATTTTAAATCGCCAAACCGCCTAGGCCCAGTATGGTGATTAATGCTCATTCATTCTCCATGTGAGAAGAGGCCTTTTCCGAGCTGTAAGACTTACAGTTGATGATGATGATACCAACCCGCATTGAGGTCTCCTGGTGGATTGTGATAAGGTTTCTTCTCTTCTTCCGATAACAAACCAGTTCGAATACCTATCAAGTACGTGTTGTTTATTTGCATGCTGAACGTATCTGAAACAAAACGTTGACTTTGAAACAAGAGTGTGCGTTACCCAGGCCAGATGTTGTCGAAAATGGTCATTTGAATCTTATAGATAATTAGTTGTCGGCTTCTGTAATTGTTGCGCACATTTTTAAATTTGTTGCGCTTATAGTTTTTTAATTATTTCACAAAAACATTTCCTGCTGGGATAACGTTACCCTAGCCAGACCTTTTTCTTTCTAATGGGAATATTTAAATAATTACTAGCTATAAAATTAGTTGTCTAGATGAAGTAAATGTTGCGCCTTGTTTTGTATTTGTTCTTTCATCGGTTGCGAAGTTATTCGAGATTTTGCTGGGGTAACGTTTCTGAGTTTGCTAGATCTTTGAAATGGTTAAGCGGATTATTATTATATTTGGTACATGGCTTCTTATTAATTAGTTCAAATTTGTTGTGCAATAAAAAAACCAAAATAATAACTAGCTTAAAAGTTATTTCATTAAATAGAAAAACACTTAAATTGGTCCCCGCACCCTCAATAGGAGCTCTAAAGACTTACTTTAAACGTTATATAAAAGCTTGCAACTGCCTTCAACTGTATGTGAAGTTTCATTAGTATCCTGTAAGTATTGAAAGAGTTATGATGATATTGAGTTCTTCACGAGCACGGTCTTGATGCGCGCGGTGTTATTTGGCCACTGGATTGGATATTTGAACTGAATGTTATGTCAATAATTAGACCCACCGCGTCGTAGAACAGTGCTTGGTGCAAACTCACCCATACCACGTCTGAATCACGCCCTGAATAAATACTCTGATTCCACAGATGTTCACTTGGACTCGCATGGTCGGTTCCGTTCCAGCGTGCATAAATGCATATTATCCAATCTACACAGATAGTGGATTATGTACCTATATGGTTTAGTATTTTGTGTTAGAACTAGACTTAAGGATAGTAATTAAGAACTTTTTTTTATATACACATATTTGTACCAGTAAATGTTGTGGTTACCTGTAATTGTTTGTTACACATAGGCTCATTCCTCTTTGCTTGCTTTTATTATGCTTACTGTAGTTGTGTAATCAAATGTTGGTAACTCTTAATAAATAAATAAAATAAATAAATTAGTTGTTTAGTTCAGTTGTACATTAGTAAAATTTCAGCTCGAAAAAGCGAAAACGCAGAACATTGTACTATCTTTTGAAATGTTTAGTATAATAGACCTTACAATTTCGGTACAGATGCGTCATACACAACATCTGGCCTGGGTAACGCACACGAAACAAGATGGTACTTGGACTAACAAAACGGATATGTGCATAGTTAAGTTTTCAGGGGAGACAATAAACTGTTTACACTTAAATGGACAGATTGATGGACTTGTTAATACATTAAAAATGCAGTATGGCAAAAAATATGACGCATGAACTGAGATAAAAGTGAAAATGATAGCATGTACTGTTCATCTCCCAAATGTTATTTTTTGCCATTTTGATGCACATATCAGATTTATCTTAGAATCCGGTAAAATTTTTAAACAAAAACTGTTGAAATTCAATCTGCCAAATTATCTATTGATGCTGCAATTTCTGACCTGTGCATTTTATATAACATAACCCATAACCAGTCGATCATGGCCAGAAAGTGCATATATAACACATAACATCACGCCTTTTATCCCCGAAGGGGTAGGCAGAGGTGCACATTATGCCATTGTACAATGTAATACCCACTTTTCACTATTTATGTTATGTGTCCCCAGTAATAGGGGGTGAGCCTATTGCCATATACCAGGCACAATTCCAAATCCGTGCTATTACTGAGAATTAAAAAAAAAACCAATAATACTTTGCCCGACCCGGGAATTGAACCCGAGACCCTTTGCCCGGCAGGCGCCCTTGCGACCACTCGGCCAACGAGGCAGTCATATATAAGTTTTGTCCAATCGATTCCTACAGGGAAATAACACATTTGTTTTTGTAACCGATGCGCAATCTGAATTAAAGGGCTAGATGCCCTTGCAAAGAAAAAAATGCAAAAAATTTGCACATATAATAAATCTGAAGAGAGGTCAATTCTGTACATGAAATATATTTCCAAAATAACTATCAGGGCCTTAGGGGGTGATTAGCGATCGATACTGATGCAAAAATGCAATCAGTAATATTTTTGTCTGTCTGTATGTTCCATAAAGAAACAAAAACTACTTGGTACAATTCTTCTTCATACTCCTGGGGAGGTTATAGTGTACGTTCCAAAACGCTACAATCAATAGAAGCAGAGCAGTGAAGAGAAATGTTGGGAAAACGGGAGAAGTTACTCCATTTTTTAAGCTTCCGTCGCGTGTGAGCTTTAATGGTTAAAGCTACATGGAAATCATGTATGACTAAAATGTTCTATATAAAACAATCAAAAAATATTCCAGAACAGCATATGTCTATCTTTAATGGTTGACTCACAATAACACGTGTAACTCTCGATAGTTTGATGTGTAACTCTCGATGACTGCACGGTTGGTGCGGTGGCTGGGCAACCGGCTGCCGTGCAACGTGTCGCGGGTTCGATTCCCGCACGGGGCAACACTTTGTGTGATCCACAAATTGTTGTTTCGGGTCTGGGTGTCATTGTGTATGTGAAATTGTATGTTTGTAAACGCACCCACGACACAGGAGAAAATCCTAGTGTGGGGCAACGTTTATTTAAAAAAAAAAAAAAGTTTAGCAGTTCGGAGCTTTCTGTTTATATTTGTTTATTTTTACGTTTATAAAACTCTCACTCATCCATAATAAAAAAGAAGTTAACATTATTACCTATTGACACTATACTTGACTTAATATCCTGTGTCCCCTAGATGGGGCAGAGGGCGTCCACTGAACTTCTCCATCGCGATCTGTCTTCAGCTTCACGCTTCACCTCACTCCACGTCATACCGATGCTCGTCGCTTCTGCCAGTACGGTGCGACGCCAGGTTTGCCGAGGACGGCCACGCTTTCTTTTCCCTTGGGGATTCCAATCCAAGGCTTGCTTGGGTATGTGGTCAGGATCCCTTCGGAGCGTGTGCCCTATCCATCCCCACTTGCGGCGCTTGATCTGGCAGTCGATTGGGCTTTCGTGGCATTTCTCCAAAAGCTCTACGTTGGGGATGGTCTCGGGCCAGTAAATTCCGAGAATGCGACGCAGGCATCAGTTAACGAGGAACTGAAGTTGGCGTGAGATGTCTTTAGACACCTTCCACGTTTCGCACCCATAGAGCAGAACGGATTTTACATTGGACCCGAAGACTTTCAGTTTTATTTTATCCTTCGGGTCAGTTTCCGTGACTGCCACTCAGGTCTCAACTGCGCGAAAGTAGCTCGGGCTTTGGCGATCCTTGAAGTGATGTCCTCTTCAGTACCTCCAGTCTCTGACACGACGCTCCCGAGGTAGGAAAATTTGTGGACACGTTCCACTGCCTCTGTGCCAATCAGCAACGGTGTATTCTTCACACCCGTTCTAATTTCTTTGGTCTTTCGGGTGTTAATTCACAGGCCAGCTTTTGCCGCCTCCTGCCGCAGGTCGTCCAATTTTGCTTGCATGTCGGCGTGGGTATGACTCAGCAGGCATAGGTCATCGGCGTAATCTAAGAAGTTGGATAATTCCCACTCTATGCTGCGCCGCCGATTGTCAGTGGTGCGAAGCATGATCCCATCCAGAACGACCAAGAAGAGACGCAGTGATAAGAGGCAGCCTTGTCGGACACCGGCGTGTACCACTATGTCATCGGAAATAAGACCGTCATGTGTCACTTTACAGGAATACGTCCTATACATAGTACATACTCTCCAACAGCCGGACGATCTTTGGCGGAACCCCCATGTCCTGTACCTTTTCTAAGCCGACAAAAGTAAGATACATCTCCCTTTGCCATTCTGTTGCCTGCTCTAGAATGATACGAAGAGTGTTGATCTGGTCTGTATATGAACGGTTTGATCGGAAACCTGCCTGCTCCCTTCGTAAAAGAGGAACCACGGCCTTTGATAGCCTATCTAGGAGAATCTTGCAGAAAACTTTTGCGGGAATAGAGAGCAGTGTAATATCTCTCTAGTTATCGCACAGACTAAGATCTCCTTTCTTAGATACTGTGGTTATAAGCCCCTTGTTCCAGTGATCAGGAAATTCCTCCAGCGTCCAGACTTTTTCAAAAAGAGGTGTCAGGACGTCGACAGCGGAGAATAAGTCGGCTTGAAGCATTTCTGCGGTTATCAAGTCGAGTCCTGGTGCTTTTCCTAATTTAAAGAAGCGGATGGCTTGAGCAACCTCACTAGCTGATGGAGTCTTCGTGTTGATGTCGAGTAGCCGAGGTGGTGTGGAATTAACAGTTAGTGCACCAGGTGTCGCTGTGGCCGACATGCGAAAGACCTCCTCAAAGTGTTGACGCCAGCGAAGCAGCTGCCCTTTGGATGTTGCAATGAGCTGACCGTCTTTAGACTTCAGTGGCTTTTTCTTCCTAAGCTTGGTGTTACCAGTCAGCGATTGCGTGGCCTTATATAACTCCTTTAGGTTCCCAGCGTTTGCAGCCTGTTGAGCGTGATCAGCAATATCGTCAGCCCACTGTCTCCTATCTTTGCGGGTGCTACGATAAATTTCTTTCCACTTCTGACGGTACTGTGCGTTCAAGTCGGCTCTTATAGCGTCATTCTGGGCCTCGAGCAATCTCAGGTGAAGCCTTCTTCTGTCCTTAATCAGACTCCATGTATGCCGCGACATCCACTCCTCCCGCGAATGAGCCGTTTTGTGCCCCAGAACGGCAGAGCTGGTTTCTGTATAGACCACTTTGATACGGTTCCACTCCTCTTCCAACAAGTCTCGGGCCGTATCGAGAGCAGTAAAACGATTGCGTAATTCGAGATGGAACAATTTACGCGTCTCATAGTTCTTCAATTTGCTGACCTCAAATCTTCTTCCGACCCTGCCAGTGCCTCCAGCTGTACGGGCCACAGCAACCTTGAGCCGAACTTCAGCAACATCCAGAATGAGATGGTGGTCGCTGTCAATATCGGCGCCCCTGCGGTTGCGGACATCAAGTAATGAGGAACGCCATTTGGAGCTAATGGCAAGATACGTAGAACTAATAGTACGAATCCAATCGCATAGCTAAGCTATGCTATGCGGTCATCAGGTATCAGTCAGTCATCAGGCTATGCGGTAATTTCTGAAAACAATTCCTGAGATAAGTGCAGAAAAGTGGGGGTTCTTACCAGGGGCCAGGGGGGGGGGGGGCAGAGTCAGTTTCCTGAGAGGTATTTAACCTGGTGTCTTCAAGGGTTGAGTTAATAGGTTGCTTATTGGTAGACATGCTCCATTATAGACCGCATCGTCGGTTACCACTAGGCAGGAATGTGGCTAAAATTTACCATTGAACATAGCGTCTGCAAGAGCTCCACAGGGTGCGATAAGCTTCTTGCCTTCCGTCGTGGTGACGTAAGTGTAGTTATCGCAGCTGGACGAAGTTGTGATCAGCTGACCAGCCAGCTGATTATCATCCCTGCCAACGAAAATAATACACATTTCGTAAGCTGCCATGCCATGACCATATCAGGGGTTCCATTAAGCCCTATTTGGGAAATGGAAACATGAACTTTATCGAAAGAACGATATGAAGAAAGTAAATTCAAAATAAAAACGAAAGCTACATTTAGCCCGAGTATTGAAAAGCTACTCAATTTTAAGTAATGTTTTAAAATAATTTTAAACTATTATCTATCATTTTACAAAGAATTTGTAGTGGCAGAACTATTGTTAAGCGCAACTTAAAATTTAGTGGCGTTTCAATATTTGGAGAATAGTTATTTAGTTTTTATCGAGGGCAGTATTTTTATCAATATAAATTTTGTGGTCCACCCGGTTTACCGATCGAACACTTAGGTACCGAAATAATATAATGTTTTTATTGTACATTTTCCTGTTGAATCGAATTACGTATGCATGTAGGTACATTCATTTCATGAAGGTTAAAAACGCGATAATTTTAATAATGAGCATCGCTATTGTTCTACCGCCTGTGTTCGCAATAAGTTAGCATTGTCGAATAGCGAGTATTTAGTAGCTCTCATTTGCTTCTATTTTGGGACAGACTGGCACGATACATAATGTTAGCGAAATCCAAACTGGGCCAGACGGTGTTACTAAAATTGAAACCACAGAATTTTTTCAGTAACAGTCACCTAAAGGACCTACAATTAATTATAAATTCAATATAGGTATCTGTCATTGGACACTTCTTTCATTCTTCCTTTTTTCATTCAAGCTGTTTTTTATTAAATCCGCTGTCCAGGAAGTTCAGAATGGCAACAAATCAGTTCTTTTAAATATAAAAGCATAATCTTTAAGCATTGGCAGAATCAAGACAATCGAGGGAACTATTTTGACAAAGTTTTCTATTTTGTATTGCAACATTAACATTTATGTAGTAGGTATAAGTATATATTATATTATATAGTATATCATGTACTATGTGTCTATATATTTTAAATTAAATATTGTAGGTATTGGGTAATGATAGTGAATGCCGCATTAAGTCCGCCATTCACTGCAATTATTATTGTTAAAAAGTTAAAAATAATTAATTACTTTTAACTATGTTAGTCCACCAGTATACTTCATCCATATGAAAAAATTTAGAGTATAACTAAATATTTATATAGGAGTTGAAATTATATTAATAATTGGTTGCTTTCATTTTGCATTTAGTAAGTTGGTATTTTTACGTCATATCAGTTACGTGGCGAGTGCACAATATGAATAATAACGAATTATGTAAGTACCTAAACAATTATAACTGTCCTGTCCTCATGCATTGAGCTTAGTCACTGGGTTTTTAGGAGTGGGTTAAATTAATCAATACAACGGTATTTTGACATATACATACTTAAATTTTATAAAAGGAGAAGCGTTTAAGGAAGGTTAATCTGAAATATTCTTATAAAATACCTGGATTAGAAGGTACTTAGTTAGATTCTGAAACAACGACCATAGTTCTATATGGTATCTGTTAATAGTGAAAGGAAATTCAAATGGGTATACATTAGTTTGACGCTTTCCCGAAAATTACTTCATTACCTACTACTACACATAAAAGTAAGTATACCGATTTGATTGAACGAATATTATAATTATCCTTATTTAAGTACAATATTATTTTAAGGAAGGAAAGTTACAAATATAGATGTGTGGCGACGGCGAGGCATGAGGTCACCTACCTACCACGAACAGTACGAATTTAGATTTCAAAAGATATCAATCTGATTCAAATCATTGTCCTGCTGTATATTTGTAGGTATATTATAAAACCAAGACAGTTTAAAAAATGAAGAAGGAAAGTGACTAGTATAACTAAAATTATGGCAAACAACGTAAAGCGATTTTTTCATTACATTAGGTATCTTACCTTGAGTTGGCGTACTTGCTTGTTATATCAGCATATGACTCCAGCTCGTAGAACAGAGTCACAGGTGCTTTCATCAGTTGTCCTACATTTATTTGTAGAAAACAGGAACACACTTGTGAATTAACTTTTAAAGAATCCTTGCATTTCACATCTCGACTTTTGTAATCGACACAGTCTGTATAATCTTCAATTATTTCATATCCGTCTGTCTGAAAATAAAATAATAAAATTATAGGTAGGTGTTCGACCTAAATCTGTGTATCTAAATGTGTGTAACATATATAAAAAAATCCTAAAATACAATAGAAAACGTAATTTTAAAATGCTTATTTTTGGGAACCAAAGAGAGAAAAGTTTCTAATAAGAGATCAAATCCTTGACCAAACCATCTAACATTATCCTCCTTAGATAATGGTCGAAGTGTTCAGCTATATACAGCTATGTCCCTGAAGTCGACGATCAAATGGCACCGGGTGATCGGCAAGGTTCCAACAGTCATAAGAATAATATAGAAAAAATTCCAAGTCATATAGTTTTTAAATTATAATGACTTAGGTATATAAAAAATTCCAAGTCATATAAGTAGTTTTTAAATTATAATGACTTATATTATAATTAAAAAGTACACCCTGTTTTTTTTATAGCATAAGCCGGCAAACGATCAGACGGATCACCTGACGGTAAGCAATCTGCGCAGGGCGCAGCCCATGGACACTCGAAACACCAGGGCGTTACAAGTGCGTTACCGGCCTTTTGGGAATTGTGAATTTCAGGATTGTGGAGGATTCGGGAGACGGGGACTATGGGGTAATTGGGCCTCCAGTAACCTCACTCACACGACGAAACACAACGCTAGCGTTGTTTCACGTCGGTTTTCTGCGCCAGTCCTTTGAATCTCGTTGCTACAACTCTTTATTTTTAAGTCTGTATTTTTGCTAATGTTATCCTGAATAGTGCTTCGGTATTATGGAATCATAAATTCTGGGTGAACTGCTGTAGTTTGGAAAAGAATATTATATCTTGATGAACCAAGTATTTTCAATAAACTTTTTATCTTACTTTAAGTGACTGTACTGAATAAAATTGTACATACTACATACTGTAGAAACTAGTAAGTAGTGGCAAAAATAAGAATTCTATTGGCGCATTTAATAAATATATATAAGAAGTGGTATACCAACAATTTCTGAAATTCCAGATAAAAAAATATTTTTTAACCAAACTCTGTTTCAAACAATTTATTTTGACTTACTAAAATGTATTGTAGTATTTCTAAAGCGCATCTAAAAACCTAGTATCCACTAGGTAACACTTTAAATGCGAGATAACACATGTTCCTAAACATGTTGGAACAGTGAGGATCAATTGTTAAACCTTATTGTCTGTATACTCATGATTCACTCACAGCATTTGTCGGCGATATTGCTGCTCAAGGAACAAATATTGTAGATTAGAGGAACGCTATTGCCTTTCTCGATAAATGGACTATCCAACACAAAAAGATAGTAATTAGTATTAGATACGTCACACACAGATGTATATGATATGTCACACACAGAATATTATTAACCGCATGAATGCACTCATATGAGACACAATAGGAAATACATTATCTTATGTGGATCTGCCTTTAGATACAAATAATTATTTTATGTTGACCAAATGATTCTGTGCACAGTTAATTTTTCTTAGAAAAGAATAGCTGTACTTTTCTTTAAGTTATATAATCTGTACACAACTTTATAGGTAACTAGGCTGAAATTTGATTTTAATACCCAGCATTTTTATGTATGCATGAGAATAAATAAATCATGAATATTTACCTTAAAAGCACAACTTATTAATATTATTCCAAGGATGATCAGAGATACTCCGACTATTACCCCAACAATCACTATATTTTGTTTCAATTTCTGCTTCAGACTCTTATCTAAAAAAAGTAATTATATTATAAAAATATCATAAGATTACCTCATTGACTAACAGCCAAAATTAAGAAAACAATGTCAATACAAAATCTTTTGATTTAAGATTTATTTTTATCAGTTCTTTTCTTTTTATAAAAATATTGCCCTACACTAGGATTCTCTCCTGTGTCGTGGATGCGTTTACAGACATAGAATTTCACATGCCCACCCAGACAATATTATGTCATTTTATAATTGAGCATGTGACACACAGAATCTGTGTGGATTACAATCGACCTGTATTTGCAGTAGAATGTGTGAGGTAATAGGTCATTATCCAGTTTTGAAGTTGGGAAAGTGGACGCGGGGTCTTTGAAAATCAATAATTTACAGACCCACGCCCTACACGAAATGACGAAACTTATAAAAGTAATGTAATGTTTGAACTATAATAGTTGAAATACTTACTTGAAGCGTCTGGCCGATTTAACTCGTCTGTTCTCATTTTTACTTTCAAATCATACTTTTTTAGATTCAATACCTACATATCGAATTCAAAACTTCGTTACTTTTCAACCCCATGTTTCAACAATTATTTTTCATTGTTGATCGTTGATCCATTCATTACCTAAACAGTAAACAGTTGTAGAGTAGTGAGTGATGGTTAGCTCGAGTACCTAACTCAAGTCAACTCGAGTTGGGGTAACTCGAATCCACTCGAGCTAACTCGAGTTTCGAGAACCGTTTTTTTCATTAGATTTTTATGTTTTTTGTCAATAACTAATTGTTAGTTTAGAAAGCTTTGAAAGTTTTGTTGGTTTGAATGTTGGTTTTGAAAGTTTTTTGCCGGGAAAAAAATATTTTTTTGTTTTAAAATCATTTGGAATTTATTTTAATTATTTATGACAAAAATGTAAGCATATAATTTAACTAAGGAAAAAATATTCTTTGTGAATTGCGATACTAATTATGTTATTTTCTTGAAAATATTGTGATTACTGATTATAAAACAATTATGAGCCTGTAAACGTACCTATGTACATACTTGCATTATAATGTTAGTCTAATTTTATTTTTAAAAGACTGGTATATAATTTCATAGTTTAATTGATAGTAAATATTATGTTTAAATTAAATTCGAGCCAAAAATAACTAAATAAATGATTCGATTTCAAAAAAAATATTTTTCGTTTCTTTAGTTAGTATTTATAACTCTCCCAATATATTATAAATAAAGAATTGAAACAGATAAAAATATAATTTGTCTGTTCCAATTTCTAAAGCATTTATGCCAAGCTGAGGGAATAATTTGGAAAAAACTAAAAAATCATTTACTTGTCCAACTCGAGTTACGTAACTCGAGTTAACTGGATGGTAGTCCTTTAGTATTACTTTATCGTAGTACTTTAGTATTTGGGGGGGGGGGAGGATTATCCCGAACATACCGACTTTTCGGTATTTCTACCGATGTGTGCTCTGTTCTACCGAAATATAACAATTTCTCTACGATTTCACAGTGTATATGGAAATTCTCCCGATTTTTCAACCAATTTCACATTTTTAAGCTGGCAACCCTTTTTACGTGTGTGGTCAACCCACAAACATACTATAATTAATAATATGGACCAGAAATACCTACAAAATACGCGTTCATACCTACTAGAAACCGAGGCCTAAAAATGGCTGCCATTGTTAGGGAAGTACTGTAGTCAAAACCAAAAAGTATCGATATCGACAGCAGTTTTATACATTAAAAATCTTCTGGTACTTTGGATGTTTTTTTAAGGTACAAATCATCGAATGACTTCTCGCGCTCTGGGTAGAGCGGGAGAGCACGTAAGACTTTTACTGGCTAAAACCATACATGTGTTCTTCAGTGACAGTTGCCCTTTGTGTTTTAGGATTACACCCTCCTTTTCAAAAATTACCCGCGGACCTAGCAAGCGGGCGTCGCCCGTACGGCTTGCGGACATTTAAAAATTGAAGCGCATGGATCACATGTTGTTGACGATTGAGCTCGGTCCGGTTAATTACCAGTTAATTAAAAACAATAAAATGTTGATTATTTCACTTACTACAAGGTGGATTGACGGTACTGCATCACCACGCAGCCTTATAACATCAAGGGTTCTATTGAACGATGATACTGCATAGTGTAATGAACAAATACGTGGCGCTTTAAGTCCAGGTTTGATATTTTCCGTCCCAATGACTTCAAGCCACTTCTGACGCAGCACTTCATTTTTAGGGAATCTGTACAAATAAAAAAAACATAAAAATTATTTCAGTTTTGTACATTTAGTGGAACAAATCATAGACTGAACTAAATGAAAGTACCTACTGTATGAAGAATTGATATTATTATGTTTTGGTACTATCCCTATTTTTATTTCTCTGTAAGATTTATTTTCAAAATCGTCTCTTCAGACCCTTTATTTTGATACTCTACTCAACTGGACTCCATAACATACAAACTAAAAATATGTTAGTTGCCGATATGTTATTAAATAAAATACATCACTATTGTAAATCGTCATTTGTATTGTAAACAAAACATAAAACAAATTTAGCAAATGAAGTTAGTTATCATAAACAAATTTAATGTACATATGGGGGCTTTTATTCTATATATAAAACAAGGCTAGATAAACAAGAAAACTAATAGTATGATAAAGTTTTATCTTAAAATACGGCTACTAACCTGTGCATAGTCAAATGAGGTTGATTGGGGCTTTTCCTTGCCCCACACTGAATTATTGAACAAGTAGACATATTAAATATGCACCACTAGACACTCACAGCACAAAACAATTAAGTTGGGAGCGTTTTTATAGTTAAAAATCGCAATCCAAATCTAATGTTGTTGTTCGCTTGACACCTGACGTACTACAAAACTATACGGCCTAAAGATGGCGGCTGGCACGCGAGGTAGGTACCTTGTCAGAAATGTAGAAATGTGGCCAGGCAGAGAATAAACAAACAACATGATGTCTCTTTCTTCAAATGAGGTTACTCATTGATTAAAAAGAGACAAAGTGTGGTTTCATATTTCTGTATCGATTTGATATATATTTGTATAATCAAATAAGCTATAGATCATTACGACGCATCTATATAATACTAAATCTAAGGGTCAACCCAATCATAGTATAAAGAACACAGTAGGTTATCTAAGGCCGCCCGCCGAGTTATTAGCCTACTCTTGCGTTGATCCCCAGGGTTGTCACTTTTACTTTTAGTTAATATTTTCGAACAAGCAGCACTTGATCTAAATTTATGAAATGAAAAGCATATTATGATTGAATATTTTATCAATTTATAAATTTAGTAAAAATTAAAAGCTTATAAAAAGATTATTAACTTCTTAAAATAAACTTTAGCTCTATACATAGTATTCAGAAAGTAAATTTGGGAATACATTTATATGGAAAAATGCGACTCGGCTACGCTCTTAACCAATCAGATAAACTGTGAAATAAACAATACAATACCACATTTTCTTATAATATTTAAGTAGGTATAGTAGGTAATTACATTTCTGGTTGAGTAGGAACTATGAAGAATGATAAGAGTAAGAATAAGTAAGTAGGTATCTCATCATCAAGTACCTACAAATTATATTATGCTAGAAAAAGTGACTAGCTTACCTTTCCTGTTCAATAGGTACCTAATCTGAACAGAGACAGTTCTGGAATCGATTAATTATTAAGACACCCAAACACACAGCAATACGTTCTTCTACGATTATCAGACATTTTTTATTTCATTGAACAGTGCCGAAAAGCCGTGAAGCGCGCGCGAACCTCGTACAGTGTCAGCCCTGCCTGGCGCACTGAGAAACGGGTCGAGATTTTGTTAAAGTGTGCGTGCGTCGACGCATAGATACTATGGCGCACACATATAAGCCGCGCGCGGAGCATTTGTATGAAGATAACCTACTTTGTTCTTTATACTATGACCCAATTCTAGGTTTTTATACCGAAGCTTGTAAGCAAATAACCACGTGGTTCCTTGAAAAATCTATACATATAATAAAATCGTAGAAAAGTCAAAACTGTACATTTAATATTTTTTAAAAAACCTTTTATTGGGTTACTAGTAACCCAATATAAGGTTTACTAGTAACCCAATATAAGGTTTACAGACACAATAGACTTGATGATGAAAATGTTGATGATTCTACTAATTGATTTACTTATTAGAAATTAAACCTTACACGCGTGCTAAGCAACCAGTTTTCAGAAGAAATACTTTCTCAAAGAGTTAATCTTAAGTTTAAATCGAATTAACTTGAGACCTTTGAGACTATGTACCCGCAAGATTGAAGGTGACGTGAGACACTAGTTTTATCATATCCGCCACAAGACTTCCACTGCTAAATGTAGGCCTTCTACCCAATGACAGTCGCTTACATTGTGAATTTGCATTTTCGTAGGCACCTAAGAAATGAAAAAGATTGTGAGGTATACTCAAATATAAGGTCATGTTTGCTGAATTAACAAGATCATTCCTAATAATACAAAGTGTAATAGTCACTTGAGTAGCGAGCAGTATTTATTTAGATTTTTGTTTTTTGTAAACAACTACAAGAGAGACTGCACGGTTTGTGCGGTGGCTGGGTAACCGGCTGCCGTGCAACGTGTCGCGGGTTCGGTTCTCGCACGGAACAACTGACAATTGAAATCAAACCAAACCCGAAACAACAATTACAACAAAATTGTTGTTTCGGGTCTGGGTGTCATTGTGTATGTGAACTTGTATGTTTGTAATCGCATCCACGACACAGGAGAAGATCCTAGTGTGGGGCAATAAAAAAAAAGAAAAAAAGAGCACATTGACATTTTTCAGTTAACTGCCATCTGTCATTTGTAATAGATATTTTGCTTAACGGTACGTAATGTACAAATATTTGGACAAATGAAGCGACCACGCAATGTCAAGTGTGGTACCACCTTAACGTACCTTTTGTACATTTTCATAGTGAAATAACTTTTGAATCCCATGTTCTAAAAATATGTAATTTTTTTCTAAACTTCATAATAAAAATATCTATCGTTCAGACTATTCACTTGGTTAAAACAATGACTAATACAAAATTTTATAGCGGTACAAAACTTCCATACAAACCTGCCATTCTCCTTTAATAATATTAATAAATACCTGTACACAATTTTATGTTTAACTCTAGTGATAAAAAATATGAGATATTAATAATCATTTCGATTAATAATCATAATAAAAAATACTTTCAGCATTCAAAAACAACACAAGGTACTTATATCGATCGATACTTTTTGGTTTTGACTACAGTACTTCCCTAGCAATGGCAGCCATTTTTAGGTCTCGGTTTCTAGTAGGTATGCACGCGTATTTTGTAGGTATTTCTGGTCCATATTATAGTAGGTCTGTGTCAAATTCCCATAATTCCAATGTCAAATGTCAAATGGGAATGAAGCATGAATGAAGAAATGTCATTTGCCATTAACAAATCCAATTTGTGTGGCTGTGGTCGGTACTCGGTATTCTGAACGAAACAATAAAATTAACTCTTCGTCTTCGAATTCAGTAGATAATAGTGAGTAAATACTAAATAGAAACGTAGCGCAGTGAAGACTTATATACGTTTTTTATTTCATTATAGTTAAAATGTCTAGCGAAACGACTAACAAGAACGTAAGTACCCTATATCTACTTTTTACAATACAGCCAAGCTTACTCATCGTAATAATGTTAGTCTAGTTGATATAGATTTTATAATGTTTATTTTCAACAATATCCTGCGAGGACGTTGGCTTGTTACATATATTTAAAAAGTTTAAAGTGTAGATATTCGTATATCGTATCGCGAAAGTGTGTCGATTTGGATGCAAACTGAATAATTATGTTTGTGAGTCGGCAAATGTGTCACTGAGCGTTTTGTACTTAACTGTATCTGTTTGAGTTGTACAATTCCGATGTTTGAACTGTTTTCCTTGCTTATCAGAGACTGTGATTAGGAAATGTAACTATTCGTTAATTGGTATATAATATAATATCCCTAAGTTTCAACTTTTAAATATAAAGATAAATGTTTATGTTAAATGTCCTACAACTTTTTGTACATGAACTTTTTTTTAATTTAAAAAAGTGATATTCTTAGAAACTGAAGTAATTTGCCTGTACAAAATGTTTTACACACAATATGTCATTGTGTATTTTTAATTCTGTTTGTTTTGAGGCAGAGATGCACATGTTCATGCACTTCTTATCAAATGCATAGTTCAATGACCTCGCATGAACAGAAATAAATTTTGTAAAACTCATTTCATCATTCCTTATTACATACATACATACATAACTTCACGCCTGTCTCCCATGGGGGTAGGCAGAGACTAAGGAACGCCAATTACTACGATTCTTACATACCTCTTTCCTTATTCTTTATAATTAATATATAGTTATGAAGAGACCAAACATGTATTATTATTAAAATTAAAATTTAGGTATAGTAATAATTGTATAACAAAAATTCACCTAATACATGAATGGTATAAAAGCTCTTTAGTTTTAAACACAACCTTCTCTAAGTTTGTTATGATCATGTTTGGTGGTGCATTCTAAGCATTTCTGCCTACCATTAAATTTTACTCAAAAAGAATAAAAGAAACTTCTAGCTGTGGCTAGTGCTGTTTGTTGACAACAAAACAATAATAATACAATCTTTGTAAGGTTCAACAAATATACAAATAATATTTAAATATAACAGTTTGCTGTTTCATTTAACCTCTTGTCTGTTGATATATGAGACACAATAGAAAACATATTGTGTGTTCCGACACTTCACAGATTAAGGCCAGTACAGTGCAATATCATGAAGTTAACTACCAGGCAGTTGTTTCATGGTTTAGTCACCAAAAAACTGCCACGGTTCAGCCATAGCAGACGCTAGGGTTTAGAAAAATGTGTAGAAATTAAAATTTCTTTTCTTTTGCAGTTCTCCAATTTGGAAACACCTGGTTATGTAGGGTTTGCCAACCTTCCCAACCAAGTGCACCGGAAGTCCGTGAAGAAGGGCTTTGAGTTCACTCTGATGGTAGTCGGTGAGAGTGGACTGGGCAAGTCCACTCTAGTCAACTCTCTGTTTCTAACTGATCTATACCCTGAACGTGTTATCCCGGACGCTATTGGTAAGTGTAACTTAGTCTAGTTTAAAATAGGTGGACTGCTATTCTAGAGGAGAAAATTAAAATTTTTTTTTTTTGGATATGTCATAATTTTATGTACAAAAGCCATCTATCCGCACTAGACATGATGGGCGTCATTGAAACGTATCCACTCTTATAGGTATTTATCAAAAGTTTGATGAATTTTATTCGATAAAAAAATAAAAGACTGTTTAAAAAAACTGACATCAAAAACTCAAACCAAACCAAAACAGAAATAGCTATAATTATTTTATTAAAACACTTATATATTACTACCCATTGATAGGTGGTATTCAAGCCCAAACACCAGGTAGCTACTGTTAACCATGGAGGAGTTCCTTTAGCTATAATACTACTTCATTATCAGACCCCTAATGACAATCAAACCCCACTTATTTGTAAAGATCTTACCAATACTCCCAATCCCTGAATCCCCAGCAATCCTTAAAGTCCTAATCCTCAAAATAAAAAACAGTGTTTAAAAAATCCCAACTTCAAAAACAAAAAGTAACTATTATCGGTCATACGTACTTTATAGCTTAAGCACCCACTGATAGGTTTGAAGTCGGTGCTACAAGTTTTACACAAAAATATTCATTAAAACCTTAATAGATACCTAACATTATCAAGCTTTTTAAAAATTTACTATGGATTATACCCGTGACCATTACCTAAGATATTTTTGTTATGGGTTTGTGGCACCAACTTCAAACCTATCAGTGGATGTGTAAGCTATAAGTATATACGTACGTATCGTACGTCTTAGCTATCATACTACTTTATCATTGGACATTTAAGTCCAGTTTCTATAATCTATCTATCTGTAAATTTGCTTACTAGAGATAGAATTTTGACACATTTTGTATGGAGCTCATGTCAAAATTCTATCTCTAGTAAGCAAATCTACAGATAGATAGGTTATAGAAACTGGACGTTAGTGACAACCACACTACACCTAGGTGTAAAGTCCTCATCAATACAAATTAATCAAACCCAAACACAAGACAGCTACTGTTAACCGTTGAGGAGTTCCCTCAACTATGGTACTACCTCATCATCAGACCCTTATTGGCAATCACATACCACCTAGGTATAAAGTCCTTATCAATACAAATTAATCAAACCTAAACACAATGTAGCTACTGTTAACCGTTAAGGAGTTCCCTCGACTGCCTCTCGGCTCCATCATCAGATTAACTCCAGACCTTTAGATTGTAGTGGTTTTAAATACTTAGCGAAAAAATTAACAAATGCACTAGTCGCCCCTATAATTTTTAAAAGGTCCCCTTAGTTCCCCTGGGATTCCATCACTAGATCCTGACTTCATGACAATGAGACTAAAGGACAACTCTATCCATTTAAACAAAAAAAGAATTTTTGAAATCGGTCCAGGCGTCTTCGAGTAATCGAATAACAAACATAAAAAAAATACAGTAGCTACAGTTAACCATCCAGGTACTCCTTTAACTATCGTGCTACTTGATCATCACCCCTAATAATAATTACACTCCATCTAGGTTTAAAGGTCTCATCAATCATCATAAATGCATATTAACATTGTCCCAGTCAATTCAGTAACCTTTACTATGATCATGTGTAAAGAATAATAGTACGAATTATAAGGAAGTTATTGTTTCTAATTTTGTATAAAGTTATATTCCATTTTACCTGTTCGAGTATGTGGTTACGGTAACAAAGTAATAATACTTTATCAAAAGTATATCCTAACTGCTAAGATATAAAAATCTTTTACGCTGTAGATTGATATTGAAATTCCTTATCTTTGCCCATCCAAATAACATGAGATAATGTCTTACATTTTGAGCCTCGAACGTTGTAAGCAGAGGTGCACATATTTAGCGCGAAACACACTGCCGGGCGGGTTACAATTTTTACCGCAAAATACTAAATACACAGTGTATGTTGGGGTGATGTTAAATAATATTGTTATTATTAATAATATAAACCAATAAGATAATGAGTCCCATGTAAAAAGAGATATTTTTAAGGGGGGAAAATCATCGAATGGCTTCTCCCGCCTGGGTGGGGCGGGAGAGAGTGTCAGACTCTTATTGACTAAAAACCACCCCGTTCCTACTCATGCACTTCGAGCCGGAGCCGCGGTAACCCGTTAGGTTCTCCGCGGCTCTGTATCGGCATCAGCCCTATTTGGCCGCATCCGTGGTGGTCGGATGGATCTTTGAGGCGCGCGCGGAACGCAGAACGCGGAACGAAGTACTGTACTGTACAAGCATCATTCCAGACTCCATGAATCCGTGATGCAGCGTAACAATCCAATGTTTTTACAGAAAAGACGAATCAGACAGTGAAGCTGGATGCTTCGACGGTGGAGATTGAGGAACGAGGAGTGAAACTACGCCTCACCGTAGTTGATACTCCTGGATACGGCGACGCTATTGATAACACAGATTGTTTCCGAGTAAGTCATATTCTTTCTTTGTGCTTTACTAGCTTTGGCCCGCGGTCTCGTACGCGTGGTGTAGGATGTTATTTATAAGACATCCTCTTGAATCTAGCTATATGTTCAAAAAAACAGCATCAAAATCCGTTGTGCAGTTTTAAAGATGCGGTGACGATCCTTTAGTCCTAATAAACTGTATTTACAAAAAATAAAAACATAAATGATTTATATCTTTTATGTTTTTGTATTTTTGTTTCATCTCAGTTATTAATGAACAAACCGCCTTTGTTTACTTTACCATTGATTGCTACCAACAATAGCTGATATAATGATTTGTCGGTGTGAATAGTCCAATTCAGGTGCAGACGTTTATAATAAAAACTATTATTAGCCGTATTACGTCCACTGCTGAACAATGGTCTCGCCCAAGAACGGTTTACCAGAAACCTGGCAACCAATTTTGGAATTTCAGGTCATCGAAGTTAATCGGTTTTAAAACCCAGGTTCCAGGCTTCTTTCTATCCGCCATATCATTATTATGTTTCTGCCTTTTTGAGTAAGACATCCATGGTCTTTTGGTACATCCTGTAATTTATTTTGTTTAGTGTGTCATCGGCAATAATGTAACAATTATAGCACACCAACGACCAGTTACTGCCACTTATGAATAAGACTGTATTAGCAGTACTTACTGTATTTGCTGTTGGAATAACAGTACTACTAAAAACATTTAAAGTTCCTGTCTACATTAAGTAGGCTACTTAGTAGTTGAGAAACTATTATGCCTCAGCATGTAGCTAGATTACTGTTATCCGCAATACACGTGATGGGCATAATTTAAACTTAACTGGTCTTGTATTTCCCATTTAATGCCAAAAACCAAAACTTTTTCCAACAAAAAATAAAGCGCTTTTTTTGTTTTCCGTGTCGAAGTCTGCTTAGCTAAAACAAAAACTCCTGGCTATAATCACTTATTCTATCAACGATTGCTAACGCAACGCAGAACAGACCTCGGATATTCCTTTAAAAACTTTTCCATATTTGGTGTTATTAGAAAATCAATTAAAAGAACAACAAACAAAGTACATTTGAAAAAGGAGTTATTACGTATCTAAATCCATTAGGGCTTGACATTACCTCAATCATCCATTTCTGTAGAACACAACAAATTATATGATTTACAAGGCAAAAGCAATAAAACATGGTAATACTTAGTCTTGACCAACTGTAGAAGAAGTAGAGCGATGCAATATGGCGCATTCTTTGACGCATGTATGTATGTTGTGACCCTATTCGTGTGAACGCCGCAGTGGACTGCCGCGGACCGTACTTCGAGGTCAAGGATACTGTTCCTGCAGTTTATAGAAAATTTATTCTAAAGTAGGTGAAAATAGAAAGTCCTGTATTGAATGCACGAGGTTTTTATGTGTGTATTAGAAGTGTAGATATTGTAGATTTGCTAAGTGCTTTTTTGAGATTTAAAATGTGAATTGAAAAATTTAGGGACTGGTTTTTAACTTATTTCTGGTACCAATGTTTAAAACCTTTTAAGTGGAATAGCCGACGGTCTGTTAATGATGTTGTTGTTGATTCAATTTGTGGCTTCTTCATTCCACTTGTAGGTAGATATGTTTTGCTACCAAGAATTTAACATCTTCTCAAAGCTTACAGTACACGTTATCTGGAAAAATGTACAACGTTCACATTTGTACACGATTTGTTTGTTTACAGTCGATAATTCAATACATCGACGAACAATTTGAACGGTTCCTGCGAGACGAGAGCGGTTTGAATCGACGTAACATTGTTGATAACCGTATACATTGCTGCTTCTACTTCATATCGCCGTTTGGACATGGGTAAATAAATTACCTTTTTATAGGAAACGAGTAGTCGGTTTGGTAAGCAATCGGCGTTGCTCATGGACACCCGTGACACCAGTGAAGGGCAAATGCTTTGCTTGCTTAACGGCTTTTGGATAGAGGAGGAATAGTGCCTCTTCATTTATAAGGCGATACACAACGCAAGCGTTGTTTCACGCCGGTTTTCTGTGAAGCCGTGGTATCACTCCTGTCGAGTCAACCCATTTGTGCCGTAACATGGTTTTCCTATGTAAAATAATTATAAGAGTTTTGATAAATATTACGTCGTTTTTCTATGGAAATTGTTCTTTACACAGAATTTTAATCTCATACAAAACTGGGTATGTAGGACTTGCTTCCGGCATCCACTAACTACATGATAAAATATTAAAATAAACACACATACTTTTATAAAAGTTGACGACAATCAATACGAAATACAATTTTGAACTTTATTGTTTTGGTATAAAGTCTATACTCACGGCCCGTTTAACTTTCTTCGAAAGGTAGCAAATTGGTTTACATAGTTTACAAAAAGAGGTTGTAAAATATTATATTATATTATTTTATATCAGGTTGAAACCCCTCGACATTGAGTTTATGAAGCAATTACACAACAAAGTGAACATTGTGCCCGTTATCGCCAAAGCCGACTGTCTCACCAAGAAGGAGGTTCAGAGGTTGAAGACTAGGGTAAGTGTGACCATTGTAGTTGCTTTTTTAGTAATTATTTTTTAATTGCTTTGAACGATTGCGATTTCGTTATATCAGTTATCTTAGGAGCCTGTTTCATATTGTCTGAATAGCTGCTATGTACCAGATAAATTTAAAATAAGAACGTAATATTTTTTTATTGACTATAAACGATTGCGATTCCGACATGCCAGGTACCTTAAAGCCCTGTTCCATAATGTCTAGGTAGCTATAGCCGCTATGTAGTCTATGTACCAGATCAATTTGAATTAGGAACGTAATTTGTATGAACTGTCGGTCATAAGTTAGTTTATCGGATACTTATATGAAGGTGACCTAGTGCAACATTATTAACGTTTCACTAGGCCTACCATTAATCTATTTGAGAAGTTCACATTATTTTACGTGCCTGCATCACATCTGAAACATCAATAAGATAGTGTAACAAGGATTGGTGCAATTAAATGAAAATCTGTAACAATGATATCTTTGTTCTGAAGGTAATGGAAGAAATTGAACGCGAGGGCATCAAGATCTACCCTCTACCTGACTGTGACAGTGATGAAGACGAGGATTATAAGGAACAGGTTCGTATAAAATCTTATATTTTTATATTGTATAAAGCGGAAGAGTTTGTTTGTTTGAACGCGCTAATCTCCGAAACTACGGGTCCGATTTGAAAAATTCTTTCTGTGTTGGATAGCCCATTTATCGAGGAAGGCTATAGGCTATAAAATAAAACATTAAGCTACGATTAATAGGCGCCAAGCAGAGCGAGTGAAACCGCGCGGAAGTAGCTAGTTATGCTATAAAATATCATGGTTTTTAACCGACTTCAAAAAAGGAGGTTCTCAATTTCATCTGTATGTATGTTTGTGCGGTATTATCTCGTGACTTGTTGTTACACTTAGGAGAAGGTTTTATTATATTAATTAACAGACTTTAAAAAAGGTGGGGTCGAAGTCGGTATTTTTAAACGTAATTTATAAAACAATTATTTAACCTATAGGTACTATAAAGCTAAATAGTTAGTTTATTGGTTCAATTTGCTTGCACGGGCAGTTGATCGCTTAATTTCCTACAATATGGTTGTCAAATTCAAAGCATTTATTTCAATTGTTTTTTCATCAAAAATTTCAAAAAACTTTTGATGAAAAAACAAAAAACCAAATTATGGTTTAATTGAAAGTTTCAAAAAACTTTTGAAACGTCAACAAATACAAAATAAATAATAGGCTGTCAGTCAGTCCGTCATTGAAGCTAGGTGAAGCTAGGTGCTGATTCCAAAATGTAGATTCGAATAGAGAAGAACGAGCAAGAAACTCCTTTCGTTACTCTTTTGTTGAGTTGGGCGGTGCTGCTGTACGCATCATGGTCGTGAACGGACGCCGTCAACAGGGACTGGTCAGCTCTAGACTGTATTAAATTTGTTGTCCTCGAGGTTATTTTCTTTTTCTTTCTTCTTGACTAAATATTGGTGTTTTTACATTGTTAGATAAAGATAAAAGATAAAGATATTTTTTATTTGCGTTAACATGAGTAATATTACAAGAGTACATGCAATGGTGTTAAGTTAGGAGTATGTGCTACATGTTATGCCGTTTTGGCGTACAAATATTTAATATTAACTCGTCGAGTACCGGTTTTATAGACACAATTAAAGAACAATAGGTCACGGTCACCGGTGACCGCTTGGTGTTTGACAGTTTAAGGTAGGTAGTGAAAAAAAATATATACATGCAAACCTAAATAAGCAAAAAAGACATAGAAGACAATATTAACCGTTACAGGTACAACAAAATTATGTTAATTGTATTACAAATCTAATTTATCTTTTAAAAAATCTTCTATATTATAATAACATTTCTTAAGTAACAAACATAATTGAACCAACGAAACAATGTAACCAATATTGTATTGTGAACCTGATTGAAAAAGAGTAATCTATGGACTTTCTTGCTTGTTGTTCTCCATAGGAATCTACACCTTGGAATGAGCAAATAGCTTCTCTAGAGGAATGACCGACAGCCTGACATTTTTTTTAAATACATATTTCAATATTATGTTGTTGACGTTCAAAAGTGCCTTCCTGGTCTAAATGAAAATGATTTTGACGTTGACTTCAATCATTGGCACTACTGGTTTGATTTTGAAAATTTGGTGGTCTATTAAATCTATCGAGGAAGGCGATCGGCTATAAGGCATCACACACGAAAGATAGGAGCCGAACCGGGCGGATCTGCGCAGGACTAGCTAGTAGAGGTGTATAGGATTAGAAAGCATCTTATCTAACTGCCAGCTCATTAACTGACATTATCTAGAACTCATGTGTTTACTCGGAAATCGTGAGTAATTTACATGACTGCACCAGAGAAAAATGTTACTTTGCCTTAATTTATGTTGACTTTGAGATATTGTGGTTTTAGAGCTATACCGAAATAGCTCTAATAAATACATTATCTTCTTTATAATATTAATATCTCTATATAGTATACACAAATGAACTAGCTGATCCGACAAGCTGACCCGCATAAAAACTTGTTTTATCGCCATTTAAACCTCTCTGGACTTCCACAAATCATTCAAGACCAAAATTAGCCAATTCGGTTCAGCCGTTCTCCGTTTTAGCGAGACTAACGAACGGAAATTCATTTTTATTTATATATATTGCTGTTCGTTATTCGGCTGGGCCGATTTGGATATTTTTGGTCTTGAATTATTTGTGCCGTCCATTACACCCAAAATACCAGAGGAGATATAAGTGCGATATCGGCTTATTGGGGGTTAGGAATTTGAGAATCGGGGAGATTGCTGAGGGAGGGAATTGGTCTTCCAGTAAAGGAAACAATGAATGATGAGATGATGATGACTTTTTGGGGATTTGAGGATAATAAATAATTCTTACTAAATTAACTAAAAATCGCGGGTTATTCACGTGAAAATACTGAAAAAGCTCTACCACAGAGGGGTTCTTCCACAGATTCCTCAGTGATTTTTAGTTAATTTAGTATGTCTCACGATAGTTATTATAAAAACTTCTTCTTACTACCAATTTCCCCCCTAGGTACGTCAATTAAAGGCGGCGGTGCCGTTCGCGGTGTGTGGCGCGGGGCAACAGTTAGAGGTGCGCGGGCGCCGCGTGCGCGGCCGGCTCTATCCTTGGGGAGTCGTCGAGGTCGAGAACCCTGAACACTGCGATTTCATCAAGCTTAGGACTATGCTTATGTAAGTATTTATGTATTTTCTTACTATTTTTTTTTATGGGATAAACCGGTAAGCGAGCAGACGGATCACCTGATGATGTGCAATTGGCGTCACCCATGGACACCTGGAATACCAGAGGCATTACCGGCCATTTGGGGATTAAGAATTTGACTTCAGTTCATCACTCAATCTAAGTTTGTATAACTACATATGAAGCTATTTTTTTTAAGCGGGGCAAATCATCGAATGACTGCTCCCGCCTGGGTGAGAGGGGAGGGAGTGTCAGACTCTTACCGACTAAAAACCACCCCGTTCCTACTCCTGCACTTCGAGCCGGAGCCCCAGTAACCCGTTAGGTTCTCCGCGATTCCGTATCAGCATCAGCCCTATTGGATCCACCACGGATGGGGCGTGGTGGTCTGATGGCTCTTTGAGGCGCGCGCGGAACGCGATGCGCCGTACGCTCGTGTCTGGTTCTGGTCGGGCTGCCAGCCACCCGTGCTGTCCGTCGCGCCGTCCGCAGGCCTGCGCTTACGGTGGCCGGAGATCGTCTCGCGATCTCCGGCCACGAATCTGGGTTGTGAAGAGGCAGCGAAGCGCTGCCTCACGCGTCCCGCCTTCTCCTTAGCTAGCATGACTGCTTCGCAAAAGGAGGAAACGCCATCCCAGTCGAGTCGAGAGAGTCCCAGTCGAGCGAGTCATCCCCTCGCTCCGCATCATGGCCTGCACTAGGGCCGGAGGCGAGAGTTCGTCGTCGCCGATCACGTCTCTGAGGGCACGGCGGTGCTCAGCCCACGCAGGGCATTCTCCGACTGTGTGTTCCACCGTGTCCTCAGGGCGGTCCCCGCAGTGATGAGACTCGGGCGTTTCCTCCCGCCCCATCAGACACAGTTATCTCCCTAAGCTCCCATGTCTGGTGAGGACCTGCGTCAGGCGGTAGGTGAGGACGCCGTAGCGTCTCTCAAGCCACTCCTCAAAGAGGGGACTTACCGCTGCGATGGCAGCAAGCCCAACATATGAAGCTATACAACACCAGTTTATCATGGTTTCGCTTTATGCGATCATTCCGCACCTTCACAGGTCACTTTATACTGGTTATGCAGAACTTGATGTGTGTTCCATATGCAGAGATAAATATATCACTATTCTTAAACATTTTACGTATTTATAGAGCTACGGTATTCAACATATGACCACCATGAGTCACTTCCCTTGTACTGACTACTGAACCATGTGTAAACAATATAATTTATACAACTACATACGAATATAAAAGAGTATTTTATGGGATAAAAATAACTGTTGCGATCCGAGTAGGTATGTACCTAAATTATAATAATTATTATGTGTGATTTAATTATATCATTAGTATTAACGTAATCGCTGAGTGGTAGTGGCTACATGTGGACTTAAGAATCTATTTATATAAACACAAATTTACAAAAAGTAGGGTAAGGCTCGCCTGTTCGCGTCTACCTACCAGTTCGCGTTGTTACGGATAACAGAACGCCCTTTAGAAGTGCTTTGCTTGGAAATAAGAAAACTTTTACCATAATTTAGTAATATTTATTACTCATTTGTTTGACCTTTTCACGTTTTTAAGTGTCTTACATTCATGGCGATCCGTAAAATGGACGCGAGCTGGTGGGTGGACGAGTACAGGTGAATTTAGCCTATGCATGCACGTATTCATCATCATCTGCCCTGATCTCCACGCTTGGCAGGGGGTTTGGAGATTACAAATACATATTGTTTTATTATGTTCATTTGAATTTGTAGTACAAATAAACGTGTTTTCTATTTTAATTTAATGAATTCAGGTTTATAAAAAAGTGCTCCTGCTTGATCTCTGTTCAATGTATTGTTCCCTTTTTTAAGGGGTGAAAGTCATCCAATTACTTCTCCCGCCTTGGGTGATGCGAGAAGGAGTGTCAGCCTCTTACTGACTTAAAAGTATGGTCGGGTGTCACGACACTGGTGTAAAGAACAGGTGGCTTACTCTTGAATCCAATTCCGATCGATCGACATTGGTATTATGAAATTTCGTACTCTTGAGTTGCAACACTAGCGCCCATTGCATTCGTATTGCGTGGATATTGAATGAACTAAATGGTATTGAGTTTGGCTTTATATTCTGTACTCTGAATGCTATTTTAACAGATACGACAGGGGTTGTATAGTTTTGACATTGAATGATTATTGATATTTTATTGGATTGAAATTTCATTGAGATTGGTTTCAAGAGTAAGCATCCTGGGGTGGTGATAAATGTAACCTATTATAGGGCCATGCATTTCGTAATTAATTTTACAGTTATTATAGAAAAATATTTGGTTTGGTTGCAGCACTCACATGCAAGACTTGCAGGAGGTGACTCAGGAAGTTCACTACGAGAACTACCGGTCGGAGCGACTCGCCCGCAGCGGACAGGTGCCCAAACGACACACGTGAGTTATATTTTTATTTTGTTAGGATAGGGCAGTAAACGAACAGATGGATCGCCTAATGGTAAGCAATCGAGGTCAACCGTAGACACCCGCAATATTATAAAAGTTACAAGTGTGTTGCCTGCTGTTTGGGGGTTAGGTATTCTAAAGGAGATTTGGGGGATGGATAGATTAGAAGATTGGGGTGGGGGGATTTGGGCCTCCAGTAACTTTACTCACACGGCGAAACAACACAAGCGTTATTTCACGCCACGTAATGTCGTGGTGGCCGGGAGGTTTAAGACGCCCGCTTCTCGTGCATGGGGGTGCGGGTTCGAAACCTACCAACGAAAAGTAACAATGTGACTTTTTCCGATTTATAGGTATGTACTTTCTAAGATTATATAGACACTGACAAACGGTGAAGGAAAAACATCGTGAGAAAACCTGGGATTATAATTTCTAATTATATAATTTTGAAATCGCCAACTCGCATTGAGGAAGCGTGGTGATTAATGCTCTAACCTTCTCCATGTGTGAAGAGGCTTTGCTCAGCAGTGGGCATTTATAAACTGTTGATGTGTTGTGATGATGTTATTTCACACTGGTACCAAAAGTCAAAAGCATTTATGTCAACTAAACATTACATTGGTTATTTCATTGGGGTAGGCCAATCAGAGCGCCAACTCTTGTTAAACGTAAAAGTGTAAAACAAATCTCAGAAGTTAAACCGAAATAGCGTATTCGATTTTACTTTTATTTTAAGTTAAAATTTAGCTGGTTTTTAATTTCTGTTTAAGCGGAGATATATAATAAACGTTACTTATTTTTGAACCTACCTAGCTTTTTATTCTCATACTCTTATTCTTTCTTATACCTATTTTATTCTTGTACTTCATACTTGTTAAATGGGTAAACACAAACATTTTATAATACTTTATCGATCCCTCTCGTTCTGTAGACTCGCTTCTCCCGCGATCAACGAGACGTAACGTTCAAATACTCAAATCATTTTTAACTCAAATTTTAAGATACTCTCAAGAATACTTTTGTCGCATCAAACTCTTTGTAAAATGACAGAGATAGCACGATATTTAAGAACAATTTAATATTGAATAGTGTTTCAGTATTCGATATTCTTTCAATGCGTAATTGAGATTGCATTTATCTTCATACTGTACTCGAGTTTTCCACAGATACTTAACAAATGGCATGCATGAATAATAAACTGTAATTGCTATTAGTATAAGTATGCAGGGAAAGTGTGCGCAATGATCGGAAAAACGATGTTAATAGATGCAACGTTACTTTTATTACGGCTCATATAGTTACATACTACTAGCTACTCCGCGGTTTAATCGCTGCTCGGTTCTTAGAATTAAAAAAAATTAAAGCTTTCTTCGATAAATAAACTTCGACCCCTGTGCGGTATAATTACCGGACCGATCTATTACTTGTGTCATACAAAAATAGTATTCCCGGGTCTAGGTGTGATTTTTATGAGAAATTATGTATTTCTAAACGACACAGGATGAAATCTTAGCGTAAAGCAATATTTACTGGAAAGGATAGATAAAGAAAACATTATATAAAGGAAACATCGTGAGGGAAATTGGATTTTTAATTTCTAATTATAAGTTTGACAACCCGCCTTGAGCAAGCGTGTTGATTACCGCGAAAGAAGAGGCGTATTGCTCAAGCCATAAATAAGTAATAGCACGGAATTTTTCATTTTCGTTGTGTAAATAGAATCATTGTATCTTCGCGTATTGTTACGTGGGAATCTAAATATATTTACACGGAATACGTGAGGTCTGTACCTCATTGCATGTGCAAACAACTTCAAATTGTTCTTGTAATTAGGATTAATTGATGGCAAGGTAATGATATTTACTAGTTTAATAAACAAGTACTTACATAATTTTCTTGGACGTGAACATTTTATTATACTCCGTTGTCTCAACTATTCAAAACATATGTTGGCACCGATACGAATGTCACTTTTTTCACGAAAATACATACGGAAATAGTCCGAGAATAGCCACAATTGATGAAATGCAAATAAACGATGAAATAAATAAATAATCGAATAAGACATCTAGATTACTTATGGAATAAATGAACTATGAAAAGACTACACACGAGAAACTACGCGTGTGTCCTATGTCGTCGACGACCTTCAACGATTTATGTTAAAATTAAAAGTCTGAATTACTTGCAGTTAAAATTTTAGTGATGTGAATAACGTAATGAAACATTACAATATAGCGATGTACAGATCGTTATAGATCTGATCGCGATAATCTATGGTCGATGACGGAATTGACTCGACTAAATGTTTCTTTTTTTTTGTAGATCGACTGAGAGCGGATTGAGCGAGGCAGACTCTAACGGTCTTACAAATGGTTCCGAAGACCCCAGTGACCGCGAACGTGCACTGCGTGAAAAGGTATTTTTTTATTTTAAGAAAGAAGTTGGTTTCTTTTATTGACTGACTGACTCCTCCTACAGCGCGGTTATCATAAGAGCCGACTAAGGGACTATATATACAATCCCTTAGTTAGAATATTCAATACAAAAAAATAGTGGAACTTATATAAGATAAACTTAATGCCATCTGGCATTCTCTACCAGTTACCTTTTTTTGAGGGGGAAATCATCCAATGACTTCTCCTACCCGGGTGAGGCGAGAAGGAGTGCCAGACTCTAACTGACTAAAAACCACCCCATTCCTACTTCTACACTTCGAGCCAGGGCCCCGGCAACAAGTTAAGTCCTCCGCGGCTCGTATCGACATTAGCCCTAATAGCCTAGCCGTACCCTCAGGTCTGGTTCTGATCGGGCGGCGAGTCACCCGTGCTCACTGTCCGCAAGTCCGTTCTTACGGTGGCCGGAGATCGCGATCTCCGACGCTGGAGTGTCTCTCGCGACGGCTGGGGCGTGAGGAGGTTCGGTCCCTCACGAGCTCCGCCTCATCCTAAGCTAGCATTACCAGTTAACCTCAGGGCTTAAATAAAAAGTTGCGACAATAAATTACGGAGAATAAAATAACGAAAGAAAGTATAGTAATTCAACGCTCTCTGACAAACCCAATCTTTTTAAACAGCAATCTCAAACCCAATTGCCAAGCGTAGATAGAAGCAATACCGTCTTTTGTAGAGGAGGCCTCTAATCCCTATAGGGTGGACTCTCCGGGCTGTTTATGATAATGATCCTCACAAATATTTTCATTCCTTGCAGGAGGCCGAGCTGCGTCGCATGCAGGAGATGTTGGAACAGATGCAGCGACAGATGAACCTGCAGGCTGCCAGCGGCGCCAGTACCACTAGTACCGCATAGTGGTTGCGTACCGCACAGGTAAATGCATTTGACACCTCCCCTACTCTTCCTGCGCGTGTTGTACCGTACTGACCCACACGCACGACTGCTGAGTCTACAGGGTATATGTAGAGTTTAGTTCTTGGACGGTATGAAACAGACAGAGTACAACAATTTTGTCTACAATTTGTCATCCCACACCGTTTAAACTCTGAATTACAAGCAGATTTACTCGCCAAGCATGAATTTTTTGGGCAACCCTTATATAAAGTAATTTCTCTTAGTCCAGCAGTTGTTTGCGTTTCCCACACGCCTATTAGATATTGTTATTCTATATTTTTTTTTACTATACTAATTTGTTATTTCATTTCATTCAACAGTTGGACATTAGTACGGCTGTCCAGCTGCCAGCGACGTGTGACCTCGTCAACTCGATACTTCGCGCCATCCCCTACTGCGTTACTTCCAACTAGGTGTAACTGTCGTACAGCCTGTAACGTTCACACAAATATATCGCTCGGAATTAGTAATATTAAGAGTTAAAATTGTATCGTTGAAAAATCACCTAAATAGACTAGTTTAGTCGTAACTCGTAGTCGCTTTTCCCATTACTATTACAGTGACATCTCGAATACCTTAATATCATCATCATGACATAATAATGTTCACTTAGCCTTTGTGATCAGAAAATCCGTCATTAATATTAAAATATGTAGTGTACTAATAGCAATATTCACAAAAACTTTGTGTGACCGACGCCATATATTTTTGTGAACATTACAGAGTTAAGTATTATTTACTCAAATATTATTTTCCTTTCATATATTATAGGACGATTATAGGTATATCCATATCTATAGACAATAGATTGTTTTATCTCTCTATACTAGTTCTAAGGTAAATGCAATATTTATACAGTGCAGGTATATAACGTTTTATTTTAAGAAAGTGCACTACACTTTGAAGTAGGTTGCGATTAATCGACTAACGTATATTTGAATAGTTGATTGTACGTTCAAGATGCACACGGAGCACTGCAGAATCTCACATTGCTGTGTTAGGGTGCACTTCATTTTATAATTCTAAGACAATATGCTATCGTTGATATAGAATGAGGTGTTGCAAGCTTAAAGCACAATATTACACGAATCGTTTCCGCGAAAACACTTGTATTTTTCATTCCAGTCTGTAGTGAGAATTGACTTGTTCCACATGAATTCGTAATTTTACTTGTCAAGTAGATCGTATATAAAATAAGATGACGTAACCTATCCATATGTGTTAATTAATTGTTAATGGTAACAATAGGTTGTAAACAGCGGCCTCATAATGTTGATCTGATATGCATTTATTATTATTGTTCTGTGCCATTTCGTTCTATAACATGATTTATTTTTAATACGTATTTCTGTCAATTAAGTCACTGCCTATATTTGGTCGAATATTTATATTATTACGTTGCAATACCAGGAAATATTTTTGGTATATATTTTTTTTACCTTATAAAGAAGTGAAGACTTCAAATTTTTTTCTCATGACAAAAGTATTATTTTACTTTTATGACTGACTTTATATTTTATTTAAGTATTCCATTTTTGTATTGTCAATTTACTCTTTAATGTTAGGAGATTATTACACTGTCCTACTAGGTATGCATGAAAATATATTATTATTTTTAAGGAATTATTGGAATGATTGTATCGAATTGAAGGCTGAATTGCTATTTGGGATGTCTAATTGAATTGAATTATCAAATCCTAACTTTAGTAGGTACTTAAAATTCTTAGTATCTTGTGTAATTAGAATTTATTCCAGCGTTGGTGCATTTATTTTGTATTCTAATGATATCTCCTTATTGTAAATTAATTGATGAATCGAACATAAAATGTAATAAATTTTAGAAGTTAAATTGGTGCCAAAGTTTCGAAATGAAAGTCGTCTAACTTGAAAAGTAATAGTTTCTGGATTATTTTATTGTGAGTTAACTAGGTACCCGTGTACTTTTATGTAAAAGAAACTTCTATGTAATCATATTTTTATAGTAAATGTAAACGAATCATAATAATGTGTTTTATTTATATTTTACTATCAATAAATGAATAAGTGTTTGGTTTTGTGACTCCTATACAATACTAACAACAATCCTTACTTCCTTATTAATATCACGAATTATCGGAAAGTAAGTTTTTTTGTTTATTTGTTTGTTCCACTTTCACGCCGTAACTACTAAACCGATTGCTTTGAATTTTTGCAGACGTGAAGTTAGAAGTCTGGATTAAATAATAGGGTACTTTTTATCCCGGAAAAAATTGATTTTGATATTCTCGAGGGAAAACGAAATTATTGGTATAGATGGCGCTGTGTGTATTGTTACATGTCACGTAGGCTACTTTTTATCCTTTCGTGACGCGAGCGAAGCCGCGGGTAAAAGCTAGTAAAAAATAAGGCATTTATTTCTAGTATAAAAAATAATAATAATAAAGACTGCCTCGCTGGCCGAGTGTTCACAAGTGCGACTGCCGGGCAAGGGGTCTCGTCAAAGAGTATATTAAGTATAGGGGGGTCTCGTGTTCAATTCTCGGGTCGGGCAAAGCATAACTGGATTTAAAAAAAAAACTCAGTAGTAACACGGAGTCTGGAATTGTGCCCGGTATATGTGCACCTCTGCCTACTCCTTCGGAGATTAAAGGCGTCATGATATGTAAATGAAGTTGTTGGTTTTGTAACTCCTATACAAAACCATCAATAATGACATAAGGCATTTATTTGTAAATAGTAAAAATCGGTTCAGCCATTCAGGAGATAATCGCAGACAAATATAATAATTCCATGTCAAACAGAGAACCTACTTTTTAGAGGTCAGTAAAATTCTTTTGTTTGAAAGCAGCGGAAGATTACATTTTGGCCGCGCATTACACGCGCTGTATAGCGCCCGCTTCCAACATGCCTACAGCTCGAATCTGCTCTTTCCTTGTCCATTATCGCCATGACATAACAATAAATGTAACACGTTGAAATGAGGACAAAGAAAATGTGTAATCGCTTTTAATTTTTCAGAACTTCACTGTTCCCGTTGAAAATCCTCCTCTAAATTTGTTTCATACAAAAATAGTCTCTAAACATTCGAAATAAGGTCTATAATGTAGTTAGTGGAGAGCGATCACCGGTGACCGCTTGGGGATAACATGAACTAACTTTTCGACCGCCAAATTAGAACAATTGGTTTTTTGTTTCAAAATGAGTTTTTGGTTTTTTATATTTTTTTAATTTCGAAAGAAGTGGTGGAGAAGAAAATATTTTATCTACAAACTTTTTTAAACATAAGTTAAGAAGTCTTTCATGCAATATCCCTATCCCTAGACATTGTTGATGTGTTTATTTTTTTACTATGATAAAATCACGATAAAATAAATTGCATTCATTAAACTTAATAGTTTCCTTTAGACCTTTCTTTAATTTTAGTTGATTTAGTAAGTGACTACAATCGATTATCATACGAGTGACATTTATAAAATTTTTGACAGGCAACTGCTTTCGTCCGCCATAGTCGTTTGCGAAATTTGTTATCAAACAGCAGGAGAGCAAACTTGTGTTTAGTATTGTAGTGAATAATGGCTATCGTAGAAGACGAAGTGAGAAATGAATCGGAGGAAGAGAGTGAAATAGGTGTGATTTTAGCGGAGGAAGAAGCCGATGCAGGAGACGACCCGGATGACTCCGACATCGAATTGGAAGAAGAAGAAGTATGCACAACCTTACAATCTTAATATAGTTGGCTCACTATTGGGCCCAATTCATTATTTTAATAAATAATACTGGTTTTAATTAGAAAATGAAGTTATTCTGGTTATAAAGAATTATAATTGCACACGGGAAGGCATAAACAATAGAATCCTTTGTAGCACTTCCAACTGGAACCTTACATGCATGATTTTGCAACTGTTTTTAGTATTTATTTTATTTGCATCGTCTTTGCTACGTATATTATAACTTGTGAATTATTTTCTATCTCCTTTTTACATGCTGTCAATCTTTTGTGCAGTTTTGTTGTACAAATTTAAAGAAATTACCCTTTTAAAACCTGTATTCATCTATTGCTTTGCGACGCAAGAAAAGACGTCCTGCAATATGAAAATAACGGAGAACTAAATTGTGACAATCTACCTTCAATGTAGAAAACAAGTTTTATAGAAACTACATACTTTTGAATGATAATTTGTGAAACATAACCTATTCTTGGTTCCTATACCTATTATACTTTTCTTCTTTACATCACAAAACGCAAGATTGCGAAGATATTCTTATTGTTAACATTGGGATAAGACTTATTCCTTTGTTCTCTACAAAGGAGTTTCATAATAATAGGTTCTATTGTTGTACTCTTTTTTAATTTTAAGTAGGTCACAGACGTGTGTTGAGAACCGATCTCCGGATTGGTTGATGCTCTTGTAATTATTGACTTTCCCACTATTTTATGTAGTGGCTGTAAATTTATCCACTGAGCTTCATATAGTAGGTGCCATCGGTTAGGGTAGTAGATAAGTAACTTAAATGTTAACTAATTTTATACTATAATGTCTAGATCAACCTCGGCTATTAACAAATACTCCATACAAATACATGTCAAACGTTTATTTTAATACAAAGAATTTGATTGGTTTGTCAGTTAGTATTCTTGGTATTAATTTTAGTCTGTTAAGTATAATTAATTGATTTTTCCGGGTTTGGGTTCATCGGTGTGGGCTAAAATAAAAAGTTTATGTATGGTAATAATAGCGTGGTAATATGTAGCCTATGATATGTTGACCCAACTTGCTAGTAATATTAATTCAAAATTTGTAGTAAATCCATGCAGGACTTTTTGAGATCATTCCGGACATACATATAGACAAACGGACAAAAATTCTCAAAACCATATTTTTGGCTTCGGTATCGACTGTAGATCACACGCCAAGTATTGGTTTTAATGTACAGTTTTGACTTTTCTTCAATTTTATTATATGTATAGAAGATGGACCAGCAATCAATAGCCTATCCTTATCAGCATGGTGCAATTTCTTGACAAAAAATAATTTTGCTATAACTTAATTGTATATTTAACTTTATATTTTTTGATAGGATGACGATGAAGAATTAATTTTGGAAAAGAGGGTGTTACGATTGGAGAGCTGTATTGAAAAGAATCCTAATAACTACCTTGACCACCTGGACCTCATTCAGACTTTGTGGTAAGTCAGTACAACGTTTTATCCATACTTGCTAATATTATGAAAATTAAGACTTTGTTTATAAGATATAACTTGCTTCTACAGAACTACATGTCTGAAATAGAACATCTTTTTCTGTTAAATAGTCCATATATTGTAGAAAGTTGCACAACCAAAAGGACCCGAGCAGCGAATGAAAACGCGCAAGCGTAACTGGTTATTCATATTTGTTTTAATATACAAAAAGATGACAATTTGAACTGACAAAAAAAAAACATTTAATGTACGGGTTTGGTTTGCCCGTACACTACCGTTAGTTGGTTTCTTGAGTTGATTGTTGAGTGTGATGATGAATGAATACCCTTCACTTGGTTATATAGAAGGTTTATTTTCCACCAGTTACAGTTTAGTAATAGTTTTAATGATTCTCACAGATACGCTTGTGTTACGTTGGCTGTTGTATACACACTGAAGACAGTTTTAATAATTGTTACGAACTAAGTGAAACGACCAATATGCTTACTTAGCTTGATGTCGCGACACGAATGTACGTAAACCGTACACTACTCAAAGAAGATTGAATGAAACTTCTTTATAATTTTCTGCATGATCAGCAAATACTAACGAAATTACACCAAATCAAACTGTATTGTTAGCAATTTCACACAAAATCACGCATTTTATCCCCGAAGTGGTAGGCAGAGGTGCACATTACGGCACATAATGCCACTGTACTTATGTACCACCCACTTTTCACTATTTATGTTATGAGTCCCATATAATAGGGGGTGAGCCTATTGCCATATACCGGACACATTTCCCGAGTGTCCTGCAGTCGCACTTACACTCACTCGGGCAATGAGGCACCCAAGTGTTAGCGAATTTATTAAAATATTAAATATTTACTAGGGGTCTGTCATCTCTGGAGCGTTGGCGAGTGGCGTTTGATAGACTGCAGCAAGTGAGGAAGCTGAAGCCTGAGGACTGGCTGATGCGGCTTCAGACTGAGGTGTCCCTGGCCCACAATGACGAGGCCCGCGAACGCGTCGCCAAACTGTTCCAGGATGCTGCTATAGATTGCTACTGTAAGTACATCAATGTTGACAGAGTCTAAGAATTTACATTCATATTAGAGAATTCTTGTACTTTTGACTGCATGGTTGGTGCGGTGGCTGGGCTACCGTGCATCGTGTCACGGTTTCGATTGCCGCACAACACTTAGTGTGATCCACAAATTGTTGTTTATGGTCTGGGTGTCATGTGTATGAGAATTTGTATGTTTTTATAATAACTATTGTAAGTAAAATCGCGGGTTACTCACGTGAATATGCTGAGAAAAGCTCTACTAGTTTCGAACCACAGAGGGGTTCTTCCTCATGAGCAGCGTGCGCGGTCGATATTCACGTGAGTAACCCGCGATTTTACTTAATTGAAAATTTGTATGTTTGTAAAACCTACGACACAGCAGAAAATGACAATGTAGCGAGTATTGTTTAAAAAAAATATATTTTCCTGTTGAAACATTGAGGATTTTTGTAATTATAACAGCACACCTTATTCATACACAATCACTGGATATAAATACAAACAGAAGTAGTCTCTAAACATCGGAAATAAGGTCTATAATGGAGTTTTCCCTACAATGAGTTTAGTCCCATATTCAGGTCGGCCTATTTCTATGTTATTATATTTTTATATAGCCATCCCGATTCTGAGTGAGTGGTGTTCCTGGGCACTGACTGTGGAGCCGGCTGACAAGGCGCGTGAACAGTTGGAAGAAGTTTTAAGACGCGCTGGTGCTGACCCCTTCTCTGGGAAGATCTTCTGGGATGCCAAGTTTGAACTGGAGAAAAATCAGCTGGACAACTTGAGGTTAGTTTAATAATGCTATTGACAGTTTGAAATATCCAGGAGTTGCAACGGTTTTGGGAGGTTGTGGGGAGTATCCCTAAAAAAATGCTCTTTTTAAATGAAATAAGCTGCTAATCGAGCAGGCGGATCACTTGATGGTAAGTAATCGGCGCCGCTCATGGGCACTTGAAATACCAGGGGTGTTACAAGTGCGTAACACCGAGTCTTTTGGGGTTTAGGAATTTGGGCCTCCGGTAATATCACACGACGAAACACAACTCAAGTGTTGTTTCACGTCAGTTTTCTGTGTGACCGTGGTATCACTCCAGTCGAGCCGGCCTTAGTGCCGAAGCATGGCTCTCCCACACTTACTAAGGCTGGCTGGCTATCATCAGTTTAAAAAAGTTATGCATCGGTTTACGGCCTGATGGTAAGCGAACAACAATGGTATCACAAATGCATTGCATGTTACGTGTATACTCAATGAGGGACTATTATTAGGCTGTGGACCTTCTCGTCAAAGATTAGTTTGCCATAATCTCTACACATGGAGATCATGCATCAGTCGTCGTTTATGCTTTGCATATCATATAATAAACTGTACAATTACTGCTTTGGAACTATAATTACTATTTTTTTTATTGTAGTGAGGAAGACCCAGAATACAAGGCTCAGAAAGAGCGAATGCTCTGGTGCCTGGAGGAGGCGGTGTCCAGACCTCTTCTAAGAGGGGAGGAGGCATTACAGCAGATGGAGGAAATTGCACTCTCCTTGCACAGCCAGGATTATGTTGATAAGGTAGTATTTTGCATTAATTCTATTTATAAAGTATGTTATCCTTTGCCTGTGTACATTAGCTTATACTCTTGTTTATTATATTCTCAACTATATGTACTGATGTATGTACAATTTAAGAGGATCATAAATATAAATATTTGCATTTCTTCAAGTAAAAGTTTATTCATAATCACAAGATTAATTCTATATTATGTACTTGTACACTTGTATCTACTTATAAATCTGTGATTACGAAAAAAATACATAATTTGGTCATACAAAAGTAGTCTCTAAACCTGGAAAATAAGGTCTGTAATGGAGTGAGTGACAGTGTAGAGAGGACAATGGTGTCCGCTCGGGGATTAGTATAAAGCGATGCAATGTGTAATTATGTATGTTGTTTTAGGTGAAAAAGCAACACGAATATGCAGTAGAATTCCTTCACAGGATATCTCCGTTTGAAGACCAGTTGCTGACTCTTGAGTAAGTTCATATAATTATGCAGTTTTTTTAATTTTAACATGTCGGTAACGGACCCATTATCGGGTCACATGATGAAGGCTTTCTTATTTTTGATGGGCCGACGTTTGACTACTATGATGCGGTCTACGATGGAGCATGTCGTCATAAGCAACCTATTCACTCAGGCCTTGAAGACACCCAGGAACCCTTCAGGAAATACAGACTCTTGCAAAGAATTCCACTCCGTCACTTTATCGACGTCCATGGACACCTACAACACCAGAGGAGTTCACACACGTGCTACATCGTAGACTGCATTATCGCTTACCACCAGGCGAAATAGTGGACTAACGTCGGCCCATCAAATATACATAAAAAAAGTTGAAAGTGCGTGGCTGACCTTTATTTCGGGGAATTCAAGAGAGTAGAGTAGTAATTAAAAAGAAAGAGAGAGTCAGAGACAGAGAGCAACAGAGAGAGAAAATGATTCACAATTTTGATATTTCTAATTTTTTGTTTGCAGTTCTCCAAAGGAGAAATCGAAAGTGTACTTGAATTACGTAAAAACTTTGAAGAAACTGGCTTTGAACAAGAGATACGCAGAGTGCGACACCAGTGGGATATTGCGGGTGAGTAGTGTCCTACCATATACTATGTATTGTACATATTTTTCTTACACGAAAGTTTATGTATTTCTATTGACTTTAATAATTATTTTATGAATTGACTTTTATTATGTCGATGTCACTTCGTCCTTCCGACTTTAGCACCAAGTTATAAGATTGATTAAAATAGTGCTTGTATAGGATGTCATAATATAACTAGTGCAAAGTGGGTATATTTTGTATTGTTCATATATTACTTGAACTCGTGTTCTTCTGGTGATAAAAGAAGTGACGATATAAAAGAAATGTTACAGTGCAAGCTTATAAATTTTAAAGAATATCTTTACTATACTAACTAATTATAATAGAAAAATGAAAACAGCGGGATTAAGTGTCGTAATGTGCGTCACCCGCACGGGAGAAGCCATTCGATGATTTTCCTCCTTAAGAAATTATACTTATCAATGGTTGATATATTTGTACTAGGTGGTATACGACCGTGCGACAACAGAGTGTGGATCAGAGGGTTCCCAGTTATTCATGGGGTTCGCGTCTCACGTCCGCGCGCGCTCGTCCCGCGCCACGTACGTGCGCGTGCTGGCCTCGCTGCGGCGCCGCGCGCCCACGCGAGCCCTGCCCTGGGAACTTACCATGCAACAGGCTGAGAAGGATGGAGAGAGCTTTGAACAGGTTGGTCTCTTCAATCCTAACTGCCAATTTCTATAACCTATATCAATTCATATGCTTACAGATCTAATACATATCACAATCACGTGATCACCATTTGTTTATCTTAAGTTTAAGGTTAAGTATACCACTAGTTCACAAACTAGGATTATCCTGAATATTGGGGACTGGAGTTGAGATACTATATATAAGGTGCTCTATAATTATCAGCCACGGCTTTAATGGGAGGTAGTGTTATGTTTACAGGTTACAATTGTGAAGAAATTTCGTACCCCGGACCAGTAAATTACATACAGTAATTAAGTAAACATTGACTACATTCTGCATAATGTGGTTCACAAATTACGCGCGATGCGTCGCTTAGTCAATGAAAACAATTGCTATCTCTTTCCACGTGTACTGAGAATGAAAACGGAAATCAGCTGACTAGTTCGTCACTATCTAATCTACTAGATACTCAATAGGCAGGCTAACAAGGGTTTTAAAAGTGCAATTACTTACCAGGTACGGCATTCTTCCGAAAAACTGATGTAGGTAAATAAGATTATAAACTTCCCATCACACTTAAAACAGTTTTTTACACACTTTTACAGTTTTTTACACACTCTCTATCTACTTATCTACAAAACTGTTGCACAAGTCCACCTTCGCGTTGCACACAAATGAAGGCACGCTTCCAAACATGTCATATCACATTATTTAATGTGTCCGTTTCACTTTTACTTTGTTTGGCGTTTGATTTAAAAGACGCCACAAGTTATTGTCTTTATCATCGTAAACTCCAGCAGTATCCCTTGTGCTCGCAAGAGGATGACACCGAAAGAATTCTAATACTTCCTCTTCGAGTTCTGATTTGAATTTCGTCGCCTGGGAGGCGGTTTTACGTAGCGCTCGCGTATCTCCGACATTGAAACTAACGTGCGGGTAGGCGGGGGTTGACTGGGCTACTGGAGGCCGGGCGGCGCGTGCGACGAGTTCTGCTGGGGTGTGCTGTCTCGTTCTTGAACGCCCCGTCATACGCTGTTGCCATCCTTATCAGACCACTCGGTGCCGTGCGGCTAGGAGCACGCTGCACACCATATAATAAACTGTGCGCGCCGCCCGGCCGCCAGTAGCCCAGTCAACCCCTGCCTGCCCGCACGTTAGTTTCAATGTCGGGGATACGCGCGCGCTACGTAAAAACGACTCCAGGGCGACGAAATTCAAATCAGAACTCGAAGAGGAAGTGTTAGAGTTCTTTCGGTGTCTTCCTTTTGCGAGCACTGGGGATACTGCCGGAGTTTACGATGATAAAGACAATAACTTGTGGCGTCTTTTAAATCAAACGCGAAACAAAGTAAAAGTGAAACGGACACATTAAATAATGTGATATGACATGTTTGGAAGCGTGCCTTCATTTGTGTGCAACGCGAAGGTGGACTTGTGCAACAGTTTTGTAGATAAGTAGGTAGAGAGTGTGTAAATAACTGTAAAAGTGTGTAAAAACCGTTTTAAGTGTGATGGGAAGTTTATAATCTTATTTACCTACATCAGCTTTTCGGAAGAATGCCGTACCTGGTAAGTAATTGCACTTTTAAAACCCTTGTTAGCCTGCCTATTGAGTATCTAGTAGATTAGATAGTGACGAACTAGTCAGCTGATTTCCGTTTTCATTCTCAGTACACGTGGAAAGAGATAGCAATTGTTTTCATTGACTAAGCGACGCATCGCGCGTAATTTGTGAACTACATTATGCAGAATGTAGTCAATGTTTACTTAATTACTGTATGTAATTAACTGGTCCGGGGTACGAAATTTCTTCACAATTGTAACCTGTAAACATAACACTACCTCCCATTAAAGCCGTGGCTGATAATTATAGAGCACCTTATATATTTTACTTAGTGAGTGATTAAATAATAAGATACAAAATAGCGGTAAAATTAAAATACAACAAATTGAATAAAAATCTAAAACACTACTTCACATTAGTTGTATAGTTTCTATCAAAAGTCGATTCTTATTCCACAGATATTGGATTGAAATTGACAGTAAAAAGGAAAACAAAGAAAAATGTAGGTATTTCATTCGATAATTTATTTGGATGCGATTGAAAAATGTCTAGGCATGTGAATTATTCTTACATACTTCTTATTGTTGTATATCAATAGAAACTCGGAATAACATGTAAATTAGCTGACCATGCAATATTGTAGTACTATTAAGCTAGCATGCTGATGGAACCTTCGGCTATATAATATCGAGTTTGAGCTCATTAGACATGGCCATTTCTCTTGATGACGAGGCCATATGATTAATAGCGCGTGTTTTTAGTTTTTTGAACTATGACATTAGTATTTTATAAAATGTTTACAGATAAAGACTATATTCGAGACAGCTTTAGCGAAAGGAATGAGTTCGTTCAGTCAGAGCGAGGAGTTATGGTTAAGCTACCTGGAATATCTACGTCGCATCTCCGATTTTAACAATGAAAAGGATGTAGACAGACTGCGGAGAACATTTAGACTCGCTTGGGATACGTTGGCGGAGGTATGTACGCTTTTAAATTATTAACACATCGTTATTTTATAATATTTCTTATTTATGAGATAGCCCGGTAAACGAGCTTATCAGTTATCTGATGGTAAACAACCGGCGCCGTCAGTAACACAAGAAGAGGACAAGTGGGAGGGCCGGGGAGGCCAGGATGGGGGGGGGGGGGTTGTAGTAGGGCCTCCGCTAACCTCACTCGCACGGTGATACAAAAAGCTTTGATTGTTTTGAGCTGGTTCTCTCTGAGGCAGTGGTGTCACTGCGGTCGGCCTATTCATGCGGAAACATGGCTCTCCAAGTTTGATTTAGTATAGAAAAATAAAGTTACATAAACTACTTCATTAGTCGAATTGACGACTGTCGAGCAAGGGGTCTCAGATTTATTTACCGTGTCGAGTAAAAGTATTATTGAGGTTTCTGGAATTGTGCCCGATATATAATGAATGCTCATTTTAAATATTCATATTATTTTAGACGTATAGCGAAGCAGCGGACGACAGTGAGGTTCCAATATTTTGGGCACGACTTGAATATAAGATGCTGAACGATCCAAAGCAAGGCCGAATGATCTTTGAAGAAATACTCAGTAAGTTATCACTTATATTATATACTTTTGATTGCACGAAACTGACAGAACAAGAATTTGTAGCTCACATAGCCAGAGCCGTATTATCCCTTAGGCATACATACTAGGGTAGTGCATAGGGCTCCAGGTTATAGAAGGGCGCCGGTAGACGCGTGTAATCAACTGCCTATAGAATAGCGGTGGCGCCAGAAAGAATTGAGTACTTTCCTTAATCAAAAATAAATTATTTCGACTGTTAAATACAATAAAATATTAAAAAATAGTCACATTTTTATTCATTGATTTTATGAGTTCCTTATTATTATCCTTAGCATTTTTTCAGCAAATTTTTAATAAATAAGTATGCAGTTTGACGCTAAAAATATGTGACATCATAATACACAACCTCGTCAAAATTCATAGAAAACTGTCGTTTTGGACAGTTCAAAAAATTATTGAATTTGACTAGTTGGCAAGTATCCAATTAGATGCGTCTGTGATATCCTTGTTCAGGGCGCTCACTAGGTTTAATCCGCCCCGGCACACAGCTCCCTGTGTGATCTACAAATTGGTGTTCTAGCTCTGGGTGTGGAGATGGGCATTAAAATATTCGAGTAAAAACTAATAAACACTCATACATAACACATCTGGGGTTACAATAAACATATTATGGCATGCAAAAATAAGAGAAAGTGGTAGGACAAATGTTCCTGTCTCCCCTATCTCTTATTCCTTTCTTTGTTCATTAGTCTGTTTATGTATGTACATTATATTTTGCTAAATTAACACCGCTAACGAATTTTCTGTATTCTAACCCCTTGTCTGTTGAAAGTTTGCGGCCATAATGTGTTTTTATACCGGGAGCCAGTGTTTCAACAGATAATACGCACTAACCTTATTGCATTCTATGAGGGACGATATGGTCGACAAGACTACCTCTGCACCCTGACTATGCTATGCTTATTCTAATATAATTAAGTTTAAAACAGGTTTGCCTATTAAAGAAAACCCTCTCAAAACAGATATCGGCGATAACAAAACAGTATCTAAGTTCTGGGAAGTGCTGTTAGCATTGGAATTTGATAGGAAGCCGCGACCTTCAGACCAGAAACTTCGTGATTTAATGAAGCGGGCTCTAAAAAACGTACAGGACTTCCCGCCCGTCATCATTAGGATGTGGACCGCGTTTGAGAGAGATTATGGAACTATTGAGACTTTGCAAGAGTGCAAGGAAATTTGTCAGGTATGTTTATTTATTGAAGCTACATGCACATTGTTGTACAGTGTACATTTAGTAGACTTAATGCCGTAGGTCTAGGATTTATTATTTACTAGTTGACCCGGTAAACTTCGTACTGCCTAAAATTTGTTTGTCTCACCTTTTAAATCTTCCCTTGACTTCCACGAAGATTTCAAGACCAAACTTACCCAAATCGATTCAGCCGTTCTCGAGTTTTAGCGAGGCTAACGAACGAAACTTCATTTTTATTTATATAGATTATGCTATAATCTATCTTTCTGTTATAATGACATAAATAAATGTTGTTGTAGAGAATTACGTAATCGAAGAATCTTATTTGGTTCGCTGGAATTTAAGTACACCAAACTTCTATTGTCCCAATTAGTGTTATCAAAATTTATATTACGAATATTTTTATAAATTGCTATTGGCTCATAGAAGTCCCATCTTAAATTAGCTTCTTATAAACTATACAAAACTTAAACATTATTTTAATATTCACAGCGAAGACTCAAGGATTGGCACGGAGAATATGAGGAAATGAGAAACACAATGCTAGGAAAGAAAGGCTCGGATGGAAACTCAAAAGCATCGAAGAAGCCGTCGGTTGACAAGATAATTAAAGGAGGCCCAAAAAAAGGTAAAAGGAAGTTGGATGGAGGGGACGGTGGGGGTCAGACGAAACGGAAGAAGGAGGAGAAGATGGAAGTGGATGTGGATGAGAAGGAGGAGAGTAAAGAAGATAATGGAGTGAAGCGGACTCATGAGGACGGAGATGAGGAAGGTGAGTGGCATACACCGTGACTTATATGGTGTTTAATTGGTTAAAGACAACTAAGCAATAACAGCATTTATGGTAAAAAATAAGTTGTTATTTCCGGAACCACTGGTTCGATTTCATTAAATCTGTATTTGTATCGGATAGTCCATTTATCGAAGAAGGCTATATAGGCTATAAAACATCACGCTACGACTGACAGTAGCCGACCAGAGCGGGTAAAACCGCTCGTGAAATTCTTTGAGAAAGTTGTTTGTTACCATTAGTGGCACTGGTTTAATGTCAATGTTAATCTGTTATATGTTTTCTTACTAGTTGGTGAGAGTAAGCGACAACGTACAAACAGCTCGAGCCCGCATAGACTCGGCACGAGAGATGCCTGTACGCTCTTCATCAGCAACCTCGAATTCAAGTAAGCAATTTATCTCTTTATTTAATTTTAAACATCGGTACAAAAACGTGACCAATCCAAGCTACCGCGGCTGATGCTCCAGAGAGAGAAATTTCTGGACAATAAACGCCGTGTCCAGAAGTACTGCTTTCTGCATCAGGCCCTTGACGCAACCATCTAACGTTAGCCTACTCAGGTATTGGTCAAGGCCTTTGGCTATACGGTCATTGATACGAGTATCGGCACAATGATTGCGGAGTCTCAGAAAAAAAGTATTTGCTTGGTCAGAATAAAGATCAATAAGTGTAACCGGCCAGCATCAATGTGGCCAGTGTCGGTTCGCACCATATAGGCCGTATGGGCGCGAAGAGTATTTTATTGGTCTCAATGCTGAATCTACTAAGAGAAAGATAAAGAACAACACGTGGGATACGTATTATTAATTTATTCATATTATCTTTATTTTTAAACTTTAAACTTGGTTTATAATTACTATTATTACTTGCTTTATATCTGCTATAATGAGTTTTAATAATCAAAATCGAAAGGAAGAGAATGAATGGATAGATTGTGCAAATATTAATATGATAGAAAAGGTTTGTAATGTGTGATCAGATGCCGTTTGATACATTGAGCAGTTTTTTTTAATTTTATCACTGAACAGACTTGTAGCTACCGATTTTGATAATATTTTAGTGTAATTATTTATTGTGAGATACACAAAAATTACTTACATAATGTTCCTGCGTTATTTTTTACATCGTTTGATCTCAACATCATACATGGTATTTTTTAATGATACAAATATCTCAGATCTTGTACAAAATTACTTATTTAATGATTTTATGTTACTTTTGGCGTGAAACTTTCATATTAAAACCCCACTGGCTTGTGATAAAACTATTGTTGAGGGTTATTGTGAAAAATTAAATAAGCGCAGCAATATAATCATTAAATCTGATAGTAATTATAGGCAACAAAAGTCTTATTTTAGTACCATTATATTTCATTTTGTGTTCTTAAAAAGTTCAAATAAATAAATATGTAGCAGACTATTAGCAGCCCAGTCCTTCCTGAAAAATGAAATGGGTAGACACTGATGTCGTGATTCAATTTTGTAGATATTTTCTAAACCCTGGATTGCCATTGGAATTTTAATTACAGCATCCGATGCTTCTAGTTTGAACGTTAAGAGCTATCGTGTAAATCAGATTCGAAAAGAAAATGGGTTTCTTAACAATTTATTTATTATGATTGATTACTTTCATTACATCTTAATTAAAACAGGAGTTTCCCTGCTGTTAAAGCATTTATCTGACGTTAGTCTTCTTACAGTACTAAAAAAAGGATAAATGTTTCATATATATTGTTATGTATTTAAAAAACTGATTAAATAAATAACACCACGCGAAACATTAACCTAACACAATTAAACGAAGGCAATGGTAGCGACATCTATGTTGAGCTTTGAGCTTTTCTCGATTGAGTTATTGTGTAGCCATACTTATAAATACTAAAAATAAAGTTGTCGATAATTTTGTTTAAACACTATGCATTATTAATACGGCAAATTATAATAAAATATGAACATATTTTTTAATAGTTTTTCATTATAAATTACAGTTGCGTTTTGTTATAAAAAGTAAATAATATTTAAAAACGAAGTGAATTAACTTTTTCGCTATGGTAACACTATCATTTACAGTTATTTATATTAGTCGTTGACTAACAGTGAACTGTGAAGTAAAATGGTGGTTAGTTTCATTTCGTTCTCAGACGACTTCGGTACTCTGACTTTGTCTTCGTGAAAATATTGTGAATCTACACGATATCATTATTACTATGGTAAGTACAGTTACAAATTTAATTTATTACTGTGCAATTATAAAAAAGAAGCCTTAAAATGATTGGATACATTAATTTGCTTTTTTATATTCTTAATTTTCTTTTAATTAATTATATTGCGACTATTTTTCAATATTCATAAATATTATTTTCTTTCAATTTAGGAATTGTCCGTTGGTGAAAAATTTATGCTCGCACAACTCTTAGGTCAATATCCTATTGTGTGGAGCCAAGTCAACAGCGATATTATTCGCGCTGCGAAGGAAAATTCGTGGCGAGTAATAACGCACTTATTTAACCATCTTGGAAATTCGGAGGTAAGTACTTTTTTATCAACATCAACAGCCTATAAGTAGCCAGTAGCCACTGCTGACCAAACCAAACCTCTTCTCACACGGAAAAGGTTATTATTACATCAATCACCACGCTTGCTCAATGCGCTTAGGTTTCCTCACGATGTTTTCCTTCACCGTTTGTCAGTGGTGTCTCAATATTCTTAGAAAGTACATATAACTCGGAAAAAGTCACATTGGTACTTGCTGTTGGTAGGTTTCGAACCCGCAACCTCATTCATGAGAAGCGGACGTGTTAAACCTCCGGGCCACCACGACACTTTTCTTTGTCACTAAATAACTAACCCACTATACCATCATGCCAAAAATACCTTCTCCCAGAAAGGCCTCTTCTAACATGGTGGTATTTTTCTAAACACAAAATATTGTTCTTACAAATAATTATTCTTTCATAGTTATGATTGTGGACATGCATACTTTTTTATCTCACTGTGATATTTTTCTAATGTCAAAATGAATAATCACTATTTAATTCTAAATTATAATTAGTAAAAGCTATGCACAACCGACAAATTATAGTTATGGTACATCGTAAACCCATGTCGCTTATACTAAACATGGATCACATATTTTTTCACAAATGCAGGTAGCATTGCAATAGCATGATTGGTGGAATAGGGCTCATTAAGAGCGCTTTCACACTAGCGTTTGTCCAGCGTAGGAGTTCGATAACGCTACGCTTTTTTTTTGGGGGGAAATTATCGAATGACTGCTCCCGCCTGGGTGAGGCGGAAGGGAGTGTCAGACTCTTACTGACTAAAAACCACGCCGTTCCTTCTCCTGCACGTCGAGCCAGAGCCCCGGTAACTCGTTAGGTTCTCCGGCTACGCTTACGCCGCGTATTCATTTACCCTTGCACTGACGCTGCGACAACGCAATGCCTGCGCGGCGCATACGTTCATCAAATGCCTAAGCTGGAAACTCTAGTGTGAAGGCGCTCTAAAACCGATTTACAATGTCTACTTGTTTAGAGGTACAAATAGATTAGTGAACAATAGTTGATTTTAAAGGTTTTTTTACTATTTTTTTTATTCATACAAATATGTATATCTTGAACAAAATGACTTATAAAAGGTTTTATGTTACTTTCAGCGTGATATTTTTACTCTAAAAAGAACCTGGCTCGAGATGACAGCCACACCCCCAGACAGCGAAGAATGGGACTTCCTAAATAATAACAACGAACCTGATCAACAACAATAACCTGTTTTGAATTCTATTTTGTTGAATAGAATAGAATAATATTTATCCTTTTTACAAAGAAGGTGAACTAACAAAAAATATTTGGTACAAGTCATTGTGGTAAAACAGGGTCCTTAAAATACATTTTTAAAATGTTTGTTATTTTTTTTATTTGTTTAAATTTTGTAAGTTTAGTATTTTTCGTAAGTATTTAGTAAAGATTTAGTATGGTTTTGCATTTTTCATTCTGTTTGTTTTATTTTTTTGTAAATATATTTAGTATTAAGTAAAATTGTAAGGTAAGGTTTTAAGTAAGATTTAATAAATAAATAAAACCATTATTTTAATTTTGCATTCATAATAAATCGACCCTTTTTCCCCAATAATATTTTATATATACCGTGAAAATATTGTTTTCGTCCCGAAATAAATGGTTCTATCTCGGTGATACAATAATATTACAAAGAAATAAAATGTTTAAAACAAAAAGTAAACTTAAGTTCATCCCCAAACAATCCGATATACGACGGAATCCAATGAAGTACTATTTTGTAATCATTTGCTTTTAAACGGCGAATTGATTCTAAGATGCTGCAAGGTAAGAATATCTGTTTGTCTCGACAGTTCTATGTGCATCGACCAAAATGGTGTATGGCACTTATAGAATCTATAATCTATCTATCTATCACTATAATATGTACCCACCAGGTTGAAATGAATTTTATATGATAACGCTTCTGAAATTACAAATAAAAGGGTAGATGGATAATTTTTATTCTGGTTTATTTTAAGACATTAGACCCGTATTTTATATTTTCTTACGCAAACAAATACTTTTGATGATATATTGATTTAAAATATCGCGTGACGTTACTTCTGGGTACGTTTTATATCTACTAAAAAATAACGTAGCTAGCTCCCACTCGTAAACTTTGATTCGTTTTATATAATAATTGTTTTCTTATTGCTGCCTCGTTGACCTAGTGATCGCAAGTGCGACTGCCGGGCATGGGGTCTTGGGTTCAATTCCCGGGCCGGGCAAAGTATTACTGGCCTTTTTAAAAATTCTTAGAAGTAGCACGGAGACTAGAATTGTGCCCGGTATATGGCAATAGGCTCACCCCCTATTACATGGGACTCATAACATAAATAGTGAAAAGTGGGTGTTACATTGTACAGTGGTATAATCCACCTGATACCCCTTGTCCGGCAGTAGCACTTGCGACCACTCGGTCAACGAGGCAGTCCACATATCTAATTGATATTATTGACTTTGAATTGAGAAGTTTATTTAGTAAATAGTTGTGAATGCTTTATCAAAACCGGTTTAGGCTTTTTTTTTTAAGGGGGGAAAATCATCGAATGACTGCTCCCGCCTGGGTGAGGCGGAAGGGAGTGTCAGACTCTTACTGACTAAAAACCACCCCGTTCCTTCTCCTGCACGTCGAGCCGGAGCCCCGGTTACCCGTTAGGTTCTCCGCGACTAACCGGTTTAGGCTTGAATTGTCTATCAATACAAATCATTCAGATTGTGAATCAACTATTTGAAAAGCATTTTGCTTATACAGTACCTATTTACCTACAAGATAGAATGACGCACATTTAAAGGAGGCAGATGTAACTCGCATTCCGTGTCGTGTATCGGTGTGGTTTTTATAATCTAAGTACCTATTATTCGTAAACATAGACATATTACTGTTCCCATATAAAAAACTGTTATAGTCGTAATTAAACATAATATTATATAATCTTTGTAAATAAGATGTATGGATATCCCAACGTGACCCAGATAACATTTTTAATAACTTAATTAAGTTTGGATGATTTTTCTATGAACTCATTTATGTGTTTAATAGCTTCTACCCGGGATTCGCCTGCGTTCCCGTGGAATAAAAGTTAGCCTATGGTTTATTCCAGAATCTACCCCCATTCAAAATTTCGCAATTATAATATTAGTCAGAAGTTAAATTATAATTTACTAAAGATTGACAAACATGTATTCTAAAACGGTTTAGTGGTAAAATTATTTTAAGGTTTAGTGTTAATTTTATGTAATGGAATGTGAAAGTCGGCTGACATATTTATAAAATGTATAAAAGTGTCGTATTATGGACTACTCAAATAAACCACTCCAAACATTTGAGTACTGCATTTGTATTTTAGACTGTAAGTTTTGTCCTCGCATGAAAATTATTTTTTTTATAACGTCAATTCAAATTCACGTCGACAGCGATCGAAGGACGTTCAATGACAATTGTATTTGTATCTGAGTCGATACTTTACCATTTTTGTGTGTTTTAGTAGGTACTTGGAGAAATATTTTATTTCTTAGTTTTTTGTGTACCTACTTTCACTTGGAGAATTTCTGCAGATGCAACTTGCCACTTGAGTCAAGTCACAAATAATTTTATTTTATTTTATTTCAACTTCATACAACAAGTGTGTACAGGTGGACTTAATCCAATGGACTATAACATAACCTCACGCCTGTCATAAGTACATACATAACCTCACGCCTGTCTCCCATGGGAGACAGGCGTGAGAGTAGGAATGGAATGCCAATTGCTACATACATAATTGTAGCAATTAATTGTAGTAAATTAGCAAAACAACCCGTAAACGTCATCAACGACTATGACGAATGACAAATTAGCATTTTTATGTCTGGATAGTCATCAGTAGTAGTCACTATCTTCACGCTTGGCAGACGGGTTGGAGATCGCATGGTTACCAGCCCAATGGTACTATTTTTGTTCAGCAGATGGCACTCATGTGACAATCTCGTTTTTCGTTCAATAGGGAACTAACTAGTGTCTCACCATTTTTATAATAACTATCATGAGACATACTAAATTAACTAAAATCGCGGTCGCCGCGGCCGGGCACGCGCTCATGAGGAAGAACTCCTCTGTGGTTCGAAACTAGTAGAACTTTTCTCAGTATATGATGTATATGCGCGTCGTCGTGGGGTCGCCTGCGTGGGGGACCATTTCACTGCCATCCTCTCAGCAACCTTCCACTCTACATTATGTCACTGAGAAATAAGAAAAGGGTTCAACAGCGGCTGCACTCCCTCTCCTTCATAGTGCACCTCTCAAATATTCGAGGTTTGCACTCTAATGTCAATGCGGTCCATCACCACCTCGAGACCGAGAACCCTACACTCTTGTTTCTCTCGGAGACCCAGATCAGGTGCCCGTCGGACGTATCCTACCTGAACTACCCTGGTTTTTCCCTGGAGCACAATTTTGTTCCGCATGCAGGTGTATGCGTATACGTCCGAGACGGCATCTGTTACCGGCGTCTCCGAAACCTTGAAGACCCAAGCTTTTCTGCTCTCTGGATACTGGTGGACATAGGCATGGAGAAAATTCTTTATGCCTGTGTCTATCGGTCGCACAGCGGAGATTTGGAGGCAACCAGATTAGCGCAATACCTCGGCGAAGCGGCGGATGCGGCTCGTCAGGCGTACCCTTCGGCCCAGTTGGTGTTACTGGGGGACTTTAACGCTCATCATCAGGAGTGGTTATTCCCATACCAGTGCACCGACCATGCTGGAAGGGAAATGCGTAAGCTTGCGCTTTCGCTTGGCCTGACCCAGCTGGTCCAGGAAGCCACAAGGGTGCCCGATGTCGATACGCACACTGCCAATTGCTTAGACCTTCTGCTGACAACTGATCCAGACCGCTACTCGGTGACAGTCTCATCACCTCTAGGTAGCTCTGACCACTGTCTGGTGAAATCTGTATCGACACACTCCCCACCAGATCCGAGTCCCAGAGGACCTCGGCGGATGTGGCGATACAAGTCAGCGGACTGGGATGGGATGCGATCTTTTTTCGCTTCCTATCCTTGGCGGCCTGTCTGCTTCTCTTCTGATGACCCGTCAGCTTGTGCGGAAGCCGTAACGGGGGTGCTGCGCCAGGGCATGGAATACTACATTCCATTCTCGGACGTGGCATCCTCTGGTGGGACCCGTCCTTGGTTCGATGCCGACTGCAGACGTGCCGAAGCGCAAAAGCAGGCGGCATACTTGGCATGGGCGGATGCCAGGCGCCGTAGGGCTGATGACATTCATCAAAAGAAGAGAGCCTTTAATCGGGCTGCCAAGTCATGCAAAAAGGCATTACGGATGGCTCGATTTAACCACATTGGCCGTATAGGGAACAAACTAGCTTCCTACCCAGCGGGAAGTAAAGCTTTTTGGTCCCTGGCCAAGGCGGTTGAATCGAACTTCTGTCGCTCCTCACTTCCTCCGCTCCTGAGGTCTGACGGAACGCTGGCTCACACTGCGGTAGAGAAAGCGAATCTATTTGCTTCTCTATTTGCGGAGTCTTCGCGTCTTGACACTGGTGGCGCCTTGCCTCCTTCTGTTAATAGCGTATGCAAGACGAATATGTCGCAAATTCGCATTCGACAGAGGGAGGTATATAGGACGCTACGCGATCTGGACGTGAACAAGGCCAGTGGTCCCGACGGAATCCCAGCCCTGGTTTTAAAAACCTGTGCGCCTGAGTTGTCTCCAATCTTGACACGTCTGTTTCGCCTTTCCTTGGAGACGGGTCTAGTACCGGTTGCATGGAAGCTGGCCAACGTACAGCCTGTGCCTAAAAAAGGTAGTCGTGCCGACCCTAACAATTACCGCCCTATTTCGGTCACGTCCATACTCTGCAAGAGCATGGAACGTGTTCTTAACAATAGACTCCTGGCATACCTTGAAGGTAACGATCTCCTCAGCGATCGGCAATACGGGTTTCGACGTAACCGATCGACTGGGGACCTTCTTGCGTATGCCACTCACATATGGAGCGAGGCCATAGAGGGGCACGGAGAGGCACTAGCAGTCTCCCTCGATATTTCGAAGGCCTTTGACAGGGTATGGCACGACAGTCTAATCGGCAAGCTTCCTGCATATGGACTTCCTACTGGTCTGTGCAGATGGATAGCAGACTTTCTGAGGGATCGGTCAATACGAGTAGTCATCGATGGCTGCTCGTCTGACCAATTCGGTATTAATGCCGGCGTCCCTCAGGGGTCAGTACTTTCAGCGACGCTCTTTTTGCTGCACATAAACGACCTGCTTAAGCCCGGTATCTTTGGGTATGCAGATGACAGCACAGTTGTTGAAAGGTATGTGTCCGGTGCGCGGACTAGCGGAACACAGATCCAGTCTTTAAGAGAATCCATGGTCGAACGTTTGAACTCGACCTTGAAGGCGGTGTCCGACTGGGGTGACGCCAACTTGGTTAGGTTCAATGCTAGCAAGACCCAGGCGTGTCTATTCTCCGCCAAACGGAGTCAATTTCCGCTGACTCCTACTTTCCGGAATGTATCCGTACCGATAACCGATCGTCTTGAGCTTCTTGGTGTAACTCTGACGCCCACGCTCAACTTTGGCTCCTATATAGAGTCAAAAGCGCAACTGGCTGGTAGGAAGTTGGGTGTCCTATGGAGGGTGAGACGGTACTTCACGCCGAGACAATTGCTGAGCCTGTACCAAGCACAGGTTCGGTCCTGTATGGAGTACTGCTCTCATCTTTGGGACGGCTCGGCTAAATATCAGCTGGACGCGTTAGAGCACATTGAGAGGCGTGCCAGGAGGCTCATCGACGATGATGCGCTTGTGAAGGCTCGGCTTCAAAGCCTCGAACACAGGCGTAAGGTTGCAAGCCTTTCGGTTTTCTACCGGATACATTTCGGGGAGTGTGCGGGGGAATTGCACAACTTGATTCCCCCTAGTCCTTTCCATCATCGTACCACAAGACAATCCGCGAAGCGTCACCGATTCATGGTAGATGTTCCGCCCACACGCACGAAGCGCTTTGCTTCAAGCTTCCTTGTGCGTACTGCTAAAGAGTGGAATTCTTTGCCAGAGTCTGTATTTCCTGAAGGGTATAACCTGGGAGTCTTCAAGGCCCGAGTGAATAGGTTGCTTATGGGACGACGTGCTCCAACGTAGACCGCATCATCGCTTACCAACAGGTGAGATAGTGGTCAAACGTCGCCCCATGAATTATAAAAAAAAAAAAAAAAAAATATTCACGTGACTAACCCGCGATTTTAGTTAATGTAGTGTCACACCGATGACGTTTAAACTGTCAAACACCAAGCGGTCACCGGTGACCGCGACCTATTGTTCTTTAATTGTGTCTATAAAACCGGTACTCGACGAGTTAATATTTGTCACACAGCTGTCAAATCACTGCAAAATGATTGGACCAAAAAACCTTGCTACATTTTCGCTATCTGGTGCACCAAAAAACATTAGCCCCCGTTACCAAAGGTCTGCATCGTATGTGCAATGTACTTACTTGTATCTCCTCTGGTGTTGCTCTGATAACTTACGGTCGTGTATAAAAATACATTTTAATTTCAGAGTGGACGAACAAAAGCTTCGCGACATTCTGTCACAGTACGGAGATATCATCTCGCTGCGAGTGCGGAAGGGGATCAAAGCGTTCGGGGGCTCCATCTGCTATTGTCAGTATAAGACTCCAGTGAGTATTAATAGCTATAAGTTGTGCTTTTGTAATTTAAGGTAGGTAAGGGTCATATTTACTGACAGTTTCGAAAAGTGGTTGATAGTAACCACATTTTGGATTTAGCAACTAATTCTGCTTGAAAATATGTTTTATATTGTATTCTTGACTTTCAAGATCGCGACTTTCTTTGCTTTCAAATAATCTACTTATTCAAACCATAAATAATTTCGGATTATTAATGGTTTGTTCAGCCATTCCTCTTTAACACTTTTAATTCATAATTACAGGAAGCAGTAGATGAAGCTATAAAACACGATAGGATCCCTCTGGACGGGCGACCAATGTTCCTCTCGCGGTACACAGCCAAGAAATCGAAACCCACGTTCAAATACTCGACGGAAGAAGAAAAGAACAAGTTGTTCGTGAAGAACCTTCCGTTCGCGAACTGCACTAAGGATGCACTCGCCGAAGTCTTCGATAAGTACGGCAAGCTCAAGGATGTACGGGTTGTGACGCACAAGTAAGTCATCGTTGTTTTTTATTTGGGAAGTCATAAACCGAATTGGTTAGTTAATATCATGTATACTTTGAAAGGTGTAGACCAAATAGTTGTAAAATCTGATTTTTTCTAGTTAATTTTTTTTTTTTTTTTTTTTTTATGGAATTGGAGGCAAACGAGCAGACGGATCACCTGATGGTAAGCGATCAGCGCCGCCCATGGACACCCGCAACACCAGAAGAGTCACAGGTGCGTTGCCGGCCTTTTAAAAAGGAGTACGCTCTTTTCTTGAAGGTTTGAAGGTCGTATCGGTTCGGAAATACCGCCGACGACAGATCATTCCACAGTTTTGCTGTGCGAGGCAGGAAGCTACGGGAGAACCGCACAGTTGTGGCCTGCCAACCATCTATATGGTGGGGATGCATATGCTGTCGTGAGGGTCGATGGCGAAAAGATGCGGCAGGTATCAGGTCAAACAATTCCTCAGAGCACTCCCCGTGGTATAAGCGGTAGAAAATGCACAATGAAGCTACATCTCTACGCATTGCCAAAGTGTCGAGCCGGTTTGAAACACCCGGACATCCAACAATCCGAACGGCACGCCGCTGAATGCGGTCCAGAGGAAGAAGCTGGTACTGGGGTGCCCCCGCCCAAAGATGAGAACAGTATTCCATGTGGGGCCGCACCTGTGCCTTATATAGAAGCAGGCGGTGGGCCGGGGTGAAATACTGCCTCGATCTATTGAGCACACCAAGCTTCCTCGAGGCTAATTTGGCCTTATCCTCTAAATGACCGCAAAACTGGACGTCGCTCGAAATGTTGACACCAAGTATTCCAATACCGGCTGAGGCAGTTAGGGGGGTGCTTTGAAAATGAGGAGAGACGACCAACGGCAGTTTCTTAGCGGTAAACACGCAGACTTGTGTCTTAGTGGGGTTAAACTGGACCAAATTAAGCCCACCCCAATCAGAGATTCTCCCTAAAGAGGTCTCGATTTCAGACACGAGTCTGTTTCGGCTCTCTATGACGTTTTCCCGAGAAATGTTAGCGCGGCCGGTGTAGTAGGCATCGCCTGTGCTGTCATCCGCATAACAATGAATGCCGCTGATTTGCAGCATGTCATTGATATGGAGGAGGAACAATGTAGGCGATAGCACGCAGCCTTGAGGGACACCTGCGTTTACAGACATCAAGTCAGAGCATTCACCGTCGACGACGACTTTAATGCTTCTGTCTGCAAGGAAGCAGGAGACCCATTTGCATAATTTCTCAGGAAGTCCGTAGGAAGGAAGCTTCGAAAGAAGCGCTCTATGCCAAACCCGATCGAAGGCCTTCGCCACGTCTAAACTTACTGCCAACGCTTCCCCCTTAGACTCGATCGCCTGTGCCCACCGATGCGTTAGGTAAACAAGAAGATCACCAGCAGACCGCCCTTTACGAAAACCGTATTGCTGGTCACTGAGCAGCTGATGATCCTCTAAGTAACGCAGGAGCTGGCAGTTAATAATGGACTCCATTATTTTCGAGAAGAGGGAAGTTATGGCTATCGGTCTGTAGTTAGACGGGTTAGATCGGTCACCTTTTTTAGGGATTGGGTGGACTAAAGCTGTCTTCCAGGACGTCGGAACTACGCCTGAGGAGTAAGAGAGCCGAAAAAGACGTGTTAGAACTGGGGCCAACTCGGGGGCGCACATCTTCAAAACAATGGGTGGGATCCCATCAGGCCCACTCGACTTATGGACGTCAAGGGACAAAAGCGCCAAACGTACCGTGCGCTGGTGGAACCGCACATCCGGCATATACCTTCCGCACCAAGGCACAACAGGAGGCTCGTGCCCACCGCCATCCAGTGTCGAGTTGGACGCAAAGATTTTTGCCAAAAGTTGAGCCTTATCCCTTGTTAATATGCGAGTTTTGTATGCAAGCTTATTGCCATAACCGTAAATACATAATTATTAGTGGAGTGTGGAACTTCGTGCTATTATAATGCGAGTTTTCAATCTAGAATGTATTAATAATTTTTTCAACCCTGCTTATTATCTTGCGCTCTATTCGCTTGTTCGAGTGTGAAAATTATCCCGTACTCATACATTTTTCTTCACTCCGCCAAGGACCCTATATGCAAAACTTCAGATTAGTTCATATATGCATTGTCTAGTGTCCAAGTGCACCAGTAACGGAAAAAATAGCTAAAAATAATAAGTACAAAAAATCTTCTATGTTTCCAGGGACGGCAAACCAAAGGGTCTAGCATACATAGAGTATGAAGACGAGGCAGCGGCTGCTGAAGCTGTGTCGAAGGTGAACGGAATGATGCTGGGAGACAGGAAGCTGGACGTGGCCTTCAGCGCGCCTCCGCCGCGACAGTCAGGGTCCGCGGCCGGTGATGGGCCGGCACTGGGACAAGCAAAGCGGGACGCGGGGGGTGGCATGTATGTATAAATTATTTTTGTATTATATCAACAAAATAACCTTTAAAAACCTACTCCTTTGCATGTCCACCACGGGCCCCATTAATCTCTTACCATCAAACGACCTATTTGCTCGTTTGCTGTAAAAGTCAATTCATTTCTGTCTAATACTGAATATAGGTTTTCCACTAGCACGCCACTGAACTAGATCACATCCAGCCATTGTCAAAGTGAATATAGTTATTCCCTCTAGTTAAAAGGGCAGGCGCCCTACAATACGTTTGCCTATTTCGTTTAACTTCAGCAGTTGCTCTTACGATCAGTGACTTAGTCAATAACATACTAATATCTTTCCAGGCGACGAACGCAGCTCAGCAGTTTCATCCCGAGCGTGCTACAGAAGGCCACGGCGAGTACATCGCAACCACAACCTTCCACCAGCACTGCCACGTCAACAAACGGTAGCCATAGCAACGCAGACGAGAAGCGACCACTCAGCAACAGCGACTTCAGGAGCATGCTACTCAAAAAGCAATAAAATTACAAGTTAGTCTTTGTAAATAATGTCGAAAGTCGCGTGTAATTACAACAGTGTACTAGTTTACGAAAGTCGACCTTTCATACAATTTTCGGCCTTATGTTTCGTGTTTAAGACTTATTTTAATAACAGTTGATTCTTTTATCAAAATATCATTTTAATTATTACTACAATGCTTATCTCATTGATATACATAGGTTCTCTGTCAATCCCTTTGTTTTTATATGCAAGAAAGAGACGGGTATATAATAAGTCGAGTTCGAGTTAAGTATCTATCTCTATTGATTCTTCACGCACACCAAAATGTATTTTTGTACATTGGCTTTAGAACTTTATTACAAAACTGTAGAGTTGAAAATCTATTTGACGGACTAGGCTCTGCGCAAACGTAGACACTTCGTTTCTAGTTACAAACATCGAATACTTTTTGATGAATTAAATGCAAGCAACTGAACACTTGTATGCGCTGGGAGCGGATGATTTCATACTGGTTTTATAGAAATCTAATATTCATCGGTAACTTGTATCTGACTTTAGAGGGCTTAAGCTTAAGTGCTTCAGTATGAATTTGTCTTACGTTTGACGTGGTCGGAACGTTACCGCGTTTAGCCCTCTGATTGGTTGGTTCTTTAGAGCTGGCCAAGCACGAATGACTATCTAATTCGTAATGTAATAGGATCGAGCGCTCGAGAGCGATCGGGCGCTATGATTGGTTGGTTCGCTGGAGCCGGCCAATCAGAGCTCCGAGCGCGCTCGATACTATTACGACTAATGCGATAGTTATTCGTGCTTGGCACTCTGTTTGGTTGGTTCTTTAGAGCTGGCCAAGCACGAATGACTATCGAATTCGTAATCTAATAGGATCAAGCGCTCGATGGAGAGCGATCGGGTGCTATGATTGGTTAATTCACTGGAGCTGGCCAATCAGAGCTCCGAGCGCGCTCGATACTATTACGTTACTAATGCGACAGTTATTCGTGCTTGGCTATCTGAGCACCGAACGTCATTAACGAGTCGGTCACGCTAAACGTAAAACAAATTCGTGCTCTGAATCAAGTGTCTACGTTTGCGCCCTGCCTTAAGGTAGCTTGATGCGCCTGCACATAACACATTGTATGCAATTTGACTAAATATCCCATTGTTTGGCCAGTACGTTTAATAAGACTATAGTATATGTTCTGTCGAATATAATATACCTACATAATAGTATGTTTAATATATAATTTTTATATGTATAGAGGAGTGGATTCTTCAAATGTGGATGGTCATATTCGTTATGTGAAAATGCTTTTCAATTTTGAAATCGATATTTCTTGGTTGGTAGACACAATATTTCGCGAAAGCATATTGAGCATAGAATGTTCTTATATTAACCACGATATGATAATATTAAAATCCTTATGAAGATAAAATCTTTTGGCCGTTAGACATTACTTACTTAACCTTAATGTTAATGTATAAGAAGTATTCAATACATAATGATTTATTCCTCGATTTATATTACACAATAGGCTCACCTCCTATTACATGGGACGCATAGCTGATAGCATTGTGTGTTACATTGTACCTCTACCTACCCCATGAGGGATTATGTTGTATGTATTATAGAATATGTCATTCCATCTATTTGAATAGTTCACCCTATAATTCTGATTAAACCTCACTATAATTATTATTACATTTATCTGGTCTTACGACCTAACATAAAAAGGGTCGATATTCAATAATGGTACTTATTTGATAAGACTATATATGTATATCTAATAAATATAATAACTAAGCTTCTTCGTTTTACTCATACAATTGTGTTTGTACATATTATTGATATGTTTACGTTTATTCTGTCTTCGAGAGTCTACAATGGCGTGTCTTTGAATTATCAAAATAATAGGTAATTGTCTTTTCTAATTCAGTTACCTAGAAGTACATTGTGCATAGAAGTTGAAGAGAATTAGGTCCTGACTGCGCTGTAGTGGAACCGCGGTGGTGTGTAACCTCACAATTTCATTGCATAAGAATCAAGCGCGGGGCAAAGTCGCAAGTGCGGCCGTTATTTGTTTCATAACGTTTATTAATAACAGTGACATCTCTGTTGGCGTGAAGTAAAGATGAATTAGTATTCATCTGGTTAGACACAAGTTATGTCTAAGATGAATACTAAGAACCAAAACATTTTCAAAAAACCTTATGCTTATGTCAAATATGCAAAGATTTTTTGAAAATGAATATTATTATGCAATCTTTTGTTGCGTTTACAAGAGACTTGGACTTTTTGAAAGATAAATATTGCAAAGACACGTCAATTTATATAATTAATATACTCATCAATAATACTTGGTAATTCTATAGCAGTTCACATAAATTACTTATAGGCATAATGTTCAAGCGGAGTGTTTTTTTTAATTTCGTCGCTACCAAGCGTTCATTCCAGTGTAATTATATTGTTAATCAACGTCATGATTGTCGTCACAATTTCATAATATAGCAATTTAGACCACTTGTATAATGAAATGGCTTCTTGCGATATTGTATAGGACCTTATGACTAAACACAGTAATGTCCAATAATAGAGATGATGACAATAAATAAATTAGTCCGTCTTTATAATAACTATCTTGAGACATACTAAATTAACTAAAGTCGCGGGTTACTCACGTGAATATACTGAGAAAGTTCTACTAGTTTCTGCTAGCAAGCAAGCTCTACTAGCTGAGCGACGTCGCCGCGACCGCGCACGCTGCTCATGAGAAAGAACCCCTCTATGGTTCGAAATTAGTAGAGCGTTCTCAGTATATTCACATGAGTAACCCGCGATTTTAATTAATTTAATCCATCTGTCAGATTATCTCTAAATATATGACACGTATTTTTTATCTGTGCGTAGAAAGAAAAAGTTACTCCTAGAGTGGATATAGGCCGGTATTATATAATTGTAACGATGTTCAAGTCGAGATCTCTTGTCAAGCACTGTTAAAAAGAGATGCAAATATAATCAACATACGTGCGTCCCTTTCAAACTATTTATTTATTTATTTTAAACAGTCACAACGGCAGAAAATCAATTACAGTAACTGACATATTTACAACAATAAAACAAACAAAAGAAAAAGAAAAGTTAAACTTAAAACAAGAGTTAACACCATTCATAAGTTTCTCTCGCAGTACTTCAAGCATTCTGATAAAATCTCCTTCCATCCGTCCGCAAACAGATCACTAGTTGGATTGGAATCCAGGAGATCATTGAGCGCGGCCAGAGTGTAAGGAATAGGGCACATGAGGGCACGGCAAACAGCCTGTGCTATACTATGTCGAAGCAGACATCGTTCTATAATACCGACCTAATGTTCAAATACTCAAACTGTACTCAGTTAAGACACTTTCAAGAATAGTTCTGTACTAACGTCGGGTGCCGGTGACCAATATGGCGCTTAATGCGGGAAAACTTAAAATTTATTAATATTTCAGTATTCGGCCGTGAAAGTTTTAATATGAGGCTCGCTATGTCACTTCTTGCGATGCGAAGTGACGTCATCTGATGTTTCAAATCAACGTTAATGATTCTGTAAGTTAAAATACGTGTATTATAGTTATGAATCTACCAGACGAATGGATAATAGATTTAGTTTGTCATCTTCCCTATATTGTGTTCTATAATTCAATATCTGGTTTGTACTCTGAGTTTTATGATGCAGTTTGATCACGAATGAATAATGATTCAGAATAAATGCGTTTTGTTGTATATTTAGTTGTTTTAATATATATAGGAATGTGACTAGTTTTATCCTGATTTTATACCTTAATGAGGTGCTAAGAAGTTTTATTTTTGACATTAGTATTATCTGATGAGATTTTTTGGTTTTTCTTTTTTTTGCTGGTGTTTTTGGTTTATGTTATGTAGATTTACTGAATTGATCTTATGCCGATAGATAATACAGTTCTAACCAAATAAAACGAAACAAATAGTAATAAAAAACAATTTTATTTATAAAAATACAATGTACACTTTACAATCTCATCTCAATAGAGAAATATATAATTTGTTCTTATTTACACAAAGAGTCGTCTACAATAAATAACTCTAAAAGCGTTACAACACTGGAAATTATCATCTAAACAATATGCGCTCGAAAATTAAATTTGTACTTTATTGTTTCGTTAAGCTGGGACATAGAAAATCACGTTACAAATTTTAACAACCTTCGCTTACAGCTACGTAAATGGAATTTAAATTTTATGTCAATGAAAATAAATACTAAAATTGATTCAACTGATAAGTAAGATTTGTTATAATCTGTTTCGAGTGTAGCGCTGTTAGATCCTGGACGGTAGACTTCATGTCCAGTTACTTTGTGCTAACTGTTCACGGGAATTAAACGAATCAAGCCGTATAAGACCTGGCTTGATAATCGTCAAGTCCCACATACATGAATGTTCGAAGATATTAATATATCCCTAGAACTTCAACTTCAAATAAAAGTTAAGAAGTTCGCGTGTATTGCTATTCGTAAAAATTGTGCTAAATCCAACATGGCACTGTCAACAGACTGGCTATTTCATATACAAAAAGGAGATGTAACATCAAGCCTTTTTACATTGCACCAATTTTACAGACATTGCTGTCTATGAGGGGCGGAGCGTATCATACCCCGCCCCTTTTCAGTCCTGACAGGTATATTAGTATGTCAACTAATACCTGAGTGAATGTTTGAGCTTACTTTGTTTATCTTAATGTAAAGGAACGTCATACTAGTGCTAGGTATAAGCTATTGTCAGTTGATATGTCCGCCGTCGCGCCATCTTTTCTTTGATCGCTCGAATGCTTCTTTTATGCAGGCTCTGTGGAAAAGAGACCAATTTGTAGTGTACAAATGGAAAACGTTTATATTTAAATTTTATTATATATGTAGTTGAAATAGGTATTTTGAAAATAAATGCTATGTCCGTGAAATATCTGATTGAATAGGATATTAGTATTAACTATTATGTTACTCTATTTTTTGAAAGGAGATTCTTACTGAACCTGCAGCTGTAGCCAAATACCATTTAGAGCTTGTCTTCATGTAGAATAGAAAACCAAATTATATGGAATTGACGTAAATTTTGACATTTGTCAGTGTCATCCCCATACATTTAGTTTTCTACTCTCTCTGTAGACACGCGCTAAAGTGGCGTTTGGCTAAAGGCACAGACCACATACTGCTTTCTTTAGTAATGTAGATTCAGTGTCAAGAATCGATTGACGGAATTTCTTTCTCTATAACACTACATTATTATGATATCAAAGTATAATTAATTTATGCTGTAATAAAGTGTCTGAGTGACTTTCGCCCAAACACTGGAAAGCTACTCATTTTAAGTTGTACTTAGTTATTGTGCCGTCTCTGTTATTTTACAAATAATTTGTAGAGGCAGAACTATGCGCGACTTAAAATTGAGTTGGGTTTCAGTATTTGGACATTTGACTCTTCTAGATTACTCTACAGTTTAAATTAGGGTCTCACCTGAACAGTGACTGGTGTAGTATGTAGGCGGACACGTGTCCCGCGTCGACGTATCGCACCTCAGCGCCGGGCCAGATCTCCTCCAACGTACCGACGTCATCACGGGGCACGTACGCGTCATGTTTTGCGCATACAGCTGTGTGATATAGGAGATTTTGTTAAATTAATATTGAGAAAGTATTTTTTTAAGGCTGTATTTACAATGATGATGAAGATTTTTAATGTTTACAAAAATGATTTATACGTTTAAAAATGCGTAATATATTTGAGGCAAAGAATATTAATTTCTAAAGTAAACAGAGGTGCAGACGTGCACGTTACGCCACTTAATGCCACTGTACTGTAGCACCCAAGTAAGTATATACACGTTAAATTGTGTTTTTTCTTAATTCAGAAATATAATTAAAAACATATGATTATATGCACATCGCACTGATGCAGTCAGAGCGCTAATCATGTAAGATAGTTGCCAAAATATGTTCCAACTATACCTAAATATAGCTTAGAATGTGAAAGTGCTTGCGGTTTCACTTTCTTTATATATTTAGAATGATTTAGGAGATCGTGTTGTGCATTCAAAAATATGTATTTATATTTTATATTGAATAATATCAACGATTAATTCTGGAAATGAAACCTTGCGCTTTACACTGTTATATCTTGTCAAGGAGGTTGAAATTGTGCCCGGCATTGCATAAAGGTCATTATAACATTGGAATTAAATCATCAAATCAATATTATTGAAAGTAGAAGTTTTACTTGACTGCCTCTTTGGCAGAGTGGTCGCAAGTGCAACTACCGGATAAGGGGTCTCGGGTTTGATTCTTGGGTCGGACAAAGTATTACTGGGTTTTATAAAAAAAATCCCAGTAGTAGCACGGAGTTAGGAATTGTGGCCGGTTTGTTATAGGCTAATTCCCTATTACATAGGACTTAAAAGTAAATAGTGAAAAGTGGGTGTTACATTGTACAGTGGCATTAAGTGCCGTAATGTGCCCCTTTACCTACCCCTTCGGGGATAAAAGGCGTGATGTTATGTATGTATGTTGTATGGTGTATTTATGATAGTACAATACTAATCGTATGTCAGATAACTTCCTTGAAGTTATAAATACACGTGTACAAAATCATTGCCAAGATATCGAACTAAAAAAATGTGTAGAATCTAAAAATAAAACTACATAAGTCTTATGTATCTGCGAAAGTAAAACTTACCAATGATCAACGAAGTGTCATAAGGTACGGAAAAGTTGCTAAGATGCGTACATTCGTCCATAATACCTCTCATGAACTGTAGGGTCTCTCTGTCTCTCCAATGTATTTTACTTATATCTATCTTCTTCCCACTTTTAGCACTCGATTTTAGAAACGGTAAATAATTTATCCACAAATCTGATGTGAAATTCCATGATTTCTCTGGTTTTTTTATAATTTCTTCTTTAGGTGGTTGTACAGTTGACAAAGGGTTTTCTAGAGGCTTTGGACTTTCTACTACGTCTTGTTTGGCACTTAGTACTGCAGATCGAACCTTATTATTATTCGCTTCTGATTGTTTTTGTATTGTCACTACTAGTTCTTGGAGGTCGGCTGGAAGAATAACATACAGGATAGTTAAATAGTTGTTAGAAAATTTGTCAAAATGCAATTTGTGATGTTATTCTTAGAGATAATAATAATACATTATCTTCTTATCTACGGTTGTTGTAGATAGAATGATTTTATTACTGTATGCCTAACAGTACAAGATATTTCTTGCCTAAAATAAACTGTAATAGCTACCACGATGTACTAAATAGTTCTGATTACGACTTGAACTGCCTACTGCAATTTATAATGTTATCAAATAGTCAAGTTATTACAAACACTGGTTATTTGACATTACTGGCAACAAGACCAAGGACTTACCAACTTTACACTTTAACAACACTTCCTTGATCTGTGGCTCGGTCATATTGTTGATAGCATCGATGTCAGCCGGCTCCAACACAAACTTCTCGTTCGATGTCAATTTATTATACAACTCTAAACTAATTTTGTTTTCATCCAATAACATTTTCAATTCTTCATGTATATTCTCGATTTGGCTCTTGTCTTCATTTTTAGGCACTTTGTTAATATCTATTATATTATCTGGTACAGCATTTTCTTTGTAGGTTATATCTAATTCTTTCTTCGTTTCATTTTTGTCCGTTTTTTCTTGTGGTATGTCTATGTTTTGTGAGTATGTCCGTGCGAACTTCTTGCCGGCTAGGAACGCCTCGTCAACTATGGTCACCATTTTGGATAGCTTTTCTCTATACTCGCCGTCTGATAAGTATTGGTCCTCTAGTAGGTCCCAGTTTATCGAATGAGACATTACACCCTGAGAATTTTAGAATAAGTCTTATTTAACTTTTATGTGTGTTAATATAGAGCTCAAATTAGTTTGCACTAGGTTTGAGTAACGTTTCACTCTATATTATATGAGAATAAGTCTAACTAAACACTTATGCCTTTGAAATGGAGCTCAAATTAGTTTGCGTTAAATACGAGTCTAAACTAAATATAGTGGTTCTTGTCGTATCAACATAGAGCTCAAAATTGTTTACCTTGAGTAACATTATGATTCTTAATGAAAAATATATATAAAGTATATATATATAATCGGGTTACCTGTAAGAATACTGCAGATGCTGTTGACCATGACAGACATGGGACCAGGACTAGAGGTTTCGGCCAGTTTGTAGCTGCCAATGATGCCATCTGTTGGGGGATTAAACATTATTATATTTTTTACAATACACTAGAACATAAAAAAGGAGGAGGTTCTTAATTCGACTGTATATATGCTATTTTTTATAGCATAAGCCGGTAAACGAGCAGACGGATCACCTGATGGTAAGCAATCGGCGCCGCCCATGGGCACTCGAAACACCAAGGCGTTACAAGTGCGTTACCGCCCTGTTGGGAATTTGAGGATTGTGGAGGATTCGGGAATTCGGGAAACGGATTAGAGAGGGGGGTAATTGGGCCTCCGGTAACCTCACTCACACGACCAAAACACAACGCAAGCGTTGTTTCACGTCGGTTTTCTGTGAGGCCATGGTATCACTCCGGTCGAACAGGCCCATTCGTGCCGAAGCATGGCTCTCCTACACTTGATTGATTGATTGATTGATTGATTTATTTAAAAATACTCGACTTTTTATATTTTAAAATTCTCTAAAAACATGTAAGCGAAGTAGTGGTCGAAACTGTGCTATACTTAAGTAGCAAAAGTCTTTGATCTTTGATCAACTTTGATATTTTACAAAGAACCAAATGGTATCTTCGCATATATGAAGGTATACAAACATGCCCGCCCATAGAGAGGCCGGTGACGCCGAGCGGGCCGAGTCCGTTGCGCTCACACCAATGGAACAGCACCAGCGACTCCAGGATCAAACAGCCGCCCATCACGAATATATCTGACACGTTGTGCAGCGAGGAACGACTGCGGACATACAATACTTGTGTTAGAAAGGTAAGTTATATAGGGATGACTTAAGTAAACTATTCGAGAAAAGCTCTACTAATTTCAAGTCGTACCGGGACTCATATTCATGAATCGTGCATGAGTAGCAAGCAATATCTTTCTTAGATAAGAGAGATAAGTTTAGTTCACTGTAATTTATGTGTATTTAGAGTAAATTATTCATTTGGTTTTTAGGGAACAGAGAGTATAGTTCCCTAAGACCGGAAAAGGAGGATCCTCCGACCAGGCGAGGTGATCGTGCCTGGCGGGCTTTCTGCCCAACAGTTATTCGTTGGGATTTTCTATCCATGTTTATTCGCTTGTAAACTTTGCATGTGCGATGTAGGATTCTTGTGACGTCATCCGTTGACATGTGGCATGTGTCGCCACAGGTTAATGTATTCAGCGTTACTTTGTCTCCTGCAAGGTGGTTTGGGTTCGATTTCCGGGTCAGACAAGATATAATCTAAGTACCAACAAAAACATAGATTTTGGAGCTGAAGGAAACCGAAGGCCTACTACATTCGGATAAAAGAAAGTCGTGTTAGTTACACTACTTATAACTCAAGAATGGCAGAATAGATTTGGCTGAAAATTGGTATGGAGGTAGCTTAGAGCCAGGAGACCGACATAGGATACTTTTTGACCAACATTTATTTTTTTACTTTTTACCGAAAATCACGAATGGGGACGGGAAAAAATGGGATTACGCGTACGAAGTCGCAGGCAGAAGCTAGTTAAAGATAAAAGGTGCGACGCCACAACAATTTGATTTAAAATATTTGTGATTTTTATGTTTAATAATTATTTTGAAGTCCTGTTTTTGTTATATGTTCCAAGACTTCCACAAGATATACTTACACTTGATCAGTCGGCTTGCGCAGACCATAGAACGGGTTCTCCAGTATGATGCCGCCGATGCCCGCTTCCTTCAGCAACGGCTTCACCATCAGATTGCGTCGTCGCCAGAAAAACTGAAACGAAACGACTTCTTTGAATTGTCATGTAAGTAGGTAATACATAACTGATAATTCTATTTCAAAAGATAAAAGGTCCTAACATAAGTCACATTTGGATTATATAGCTGTCTAATTGTATTTTTTTGTTGGTAATTATTATCATAATATATAGAGGTATCACATAATATAATGACATCAACAGCCTATAATGCCCACTGCTCAGCAAAGCCTCTCACACGGAGAAGGTTTGAGCATTTATCACAACACTTGCTTAATTTGGGTTGGCGATTTAAAACTTATAATTAAAAATTATAAGCCCAGGTTTCCTTACGATGTTTTCCTTCACCGTTTGTAGTAGTGTCTTTTTTATGGCATATAAACGGTAAACGAGCAGACGGATCACCTGATGGTAAGCAATCGGCGTCGCCCATGGACACCTGGAACACCGGAGGCGTTACAAGTGCGTTACCGGCCTTTTGGGGATTAGGAGTTTGAGGATCGTTGGGAATTCAGGGATTGGGGAGATTGGGGAAGGGGAGGGTAATTGGGCCTCCGGTAACCTCACTCACACGACGAAACACAACGCAAGCGTTGCTTCACGTCGGTTTTCTGTGAGGCCGTGGTATCACTCCGATCGAGCCGGCCCATTCGTGCGGAAGCATGGCTCTCCCACACTTAAAGGCGGTACCAAGCTTTTCGGGTTAGGTAAAAATTAATAAATAGATCTTCCTTTGTAACAATACATTAATTCCTGATAGATCTGACAGGAAAAGCCGACGATTAATAAAAATAATTTGGGCAAACGTCCAAAACCTTACTTCATTACAAAAACGCATAAGTCAAATATACAAGGATGCAACCGTTTTGTTCACTGGCTGAACGCCAAACAGCCGGTGTTAGTGTTTATTTTTTAATTCTCATCGTCCATTTTTGGCTTATTAATGTTAAAATTATTAGGGTCAACAGCCGGGCGTTTGTAGATAGCATTCTATTCGGAGTAAATAACACATTAAGCTGTAAATAACCATTTTATCTTGGTCTCACATTGAATGATCTTTCCGCATGTGGAACGATCAGTTTATACTGGTTAGTGGACATTAGACATTAGGTGGTCTTCTATCAGTATTGTTATCATTATTACTCGTTTCGATAAAGCGATAAGTCGAAAGTCGATAAGTTGTTTTTACGTGTTTAAGGAACAAAAGGAAAATAACAATGTTATTGCGTAGCTTTTAATTGGAGATTCAGTTTAAAGTTTTCTTTCAGAAAATCAACGAGGCAGTCGAGTGGTCGCGAGTGCCATTGTTGGGCAAGGGGTCTCGGGTTCGATTTCCGAGTCGGGCAATGCATTACTCGGATTTTTTTAAAATATCAGTTGTGGTACAAAGTTTGGAACTGTGCCCGGTATAGGCAATAGACTCACCCCCTATTACATGGGACTAATAACATAAACAGTGAAAAGTGGGTGTTACATTGTACAGTGGCATTAAGTGCCGTAAAATGTGCACTTCTTCGGGGATAAAATGCGTGACGTTGTTTTATGTTTATGTTTAAAAATCGACTTTGGAGTAGGTAGTGTCTCACAGACAATATCAGAATGGTTCAATAATTTATAGAACAGATGCTTTGTTCCCACAGATCGATATTTAGTTCTATAGGTACTAGGTACAAACTATAAAAACGACTTCTAATACGCTATCTATTAAACGCTATATTTTAAATTTCATTAACAGATTTCAAACTTTAAAACTAGTAGGTAATTAGGTTTGAAATATAATAACTAACTTAGACAGTTTAGTCAAGAGCTAGCTAGCATCATTACCATTTACTTCTAATATTTACTCATTATGATCGTTTTGTCATAGAAAAAGAAGCCTTAATTACGACAATATCTATTAAACAATGGAAATTGTAGTTTGTAACTGTGTCGTGACTGTCGACCGTGATTTTGTAAAAGAATATAAACTGCAGATATTGCGTAATAGTGCTGTCCTAGTTTCAATTATGTGGGACAACGAAATGCTTTCCAGCCAGTTTGGCGCAAACTGTTAGATAAACTTTTTTTATGTAGAAGCTTAGATTTTTTAACATAATTTCACGCCTTTTATCCTCGAAGGGGTATACAGAGGTGCACGTTACGGCATTTAATGCCACTGTACAATGTAACACCCACTTTTCACTATTAATGTTATGAGTCCCATGTAATTTTTAAACACCGTGCTACTACTGCGATTTTATGAAAAAAAAACAGTAAAAATGCCCGACCCGGGAATTAAACCCGAGACCCCTTGCCCGGCAGTGGCACTGGCGACCACTCGGCCAACGAAGCAGTCGCTTTTTTTAACGTTCCTATTTATTATTATGAAGATAAATATTTTGTGAGGCTGAATGAATATTTTTTTATACTATTTATGCACTAAGTCACTGGCGCAGTTATTATATCAAAATATTTTATTATTTATGAATTTTAAGTATTAGTAGTTTAAGTACTTTTTCAGGCTATAAAAGTGTGTAGAGTCTAATCTAGACGAATGTTTCTTTAGCGATCGATCGAAAATGATAATTATGAGGTGAACGATAATGTGATTTGTTTTGTACTGACTATGCGTTGTCTCGAAATACGGAACTAGAGTCACAGTTCACATTTGATATTGATTTATTTGTCAATCGATACGACCTTTAACATTGAACAATTTAATTTGTAACATGGCGTGATTGTTATCTGTACTCTTAATGAATTACATAAGTTCTATTCTAGTAGTCGTGGAATCGGAATTTTCTTGTAACTAGTCTACTATACCGTGCCCAACAACATTTTAGCTGAGCACTGTGCTTTTTGCGCTTTTTTTATTAGTTTTATTTCTCATTTTTTGTAACTTTGATAATCTTTTTTTCATTCTTTCTTTTCTTTCAATAGGAGCCATAACTGATAAATTTAATTAACTACATGTACATTTACATTGTCAAACACCGAGCGGTCACCGGTGACCGCAGCCTATTGTTCTTTAATTGTGTCTATAATGACTCAACGAGTTAATTGTGGAACGCACTCACATATTGAATTTAGAGTAACTCGGTAATATCAATCTCAAAAGTCTTAATGAATTTGCCCCTCAAAAAAAGGTGTCATCTTTGAATCAGTTGGGTGTACGTGACTGCTCGTCAGTCAACATTCTGCGGTTATTATTCAAAAGCCGTAGCGTGCTATTACTTAACCGGGCTTTTCCTGCAGTGACCTCGGAGTGCCTAACCAGGGCTATAAATACTCTTACTATCTAAATTACCACATCGCTAAGATAACCCTCAGTGGAATACCTATGAACCTTTGCTCAATAGGGGCTTTGACTAACTAACAAAATGTAATACATTACAAGAGCATCACTGTTTCCCAAAAAATACATTGTAAGCCCAAACATCAGTTACGTAACTATATCCTTCAGGGCATGGAAAGTTCATTGAATGGGCCTCCGTTCCCAATAATAAAACAGAGAAGTTGAGATGAACTGCCTCGTTGGTCGAGTAGTCGCAAAAAAATGCCGGGTAAAGTGTCTCGGGTTCGATTCCCGGGTCGGGTATCTCAGTAGTAGCACGAAGTCTGGAAATGTGCCCGGTTTATGGCAATAGGCTCACTCCCTATTACATGGGACTCATAACATAAATAGTGAAAAGGGGTTATTACATTGTACAGTGGGATTAAGTGCCGTAATGTGCACCTCTGCCTACCCCCTCAGGGATAAAAAGGCGTGATGTTACGTAAGTTCAGATGTAAACTTCTGAACGGGGGCCAGCTGGGGCCCGTGGCATTTTCCCGACACGCTACTGCCAAATATATTAGCCTTAGGAAGCCTCAGATCGATCTTCCTTATCACCAATATCACGTACATAAATGTGTTATCGTATGACAGTGTAATTCAGTGACGTCACCCCTTAGTCACTCGTGTCGAATGCGTGACGTGTGTCGACTTTATATCGTGCCAATGTCTTCTGCATAAATACTTGTTTTGTTTACACTTGAGTAGTTCAGACGATAATAGTACCTAATCTAGGTATTATTTATGTCTATATTGTTTTATGATGTATGGATTTCTTTGCATTGTATTGTTGGACTAGCTGTTAGCTAGGCTAGAAGGAAAAATGTAGCCAACATCATCATACAAATATTACGGAGCCGCGGAAGACTTAACGGGTTGCCAGGGCTCCGGTTCGAAGTGAAAAAAAAACGGGGGCTTAAACCGGTAAACGATGACATGGTGAACCGTCTGCTCGTTCTTCTTCTTCCTGATGGTAAGCAATCGGTGTCACCCTTCAGGGATTGGGGAGGGGGAGGGAATTATCACACGACGAAACACAACGCAGGCGTTGTTTCACGTCGGTCTTCTGTGAAGACGTGATATCACTCCGGTCGAGCCGGCCCATTCGTGCCGAAGCATGGCTCTCCCACACTTACACTGGTTTTAGTCAGTGAGAGTCTGACACTCCCTCTGGCCTCACCCGGGCGGGAGAATTCATTGGATGATTTTACCCCTCACAAAAAAAAGAATGGCGTACAAATATTCATAAAATAGCTACAAATATTCGTATATTGTGAATGTAAAATAAATATAAACAAACACACTTTCTATTTTAAATATTGGTAAGGATAAATTTTTTTTTCTTGTTATTTAGTCATTGTTTGTCACCCATATTTATGAGAAATGAAGAATCACTAATATTCACAAAACAAATTGTATCATTGGTTTAAAAATATGCATGTTACTTATACTCAATTAACAAGCGGTCATCAGTAACCACTCTCTACTAACGCCATTATAGACCTTGTCTTCCGATGTTTAGAGACTACTTTTGTATGAATAAATTTTGAGGATTTTCGGTATGATATATCAAGTTATTAAGACGTAATCATTACTTTTCTATGAACAAAATCTTACTTCAGTTATATTTTATTGATAGTTGCAAGTCCACATAAAATGTTTTATTTACTTGGCAAACTTGATTTAAAATTTATATACAACTAGCGACCCGCCCCGGCTTCGCACGGGTGCAATATGTATATACATACAAACCTTCCTTAAGAATCACTCTATCTATTAAAAAAAACCGCATCAAAATCCGTTGAGTAGTTTTAAAGATCTAAGCATACATACGGACATACAGCGAAAGCGACTTTGTTTTATACTATGTATTGATGCATAATAATCAGTGCATTTAAATGGCATCAGTGCTATTATTCAAATTGAAATAAAATATCCTTGATAATGTTTTATAATTAGATGTGATGTATCCTTAGTAATATTTACACAAAACAACACAAAAATTGCTGTGCAGATTTTAATGAGATTGATTTAAGCTTATAGAATAACAATTTATGCTTGATTTCGTTATCCTAGTGCTGTGGGTAGGAGTATTAAAAAGCTCTTTTAAAAGTACCTTCCACTGATAAGCTTAATGCTGCCAAAGATGAATTTTTATATTTGTATTATTGTATTCCATTCTCTGTTTCTATAGCAGATAGATGATACTACAGAGATGTCTTTAATACATTTTCATCTTTTTGGTCTTGTAATAAAGTTAAAAGTTGAAGTAATTTGAAAGTAAGGGTAGCTTGTTATGTCGAGGCTTTAGTATGAGTTTGTTTTACGTTTAAAGTAATCGTAATGAGTTTGCATACGGCACTCTGATATGCCAGCTCCAATGTAACAAACTCATATTAACCCATACATCCGCAAGTGATTGCTCTCCACTAACTACATTATAGACCTTATTTCTAATGTTTAGAGACTACTTTTATATGAACAAATTTAGGGGATGAATTTCAACGGGTTAAGTCCTCCGGTTAGTTTACTATTTGTAAGCATGTGGGTAGCTACCATACCAACTATTAAGTTTCTGCTAGTTCAGTTTTTTAAAAGAATTTTGAAGTATTACTTACATGGTCGCCAGTGCCAGCTAGATGTAGACATACAGGTTTGCAATGTTTTTCCGCCCAGTGGATCGGCAGGAGTGCTTGAAAATGTGCTTTTTGTGCTATTTTGGGCACTATTCCAGGTAGATACCGTTCCAAAGGGGTTATGAAGTAGCCTTCAAACAGTTGGCAATCTGATAGTGTTTGATGCTGCAAAATAAAATTGAATGGTTGAAAATTTAAATTAAATAGTTGAATTAAAATTTTTTTTTGGTTGTGAATTTAATGCGCGGATAATTACTGTTTCTAGTTAGAATTATGTAACTAGATTTTTTCCTATCGCTTATTATATTACTTATATATGCTCTTGTTATCATTACTTTTAGGTTAATTGAAGGTATTTAGATAATTTATTCAGGAATTATGGTAATTTGACAATTTATCTTCATAATCTAATTGGAATTGTTCTGAAAAATTTCTCGTTACCTTTGTAATCGTAACAGGGTAGTCCCTTTCAACTAATTTGAAGCATTCGTCGCGGTTTGAAACCACTTTTCTGAACTCGAATAACCTAAAACACAACACGAGAACAGCTTGTAAACAAACACGTAGTTTCACTAAAATCACAGAATTTACAGGTTGGCGGCAACACTTGTTACACAACACTTCTAGCGCGTGTATTATCATCACACTGACCTTCGTAAGTTCTCCGGTTTCCCCCATCCTTTAGTAAAAAATTTTGTTAAAAGTATACTCCTGTACACAGCGTCTAACCTGCTAGCCGACATGTTTCGTGATCCGGACGGTAATGGCCTGTTTCATTGACAAGTTTAATTTATGAAATCTTTTTGATTTCTCTGTTACGATTACCCGTTGTCAATACATTTTGGTTGAGAATGACTGTAACTGAATGTGATGGGAAATGTCAACATTGACGACAAGTTTCTTTTTTCAGGATGGTCAGCTGTTATCTGTCACTTTGACAGACGCGTTACTTTTAGCCACTTTTAAGATTATTCGTATAAGAAAATCTCTCGTAAAAAGGCCAATTTTTTTTGTTCTCATAAGAAATAAAACTTTACAAACGATAATTAATGCTTAAAAAAATAACATAAAAGTCAATAACTATCTTATAATGTAAGAACATGAAAAGGCTACTTAAAATTATTAACAATAAATTAAACGAACCTTTGCGTTCGAAAACCTACAGTGTCAAACTAAGGAACATGACGTTTTTTATCTTATTTCATATTATTCTTTCTCGTATATTTTAAATATAGGAAAGCAAATTGCGTAAATTTAATAATAATACTATTTAAAAATATATTATGGTGTCGTGGATATAAGTACCAATATATTTATTTAGTCCAATAAAATATTTTGATATAAAGAACTTCAGAATGCGTTCAAATGAAAATGCGCGGCAAATTAGATTTAAAATTAGTAAAGGTTAGTAACGTGTGAAACGTAATATTTTATTTTGAATATTATTTTCATGTAGCACTCGGAGGACTCATAAAATAAAGTCTTCGGCGGCACTGTAAAGCTGGAAATAAGGTTTGTATTCTCATTCTGAGAGTGCATTGCATGTAAGAATTCTTGGACGAAACTGAATAAGATTTTTGGATTCTGCGAGAATAGGTATGTATGCTTGTTTCCTTGATCGACAAACTCGGAAGTTCCACAATAATGCCACAGGTTCAAGTTCGATTCTAGGTTCAACCAGGCTAAGCAATTATAAAAAAATCTTTGAATGTAGTCAAATAGAAGATAAATGATAAAAAGTGGGTGTAACCAATTAATGATCCTTGGTTATATTTATTTAGTCTTGCTTATTTATACATAACATAACACCACGCCTTTTATCCCCGAAAGGGTAGGCAGAGGTGCACATTATGCCACTGTACAATGTAACACCCACTTTTCACTATTTATGTTATGGGTCCCATATAATAGGGAGTGAGCCTATTGCCATATACCGGGCACAATTCCAGACTCCGTGCTACTACTGAGAATTTTTAAAAACCCCAGTAATACTTTGCCCGACCCGGGAATCGAATCCGAGACCCCTTGCCCGGCAGTCGCACTTGCAACCACTCGGCCAACGAGGCAGTCTTGCTTATTTATTTATTTAATAATGTTGCACACATAGATGGAATTAGGCATTTTCTTCAAGTCTACTTTTTTACGGTTTCAGTCTAACTTATGGGTTTGCATATTTGTATTAGGTATTTTATAGTAGGTACCTACACACATGTAACACATACATCGCGGATGTAACATGTAACAAATAAATTATTACACCTATTGTCTATATCCACATTAACTACCGCATACTTAGTTAATAAAAACTATGCCTAATGATAATGATACATATGTAAGCCCATATACATAGTGATTATGTTAATTGAATACCTACAAACAGGTACCTACATACCTACTTAAGTAGACATGTGAACAAAATTGTCAATAAAAATGTCAATCTGGAGATGTATTATAGGATCCAAATATGGCGGTGCTCCCATTCTCTGAAGATGTTAATAGATTAGGTATTTTATATGCTAATCGTTACGTAGGACGACTATTTTGCGATGGTTCGTGTTAATGAGAAATGTGTCATTTCTTTTAATATGGTAACGTGAAGTCGTTTATTATTTTAATTTATTTGAAGATTGTTTATCGGAACATTATGAGGAACTGGACACGGCCTTGGACGGTGTTTTAAGTAAAATGTTTATATTAATATTAAATAAGTTATATGGTGGTAAAACAGTTAATATAGTAGGTACTGGCATGCGAAACTGCGATGGATTGAAATGACAAGTGTTGTGGATGAAAATATGAAAGCCCCATTTTGGAGACAGTTTATTGCCAAAATAAATTAATTGTAACTTAATTTATCTAGCTGAAAACCTATAGACGTTTTTACAGTCTACAGATTTAAAGTACACATAATAACATTAGTAAACACAAACAAAGTTATAAAGAGTTTTAAGAAGTCCAGGAGTGGAAATAGAAAAGGTCTTTGCTTTGCTGGGACGACCTGAAAAAACCTTAAACGTTATTACAGTATAAATATACGTCTGCGTTGCCCAGACGAATCAGTACCTACCTAACCTCGTCTATTAATTGATAGCTATTATATTATATACAACCTATGATTAAGTGCTCATAATTGAGACGTAGATGGTTTGTTTGCTTTTTATAATTATGACATGTGGGTAGTGTGGTGTATGACTTTTTGCAGACCTGTATTATCTACTTAGTTACCCGAGTTCAACCAATTTTGTGTCGTATTTAATGTTTGTAATGGTGATGTGATTGACCTTTATTTAAAAAGAACCCTAAATGTGCTATTGCCATAAAACTATCCATTTTCCGACGAAAAGCCCATAGGATCAGGTGTACAACAGCCATTATGTCATCGTGTGGGCAGAAACTGACTCAGTTACCGACTATAAAGATGATCACCAAAAATATATGCTAAAATTGGTATTTAAATCTTATTATGTTTTCCGAATCTTCAGGATATAGATGATAATTGAGAAGATTTTAGTTTTTAATCGTTCTTATGGTCCTTTATTGGATATTTATTACATTTTGATGTTGTTTTGTTACTAGGCGTTATGTAGGCTTGGTTCTGGTTCGTATTATTTTTGTTATGGTTTCTATTTGGATAAACAATATAAGTAGATTCTAGGTAACGTATGTGCGTATTAAGGAAAATTGTAATTGTATACTTTTTATGCCGGACTTTTAGATGTATGACGCTAGTTCCAGCATGGAGATTCCGAGGAAAACGGCTAATCACCGATAAGTAAGAGGATACAGTATCACCCACGAAATAAGTACCTACGTAAGTACTTCAAATTAGAAGTAGGTGTTAAATTAAACTTAAACTCTAAGTAACAAGTTTGTTTCGAAAAAGTTGATACTGAAAAGGAATAAGCTAAGTAGACTGAGTCACAGAGCTGATTGTGTAAGAAAGGAACATTTCGTATTGTAGGACTAAAATGTATTTGTAAAGTCCAAAACACTTGTTACTAGAAATGACATCATTGCTCTCGTGATTTGTATCACTCACGATCATGGCCGACGAAGTTCCCGCGCACCAAATATGGTGCGAAAGAAAAGTCGTTGAGCAGAGCCGAGTTTAAAATTAATTCCAGGCTTTGTCCTTCGTTCCGCTTCTATGGTATGGTGAAATAGTTTTATAATTTGAATTACAATTGGACTCTTTCCCTATATTAAAGGGAGTGGAGATGTGTACTCTGGGATCGATATGCTCTGATTAATTCATTCATAAAAGTCCGAAAATGTCCTCCGGCCACCAGGAAGTCATGTCTATTGTGAAATTTTGATGAGAATGAAAGCTATAAAGTACCCGCCTATTTTTGAACCATTTCTATGACATAATTATGTAACATGCTAGATCAAGCTTATCCTGACAAAGTAAAATTTAATTAACCCCAGAGGTACACACCTACTTACCTACCTACATCATTTTGCAGTAGCCAATTTGATACTTACTTGCTTAATTCATTTAAATACTCTTGGAAAAATCACACAATTTACTTACACAAGAATCAATAAGCCCCTGCATCAACAACAAGTACCTACATAATCCTTCGTATGGCTATCTCAAAAATTAAGAATTAATATGAAGGTCAGTTTTTGAAAGGGGTTTCTTATAACTCTGATATATTTATCGATGAATTAGTAACGTATTTATTTTTCCCCTTCATTCTGTGACCAGTAACCAAACAAAATTACCTAGGTACTAAGTCAGTTAAAAATACCTTCTAAAGTTCCAGATTTGTTGTTTCTATACGTATATTTATGTTCTATCTATTGGGATAATATTATTTGGCGTTAGCTGAAATTCGTGTGTCATGATGGTTCGAAGGGTAAGACTTCTTGGCTTCTCATGCATGAGGGTGCTGGTTCGAAACCTATCAACGGCAAGTACCAATGTGACTTTTTCCAAGTTATATGTACTTTCTAAGATTATTCAGACACCACTGACAAACGGTGAAGGAAAACATCGTAAGGAAACCTGGGCTTATAGTAATCGCCAACTCGCATTGAGCAAGCGTGGTGTCTTCGTCAAACCTTCACCTTGTGAAAATAGGCTTTGCTTAGCAGTGGGCATTTATAGGCTGTTTGATGATGATGATGATGATGTTAGCAGAATTTCAACGATGACAAAAACGATTGCCAAGAAAAATAAGTTTGACTTTAAAAACCCCTAAGTAAGTATGGCAAATTATTATGCAATTAATAGACAGGTGCCACTAATCGAAGGTACTTCAGTTGTTTACGGCAACTGTTCAATGTTAACAATTCGTCATCATAAACATAGTATGCGCGAACTCGTCACCACATTTTGACATGCAGTAGGTGTCGGCAATAGTCCGGAAGCATTTTACTATTGCAAACCTTTTTTCCTTCAACTTCCGCAATTTTTATTTCATGAAGTCATAAGTTAGAAATATTCACTAGTACAACTTGCTAAAGGTTGACATGGTTTTCAGAAAAATAGACGACAATACCTAGTTCTTCTTCTTAGTAGGAAGCAAGGAACCTCACCAACATAGTTGTCGCCGGTTTGCATAACAATCAATGAATCTAAATAAGGATGGTCTGATCTTCATTAAATATCGAAGGTTAGTAACAATCGCTCTCCGTGAAGTTCCGAATAATTTGGTTATGATTCAAAATAGATTAGCAAATAAATATTACAAAGCAAAGGGTCTTCTTTTGTCGGACCATGTTTTTGAAGGAAAAGACCCATCGCACCCTGAGTAAGATGTGAGAGAGTGTCAGACTATTACTGACTAAAAACCACCCGTAACTTATTGTTCTTTATTCGCAACCCCGATGATCTAACGCATTTTCTAGGGCACTAAGCCTCTAATGCCTCCAGCACAGCAGCTCAGTACAACTGCTGCTACAACCGGGTTCAACGTCTGCCTCTATCATAACTATGCATATATTTCTATACCTACAAAAAGTTCGCATCTATAGGCGGCGGCGTAGGCGCCTCCAGTAGTATAAGGTCGGTGCACATACGACACGGACTTATCTCACCGCGAGAAAATACACGAAACAGACGTAAGTGTCAGCTGTCATTGTGCTTTTTCCCGCGTATTTATTAAAAAAAAAATAACAACAGTGAAAATAGTTTTTAATCAAAATTTAATATATTTTTAATTTGTGCAGTGAGTGATAATGGATTGTTGATCGCCATTAACTTAACTCTACGCTACTAACAGCCTGGTTAAATAAACTTGGTACTTAGAGGTGTTTTATGTAAACATTATTAATTCGTGAATCTATATTTTGCTTAACACAGATTGTGGACTTGGGTAAATAGGTAGAGATCTTGACTTGCTTTACTTATAAATATTTTTTAGATTTTGGCTAGTAAAATATATTATGCCATCTTTGAACTCACCTAAGTAGGTACATTTTCCATCTGAATATATTATTTTATTTTTAGTTGTCAAATACATACCTACCTACAGAAACTACGTTCAACTACCATGGATAAACATCTGTAGCTGTGTAATTTAAACTGTAGTTACCTAATGAAAATTTCGCGCTAAACCATAAATACGATTAAATTCCGCATCTTTTTTATTTTTTGTGAATGAAGTAAGCATTGATTACGATTGTGATTAACTCGTTATGCCTTATATAGAAGAAATGTACGGTCAGCTGTGTTTGCACCATACATAAAGTAGGTATATTTACTTTATGAGTCACAGACTATGTACAGTGTACAACCTTCAATGAGGTAACTCATTCATAATAATAATGAATCTTTTGTTAAGTCTTGTCCGATGATACGAATGGTTGGTTAAATGAAGACGAATAAATTAATAGGTACAAAAATATACCTAGATGCTAAATGTAGGTACCTACGCAAAATTACTAAAATGTATCTAAAAACTAATGTATAACAACTAATTAATCTTAACTGATCGTGAGATATGAAAAAATAAAATCTATGATAATAATTTTGAAAATTTGACAACTTTTGGCAGTTAGTAATAAGTTAGATTCACATTACTGTGCCTACTAATTTTAATAATTAAAATTTGGTTATAGATAATACATTGCTTGTCTTGTAAATTACTAACACATAACTATTACTATTTACCCCATTTCTCACTCCTTGCTTGTGACTCTCTCCATACCGCCAACTACATCGGAATGAGAGTACCTACTTATAATCCATTTATGATCATGATAATAAAGTATAGAAATAAAAAGGTTGCGATACCAAGTAAAGATTTTCAAAGAAAACCAAAAAGTATTTATTTCAAGTTCTTATTCGCGCAACAAATGACACGGATATTTTGACAATGATTATTTGTATATAGTGTGATTTTTATAGAAAATAATGTTTTAGAAAATCTTGAAAAAAAAAGATTATCTATTGTACCCGAAATAGTGATGTGGATCAGGGAGCATACCTAATAAAATAGGTTATAATGACAAAACATTAATGTGAGGTCCTGACATTTTCTAGATGGGCATGCAGGTGTTGCTGTTGGCGCCTTTGGTGCTCTTGGCACTAGGAAGTGTTGAAGGTAAGTGGAATAAAAACAAACTGATATCCCAGTACTGGAACCGAAGTGCCCTTCAAAGTTCTGTCTTAAATCTGAATCAGAATTTATTTTTAAGTACATGTGAATTCATTCATACTTTAAAGTTCACTGCATGCGCATACGAGTGCATACGAAGCGTTTAAAAATTGGCCAAGGCATTATCGCTCTATTTAAAAAGTTAAATGTTTATCGCTTTACTGCCTCGTTGGCTAAGTGGTCGCAAGTGCGACTGCCGAGCATGGGGTCTCGGGTTTGATTCCCTGGTCGGGCAAAGTATTACTGGGTTTTTAAAAATTCTCAGTAGTAGCACGCAGTCGCGCGCGCGGAATTGTGGTAGAAATCCCGGTATATGGCAATAGGCTCACGCCCTATTACATGGGACTCATAACACAAATAGTGAAAAGTGGGTGTTACATTGTACAGTGGCATTAAGTGCTGCAATGTGCACCTCTGCCTAGCCCTTCGGGGATAAAAGGCGTGATGTTATGTTATCGTTTTATTAACTATTCACTTTCGGCGTGTAATTAAGATTACCAGATGTCCAAACTTCTACTTTTTCATCCCCATTCCTTCAATCCTCTGGTGTTTAGCTAAACTATTCTGTAACTATCAATTTCAACTTTTGAAGTGAGCTCGATGGCATTCTCGTCCGTCATTGGTCCAGATTATTCTCATAACCAATGACATGGTGGACCACGATCGAGCTCATTTCGAGAGTTCGAAATAATATATTATAAAATAGCCTAGCAGCCACTATCGAATTCTGGCATCCAGGTGATCAGTCTGCTCGTTTACCACCAAATTCTTTTCTCTCTGTTGTTATTCTTTATATGAATACAATACGATGCTACATAAGATGTATAAATTATACAACATAAGCCGTAAATTTTGTGAGACTGGTTCACATTGGTGACTGGGGTTATGTTGCAATTAGGACATTGTGCCATTCAATTCTGACCTTTAGTTTCAAGTATCGTGGCTTCTACTGAAGATGCATACTTACTTACTTAATAATTTGCATCTACTTTATTTATGAAAGTTTAAAAATAATTTCTATCACTATTGTTAAGGAACAGTAGCCAGGGTTATCAACCTATGCCAATCTATTTTTATCCATTGGATTTTTGACTTAATGTCAATATCATTATGTTGAAGATGTAACAGAGTTTGATCGAAAAGGATTTTTTAAGGGGGGAAAATCATCGAATCCCGCCTGGGTGAGGCGGGAGGGAGTGTCAGACTCTTACTGAGTAAAAACCACCCCGTTCCTTCTCCTGCACGTCGAGCCGGAGCCCCGGTTACCCGTTAGGTTCTCCGCGACTGATCGTAAAGGATAGGATGACCAGCTGCCCACCGTGATTTGATTTAGGCTGACCGTGTCTTTTTTTGTGTTTAATATATTTCGGTAAATTGTCTTAAACTTATTTTTATAAAGTTAGATCGTTATATAGTATTATGGTAGTGCAGTAGCTAATTTGACCTAGTTACTAAAATCAATCGCACAAATATTATAAAATGTGAAAGTTTCTTTGTTTGGATGTTTGTATATTTGTCCGTCAATCACGCTGAAACTACTGAACGGATTTCGATGAAATTTGGTATACAGGCAGGGTATGGGCTGACTTAGGTGATAGGATACCTTTTATTTTATTCCCTTTGAGTACCGTCATTATAGACACAATTAAAGAACAATAGGTTGCGGTCACCGGTGTCCTCGCGGTGTTTGACAATTTAAATGCTTCCATGGGACAAAACAGGAATCAGCGGGCAAAGCCGAGGGTAAAAGCTAGTGTTTGTTTACTAATTATTGTTTTGTTCACGTTTGGGAAATTCCTGACGTTAAGTAAATTCTAATACTTAAGCATTTCTAAGAAGTTTGCTTACGTTGTTATGACTGTTAAGTATAGAATTTGCTTTTTGGACGACCTTTTCCCGGTTATTAAAAGAAATCAATATTTACGTTAACATAAGAAATATTTGGCATACATGGCGTCGTAAAGTCTAAGAGGAAATGGGTTTATTAGTTAAAGCTAAACCTAAATATTAGATACATAAGTATCTAATGTTAAGTTTTTTTTTCGCAAAACCGTTAGTTATAAGTATAAGTCATTTCGCAGCAATTAAACTCATGTTCGCAGTTTCAAAAGTCAGTTTTAAAGAAAACATCAACGGTAAAATGTAGGTAATAGACAGTTAAGTACGGAAGTACGTGTACGTGCCTAAGTGTTGCCCTGGCTGAGGACCTTACCTTCTTGTTAATGGCCACCGTGGGGTTTGTCCGATTAAGTTGTCAACAGCCTTAGCGTGCTGAACTACGAGACGTGCAATCCAAAAAAAAGGTCAATAAGTAGGTAGGTACTTACTTATAGTTGGGATAGAAAGAACATGTAAAATAATTTTACAAAAAAATAGTAGGCATTGTAAATGTGGAGGTAACTAGATGATGGCGTCCGTAATTAAGTTAATCGTTTATCGATTTCTGATGCATCCGTAATTAAGATAAAACAATTTATAGTTTGTTACAAATGTATTGTTTTGTCATTAAGTATTTATGAAGGTCGATATAGATACAGACAGCTCGGGACTGACCACGCGGAACACGCCCACAGACCACTTCAATATGCATAACATGACTAACATTAGCATTCGGGTTTACTTGTTACTGTAAAACATCATTATTTGATTTACTGGGATAATTTACTTGATCCAAGATTAATTGTTTTTTATTTAGTTTGTTGTTCTTGTTTCATAAGATTATTTTTCTCATTAAGCACTGTCTCATTGGGTCTTAGGTTTACACACGGTGTGGGTACACGACGCCTTTTTCCTGGAACGAATTTCAAAATTCGTAGTCTTTGGCAATTTAGTTCCTGTTTGCACTCCGTTGTACCTGATTATCGATTAGTCGAGTCTACTTAGCTTTTAGAAATTTAATCGTACAAACACAACTTACCTACTTGTAATTTTAACTTGTAATTTAGTTATAGGAACTTTGATATAGTAGCATTAATAAATTAGGTACCTATGTTAATGTCTAAAACGGAACAGTCAATCAGGTATTTTTTCACATCTATTAAAATTTAAATTACAATACATTTTAATTGATGCTAGGCATACGAACGAATAGACAGACTTGCATTACTTGGTTATTTTTATTTAGGAATAAGTGTAACAATGTTATTATAATCCGTCATTGCGAGCTAGCAAGGACGTAAGGTCTAGTGGGCGAAGCCTTCCACATATGGCCTGTTGCCAAGGTCCTCTATGGCTTTTTTATTCGTCCTAATGATGTTTTTGCTTGATTGCCAGCATCATGCAAATTAATCATGCGTGGGGGTTAAATACTTTTTGCCTCAAACTGTTTGTTTTGTTTCTTAATCATGTTGTTATTGTGATCTAATTTTGACGCGGCTTCCTCGTCAATGATTTGCTGTATAATATTTACATAAATCAAACGTTTTGATGTGTCGTTTGTTATGAATGGGATCTTAATTCAAGGTGATTTGGTGTGTCCGCCGCGCCTTTATGGGTATTTTCATTGATCGTGTATGTCTTGATTCTCCATAACAAATTGTATTATTTTTTTATTGATGTCTCCGAAGGATTTTTTAAATCAAAATTCTCAGAAAATAGATTTGACCCTCAAGAGTATAAAATTATAAGGAATTTCATCGATTTCTAAGAAGTAATATGATAGGTAGGTAAGGATAAGTGCTTTCTTACCTTTGCTTACTTCACTCTTAATCTTTCTATAGGTCAACGCTACCGCAACTATTACGCCCGGGATTACTTGGGTCGCGACTTGTACGAGCACGGCCGATCGATATCCGACAACCTGGTGACATGCGGGCCCCATACCTGTGGAGTTGGAGCCCATTGCATCCACGGCAGTGTGAGACCCGTCTGCGCTTGCCTCCCTGGATACTCCGGGGACGCTTTGAGCCAGTGCATCAAGATCGAGTGCATTGGTAAGTTTGGATCAACATTTTCGTAGATTATTTGATTAAGATATCAGCATTGTCAATTACGTTATTTGCAATTTTAATTATAATAAATTATTTCTATAGACAACAGTGAATGCCGCGGCCACCAGAGCTGTGTAAATCAACACTGTGTCGACCCCTGCGTCGGCGCTTGTGGTGTCAACGCCAACTGCGATGTAAGACCCATTCACATAAATACTTATTTCTTATTTCTATAGACGGTACAACATTGTGCCTCTTTCTGTCAAATGCATTTTCACCATTATTCCTTTGTAATAAAGTCGGAAAGCTATTGAAGGCATACGATAAATTAGGGTAGTTTCTATTAGTAGTTCTGTTTCTGTCTGCTAGCATCTGTATCTACATATCCATTTAAACTGTCAAACACCAAGCGGTCACCGGTGACCGCGACCTATTGTTCTTTAATTGTGTCTATAAAACCGGTACTCGACGAGTTAATTATCAATCTTCCAGAATTTTGTATGCATAAATTGGGTTGGATTAAAGGTTGAATTGAAAAAAACATGTCTTATTTGCCTCAGATTGAACCTCTAATTCCTTTCACAGGTTCGCAACCACATTCCCGTCTGCTCTTGTCCACCTGGCTACACTGGCAATCCTTTCAGCTCTTGCAGAATCGCCGACCCAGGTATTTTTTTTTTTTTAAGGGGGGAAAATCATCGAATGACTGCTCCCGCCTGGGTGAGGCGGAAGGGAGTGTCAGACTCTTACTGACTAAAAACCACCCCGTTCCTTCTCCTGCACGTCGAGCCGGAGCCCCGGTTACCCGTTAGGTTCTCCACGACTCCGAATCGGCATCGGCCCTATTGGGCCCCATCTGTGGTGGTCTGCAGGTCCAGTGCCATAGTATTTTGTTCTTTATCTTTTATTAATTATGATGTATTATCATTTGCAGAGGAAGCTTGCCACCCATCTCCCTGTGGAGCCAACACTAAGTGCCATGTTGCTAACAACCAGGCTGTCTGTACTTGCCTGCCAGGATACAGGGTAATCATTGTTCATTTTATTAAGAAAATTTATTGCATACGATTATCAGAAAGGCAAGCCTCGCTAACTCGGTTTTACAAGAAACACAAGGAAACACTGACTGCCTCGATGGCCGAGTGGTCGCAAGTGCGACTGCCGGGCAAGGGGTTTCGGGTTCGATCCCGGGTCGGGTAAAGTATACCTACTAGGTTTTAAAAAAAAATCTCAGTAGTAGCACGGAGACTGGAAATGTGCCCGGTATATGGTAATAGGCTCACCCCCTATTACATGGGACTCATAACATAAATAGTGAAAAGTGGGTGTTACTTCTGTATGCACCTCTGCCTACCCCTTCGGGGATAAAAGGCGTGATGTTGTGTTATGTTACAAGGAAACACATATTTCACGAGTCTACATTAATTTGTTAAGGATAGCCTACGGATGGATAGAAACAAATTCCTAAGCATGGACTTAGTTTCTTATCGACCTATGGTCAAAATCATGGTTGATACCCAACTGATCTCAATCCAAAATCTTTGGATTAGGTAAGGTTGATCCACAGATTTTAGATTAACATTAAGTACCTAATTAATTTCAGTCATAAGATTTCGTTATTAGCTTAGCTATAAAAATGTGATACCAGTACTTATTATTTATGGAAAGCATTTTGCAGCTCTGCGCTATGTAAAACACTTCTAAAAATCGAGCTCATCCTAGCTAAGAAAGACAAAAACTTTTTTTTATTTATAAACTACTAGCTTTTACACGCGGCTACGCTCGCGTCACAAAAGGATAAAAAAGCCAATGTGACACATACACACAGCGCCATCTATACCAATACTTTTGTTTTTCCTCGGGAATATCAATTTTTACCGGATTAAAAAGTACACTATTATTTAATCCGGACTTCTAACTTTACGTCTGCAAAAATTCAAAGCAATCGGTTGAGTAGTTACCGCGTGAAGGTGGAACAAACAAACAAACAAACAAACTCACTTTCAGATTTATAATATTATAGTAAGTATGTACATACTACTATCATATCAGGAACTAATACCTAATGCAATAGTGTATGCCAATATTAATAGAATTAAATTACAAAGTCTATTTTACAATTAGGTACTACAACATTCATAATTATGGTAACAAACATATTCCTTAAGCTAAGTCATAGATGGGTACAGATACAGTAACAGGTTCTTCTGAATTCGTTCAGTGTACAATTAAATTTAAATATCCATAATACTTCTTTAAATATCCATCCATCCATTTTTTATAATGAACTAAGTCATAATTATCGTTTTGGTCTTCCACAGGGCAGTCCATTAACAGGCTGTCACCACGAATGCGAGTCTGACGGCGAGTGTGGTGCCCAGCAATCATGCCGAGACTTCAAGTGTATCAGTCCCTGCGGAGACTGTGGTGTCAACGCAGATTGTGAAACTGTCGCCGCTCACCGCGCCATCTGCAAATGTCCCAGAGTAAGTAGCATTGAAGAAAGCTAGTGACGGGACTGGATTGTACTTGAATCTCCTTTAGATTTGGCTATGAAGTTAACTCTGGTCTCTGTTGTGTGTTAAGAATATTATTTTAAAGCCTGTTGTTACTGTAAAGTGATAATATATGACGAATTTTTCAATGTTCTGTAGATTAATGAAAATCGTTATAAATTGCATTGTATTTTATGTCGTATCGTGTTCAACAATTTTCCCTAATTTTACTGATTGATATACCAAGAGATTGTTGAATACATTATCATTTGTCATCACCAGGGTTACCACGGCGATCCCTACAGGATCTGTTCAGCTGAATGTACCTCAGACAGCGAATGTCCCAGCTACAAACCCGCCTGTATCTACAACGCATGTGTCGACCCCTGTATCAACGCTTGTGGAACTAACGCCGAATGTCACCTCCGTGGACTTACACCCGTCTGCTCCTGCCCTAGAAACATGACTGGAGATCCCTTCTCCTACTGCAGGCCTTTCGAAGCCCGTGAGTTTGATTTTCTGTGATTCGTCTAAAGCTTTTGTCTTGGTAAATCGAAGAGTATTCGAATTTTTTGATTAATTTAAGACTAGTTTTATATCGTAACAAACAGAACTACTTACTTTTATTCTGATATATTGTTTCCAGAGATAAATCATGGTGTTCCTCAAGGCACCGTCGTGGGTCCTATTCAGTTTTGAAAATATTATTTTTATTGGCAGGCGACCTCTGCGAGCCTAACCCTTGCGGTGCTAATGCTAAGTGCACACCTGGCCACGACCGCACTGGGGCTGAGCGTCCAGTCTGTACCTGCCCTGCTGGATACATCGGCAATGCCCTCGTGTCTTGCGAACGTGTAAGTTCATTTTTGAAACCTATATGTTCAATTTGAGTCAATACTATTATTTTAGTTAGATATCTTTGTTTATTAATATGTTAAAATGTATTTTTCTACCCCAGGGTGATTGCGAGTTGGACTCCCAGTGCCCAGACAACCTCGCCTGCGTTGGTTACCGTTGCTTGGATCCCTGTCTCGGCAACACTCAATGCGGCTCTGGAGCCGTCTGCATGGCCCGTAGACACATCGCTGTCTGTACTTGCCCTAACGGTATGAAATTGCACCAATACTACTGAATTCATTTAGTTAAATAAAATGTTAGGTTTTCATGTTTACAGTTTTGTAATACAGTTACCAATCTGAAGTTTAACTTTCTATTAAGCTGTCCTTTTTTTTAATAAAATTCAAACTGTGACTATTAGTGTGTATTTCGATTTTAACCATTATCATATTTTCATCAGGACGCAACGGTGATGCCCTCGTGAACTGCTACGATACTCAGTCAGTAGTCGCCACTGGTCGTTACTACAGGTTCAAGCGCGACGGTAACTACTCCAGCCAACCTGAAGATGTCAAAGTACCTGAAGCCCCCGCCGTCATCGTAGCTGAGGTCAAGGAAGCCGAAACCCAAACGAAAGCTGAAGAAAAAAAAGAATAAATTTACCGATTAATCGATTACAAGCAATCGTAAAAGCGCGGGCTGACAGATTAGTTGCACGTCACTAGTGTCAAATTTGACGTTCGCTGTCATACCAGTGCCTTGTTAAAAGAAATTGCCCGCGCTTTTAATCTCAAAATGATGAACGGATTAAACAAAAAATAATTTAAACTTTCAATTCGATAGTTGTTAGAACTAGTTGTCGATAAATAAAACTTACAATTTAAGTTAGAAATTTATGAAATAAAGTAAAATGATGACTTGTGATAACGAAGCACATTTAGTTATTTATTATTGCTCTCTTTTTCTATCGTTGGGAAACAAAAAGAAGAGGCAATTCTACCGTGCTCATATTGAATTGAAAGTTTGAAGTAAGCTTGTGTTTAACCAGTTAACGCCAACTGTGGAACGAACGCTCTCTCTTTGTGAAATAGTCTCATTGTCAACGTTGAAATCTGTTATGTTGTTGATTAATTATGGTTACTAATAAGTGAATACTGCCAGTTCAAATAAAATTGTCGCTATTATTTTTTGTTTCCTTTCTCCGGTATTTTTAGAACTTCTAATAATCGTGTGTTTTATGACTTTGGGCTATCGTTAGGCTTTCGAACTTTTCCACTTAAGTATTATTCTTCATATATTAGTAAAGTGTACCAAAACAAAGGCAAGAGCATGTAATGCAACTTAATGCAAAATAATGTGTCTTGTTTAGGTATAGGAAGTGCGTATTTAGAACCGAAGAGTAAACTATTCAAATTAAATCTTCTTTTTTTCGAGATGTTGCCCCACACTAGGATTTTCTCCTGTGTCGTGGGTGCGTTTACAAACATACAAGTTCACATACCCAATGACGCCCAGATCCGAAACAACAATTTGTGGATCACACAAAGCGTTGTTCCGTGCGGGAATCGAACCTTCCCCTATACTTATTATACTCTTGGATCGAACCTACGACACGTTGCATGGCAGCCGGTTGCCCAGACGCCGCACCAACCGTGCAGTCACAATCAATCATTCGAAATTTGGAAAAAAGTAGAATCTCAGGGCTCAGCATAGGCGTCGTATAGATTATTTAAAAAAGTATTTAGGTTTACCTACATGAATTAAAACAAGCCTACAAGGTTCTTCTTTGGATTATTTAAACTATTTTGGGCCTCTTATGGGCTTCTAGTACAGCCTGCTCTTTATTTGCTGCCATGCTTTGACAGCTTCGATGCTCGGAGTTTTTATAAGTGGGCCCAATGTAACTAAACTCAATCCAACCATGTCCAATGTCCATCATCAATTCAACATATTTTAAATGATTTCTATATGTATATCACGATTACAGACAAGCTGTACTTAAATTATATCATTAGACGAGTAAAAATACAATGGATCTATCGTACCTTGCTGGTGGCGCCCACGGGTTTTAGCTTATTTGCGTGCGACGTGGTTCGATGGCAACTGGCACTATTAACTCGTCGAGTACCGGTTTTATAGACACAATTAAAGAACAATAGGTCGCAGTCACCGGTGACCACTTGGTGATTGACAGTTTAAATTATGGCTTCCAAATATTTGTATGTGTCGAAGGAAAGACGAAAAAAAGGGAGGATGAGATACCAAAATTATTTCGCCATTATTATATTATAGAATATAAGAAATTAAATAAATAATGAGTATTTAACCATTTTTGGTAAAGCATTTATCTAATATAGCATATAAATACCCAATATTCAGTCAGTATTTATCCATTTTAAGTATTTATCCAAAAAAACTTTTATTTCTAATAATCATTTACAGCTACAACCACAAATGCCTCTACACTTATAAGACTCTAATGACTTATATAAATTTAAAGATGTCTTTAAACTGTCAAACACCAAGCGGTCACCGGTGACCGCGACCTATTGTTCTTTAATTGTGTCTATAAAACCGGTACTCGACGAGTTAAATTTAAAAGTAAGTATTTTTTTTTTATTAGTACTGTTTATATACAGAAATTCATAAAACATTTCTCATTATTAAACTTATTCAGTTTACTAAAATGGACGCTTAGTAACTAAACGTTAATTATGTAAACGCCTACCGATACCACTAATAATAACGGAACGTAAATTTGACATTTGGATTTGATGGGTTGATACGTCCTGTCGTTCGATTATCGAATGATGAGTGAGCCAGTGTTTTTAACTATTAATTACGACTAGAAATTGTAAATATATTAAGATAACGATGTCCGACATCAACATGGAGAAGTTTGCTGTATCAGATTTTGTGCCCGAACGTTACGTGAAGGAGCTGGCCAAGTCCTGTGTCGGAGGGGAGGAGCTCCAACAACAGAAGGATAAGATACAATCGCTGGCCGACGAGACCGCTAATGCCCTCAAGAAAAATGTGTACGAGAACTACATGCAGTTTATTGAGACTGCGACGGAGATATCCCACCTAGAAGCTGAAATGTACAAGCTCTCCCACCTGCTGAGTGAACAGCGTACTGTGCTCACGACTCTCTCCCACGCGTCAATTTTAGGTAACGAGAACGCTATATCCCGCGAGTCCCTAGACAACCACGACGTCGAGGCCGAGCGGGCCGAGGAACAACGCAAGAACAAGCTCAACCTCATATCTGAGAAAGTAGAAGGTTGTATGAACTTGTTGGACGTCCCAGACCGGACTGTGTTGCACGAAGGTGACTTGCTAGAGATAGATGCTGAAGAGAACACTGCCATACAGCGGATGCATGTGTATTTATTCAATGACTGCCTTATGTTGACATCGTGGATATCAAACCGTAGAGGTCCTAATAGATATAAGTTTCAAGCTTGCTATCCTATCAGTACCCTAGCTGTAGTGAATGTAAGAGACTTGGGAAGTGTCAAACAAGCTTTTAAAGTTTTAGCATTTCCAGATACAAGAGTGTTTCAGTGCAATAGTTTTGCCATTAAGAAAGATTGGTTAGACAAGTTTGATATTGCTAAGAAACTGCACATTGAAAAAGAAACATCAAAGCAAAAGAAAAAAGACAGTCAAGATAAGCCTAAACCAGAGCTACTGGAGTCTCCCAGTCTCTCTGTTGAGGAGCTGCCATCCCCTCAACTGGCTCCCCTACCCGAGTGGCTGGCTGATGTCACTGAGGAGCTGGATGTGCTCATTGTTGAAAGACATTTTCAAAAAACTTATGAACTGATGGTGTCTGCACAGAAAGCACTAGACACTGAAGAACACAAAAACCACCCATCGAGAAGTGATTTGTTGAAGAGAATTGAACAAAAGCAAAAAGTTTTGATTGAAATTTTACTGAAAGAGCTTGATGTTACTCACAACTGGAGCCCGAGGGGAGGGCTACAGTCATCCAGGCAGCCTGTACTCATACTCAATAAGTTCAACATGACCAGTCAGGCATGTGAGCTGTTCCTGGCAATTTGCAGTCACACTGTGAAGGTGCATGTGAAAGGGGTCCAGCTAGAAGGGTCTATCAATAGTTATGTAAAGCAAGTAGGTGAAGTGTTCTTCTGCTCACTCAGCGATGCCTTAACAGAGTTCATTACATTATTTCCTAAGAATAAAATTAGTGCTTTGGTAGTATGGGCTAGCATGCAACTTAGAATGTTAATGAGTCAAATTATCAAACAAGTGTTCACTCCGCAGTGTGCGCTAGATTCAGTGTTGGACTGTGTGCAGAGTTTGCGAGATCAGTGCCTGTTATTTTGTGAGTTTGGTCTAGACTTGAGATTTCAGATGAATAGCTGTTTAAGAGCACCTATAGTGAAAGCCCTAAGGGAGTACAGGGAAAAAGTGATGGATTCTATGAAGAATAAGGTGTCAGAGGACAAGTGGACCCCTGTGAATATGCACACTAAAGCCGGAGTCAACAAGTTCTTGACACAGATGGAGAGTTTGGGCCTTATCTTAGCTAAGTACATAATAAATGAAACATGGGTGGACTTATCTAGTAGTACAATATGGTTTGCGCAGTCTGTTATAACTATACAGAAGGTGGGACTGCAACTGGTCACCAAGGACATGATGGACGTACTGGACGAGTGCATCTATGCAGTCTTTAACTCCCGCCTTAAGCTGTCCATAGGCAACGACTCTAGTTACGCTCAGAAGAACTTTAAGTTTATTTTAGACACGGTGATGCCTTTAATGCTCAGATGTTATAAGGAAGAGGTTGGATATGATAATGAGAAGTTGGTGAGCCTGGCCAAGAAGTTTGGCGTCTACATACCACCTCCAAAGAAATCCAACATCACAAAATACACGAGTAACGAATATTTATGAGAATAGTCATTAGATTACACTTGATTGTATGTTGGTGTACGAAATTATTTTTATTATGCTGAAAGCTTTAAAATTGTAATATATAGTTGGTAAGCCTGCAGGATTTTTGTAAGTTTATTTAAACAAAAAATAAAAACTGATCAAATTGAAGTTTATATTATATGCAAGTTATGAATATGAAATTTTAATAAACCAAGATTTAATGGTTCATGTTTAATTTTATTCCGTATTCATGAAATGTGGTGATAAGATAAAATGAGAATTAAAAGATTATTTAACAATTTATACTTTTATTATACAGTATAGTACAAAGCTATTAAGGACAACTTAAACATAATAATATATTATATGGAATTCTTTAATTTATTGAGATATACATGTTACATAGAATCACTTGGTTGATTCGTTTTCCATTAAAGACTCGATGAAAGTAGTGCCGTTGATTAACTTGGTGGTTAGTATGACAAACTCTACATTGGAATCTTCTTGTTGGCTGATGGTCCTGAGTGCAGATATCTCCTGGTAGGTGCACCCTCCGATGAAGAAAACAAGTATCACGCGAGGGTTTTCCATGGAGGATGAATTTTCGCTCGATATGGAATTGCGACGCGCCATGCGCGGTTGTAACGTCTGTAGCTCATCTACTGTCGGCCCTGGTAGAAGACCCAAGACATCTTGAATACCTGGAATAGACAAACATCATATTTTAAAATGTAGTAATGATCTTTTTGTTTCATATAGGTAGAGACGTAATTACAGTTCACATTACGTTAGTTATCACTCCGATTGTAGGAAAGGGGCGGCTCTATTTACTGATTGTGTTTATTTATTCAAAATCACATAAAACTTTGTCCAACTGAGACAGAATATCAGAGAACCTTGTAATTGTGATGATGTATGTACGGCTGATTTGCATATATATATTTTTTAAATTGTGTACCTGGCTACTGTAAAACTAGGCTAGCTCAATTGACAGATACCTATCTCGAGTTAAATTTGTGTTATGACGCAATGTAGGCACTAGGTACAAGATTAAATCAGTATCGCTGCAGTCAAAGAGCAATGGCTGATTTATTTTCATTTAGCGCACTTGAAATGAAGTAATTATGTACCATTAGTATTAGGTGCCAGATATTATGAACCAGTATAAAAATATTTCTGTAATGTGCATGTCACGCGCTATGCGAGTTGTGTCTAAAGGGTGCTGGCAGAGGCATTTTCGCTCATCTTTTTAATATTATAGGAACATACTTCTCTGCATCACCTAAAGGTGGGACTGGGAGAAAATGGATGCGGCATTAAGTCCATTATATGTACGCTTTGTGCATGAAGCGTAAATAAATAAAACATAATGTTCTAGTAATAGGTGGACAGCCAGTTGACATTTTGTCCTACTGAGATATAATTTACTCAAAAATTAATTCGCTTGATCGAACCGGGTCTGAAACTTAGGAGTAGCTATTCAGTCAGCAAGAAAAAGCTAAGGAAAAAAACTATTTCTATTACAAAACAAAACTCGTTTGAAAGAGATATGCTACACAGTAATCTACCTAATTACTAAAATTGAATGTTAAAATCGCATAAATAATATCTAAAAATCAATTATAAATGTGGAATTATATTCGTACATCATGCGATGTGATAGCATTCGCTACGGCAATCATACAACAGCACGCATAATAAAATACACGACTATGTTATTTTTTCCAATGAAATGTCAACCTTAAACATTTTGAAATACAGTTGAAATTACATGGAAGTAATTTGATAGATTCGAATACATTGATGAGCTGTTGTCTACATTTCATACCGAGCAATGTTTCGCGCGCATTGTACGTGTAAAAATGGCGGAACGAGGAAGTTTGATTAGGTCAGCTTCGGACGTAACTAGGGCGTTGTTTTAGTGTTAATTTGATAGCACATACATAATGTACATTAGCATAATATGTATGTAGGTACGTACGTACGTATTGTTTTGCAGTTTGGCTGATAAATCATTTTTATATTTATCTAGAAATGACTCACGCCGCGGCTTGCGATAGGAGATGTATTTGGTCACTGTTATTAATTTTTTAACTAATTCATTTTTATATTATGGTGCTGATAGTCTAATAGGGTTGGGCAGAAATGTATTAATTGGGTGTAATGTATGGTAATTGGGCCTCCGGTAACCTCACTCACATGACGAAACACAACGCAAGCGTTGCTCACGTCTGTCACGTCTGTTCTGTGAGGCTGTGGTATCACTCCGGTCGAGCTCTCCCACACTTAAAGTCTATTGCCATATACCGGGCACAATTCCAGACTTCGTGCTACTACTGAGAATTTTTAAAAACCCAGGAATACTTTTTCCATCCCGGGAATCGAGTCCGAGACCCCTTGTCTGGCAGTCGCACTTGCGATCACTCGACCAACGAAGCAGTCTAATAGGGTCGGCAGAAATGTGTGTATCCACTTTATGGTATAGCCAGTATTCGATTACAAAACCAGATCATGCTATTTTCATCATATCAGCCATAGGACGTCCACTGCTGAACATAGGCCTGCCTCAATGACTTCCAGATAGGCTGGTTGGAAGGGAACTGTATCCAGTACCTTCTTAAAAGAACTCGCAGTTTTGCTAGTTATATGTAAATTGGTCCAGAGAGAGAGAGAGAGAGAGACTGAAACAGGATCCCCAATACCCCAAAAGGCCAACAACACATTTGTAACTCCTCTAGTGTTACGGGTGTCTAGGGGGTCTCTGATTGCTGTCAGCGGATCTATCTGCTCGTTTGCCGCAATAACCCATAATAATAACATAAAGTCTAGTTCATACTCTCCTAGGAAGACTGGAGTAAGCATAACATAACACATAACATCACGCCTTTTATCCCCGAAGGGATAGACAGAGGTGCACATCTACGACCAATTAATGCCACTGTACAATGTTTTTACTATTTATATTATGAGTCCCATGTAACATTTTTTTAATGGGACAAGCCCGCCACTACCTTCCAAAACCGCCTCAACTCCTGTAAGCCAGGATCTATAGTAGATACAACCATGAAAACACCGGAACACTGAATTTCGGCACGTCCCCGGGACATGAGTAACTGTCTTGGTTCCCGCAACGAAGTGAATCAGAAGATACTATAAGAGAAGAAGAAGAAAAAAACGATAGTTTCCACTTCCCATGTAATAGGGGGTGAGCCTATTGCCATATACCGGGCACAAATCCAGACGTCGTGCTGTTCGTACTTTGCCCGACCCGGGAATCGAATCCGAGAATCCTCGCCCGGCAGTTGCATTTACTATCATTCGGCCACGCAGACGCAGTGAAGTAATCCAGTATACAATAAACAGTAGATAGTTAATCAGTTACCTGTCCAGCCCTTGTTCTTGGCGATATGTTCGCTGAGGCGCACTGTGAGCGGGGTGTACTTGTTACAGAGGTAGCTCTTCTCTTTGGCATTCATCTCCGTTTCATCCATTGTGAGGTGAAGCGTCTGTGGAATCATAATTATATTAATTATTATGTTTTACGGCTTACTCACGTAGTTATTTGACGAGGAACTCGACTAGTTTCAAGCCTAGACTAGAGGCTCATATTTATGGGCAGCATCATTCAGGGCCGCGAAGACCCTCGACGCGGCGACTATCGCGCTGCTACTGTCGCTGGTAGTAAAACAAAATAATAATTAATTTAGTATTGCCGGAATACTGAAACGTTACTCAATTTTAAGTCGTGCTTAAATATTGCCATCTCTGTCATTTTACAAAGAATTTGTAGAGATAGAACTTAAGCACGACTTAAAATTGAGTAGCGTTTGAGTATTCCGACATATGTCTCACAAAAGTTACAATATAAATATATTATTATTATATCATCATCAATTATTTTCCATCCACTACAGAATATACGCTTCTCTAAAATCACGCTATTAAGGCCGATTTTCAGCTTTTTGCATTTAATCACTATCAGCTCCTCCAAGCGACGGCGGACGATCTCTACAAGACTACTTACTCCAACGACAACTACAAATTATTCCATCAATTTTAAGAAAACGCTAATACAATGCGCGGTTTTCATAAAATTCAATTGCGTACAATTAAGTGCTCCGATCGGGCTCGAAAACAGTCGAGTATTCTCAAAATAACTTTATTAAGCCTCACACGAAATTAATGTTAGCAAAATATAATTCTAACCTTGCGCAACACAGCATATTGTCGAGTTCCCTGCTGAGGCCGCAGAAGGCCACATTTCTCCAAGTTGCACAGAGTGAGCCAAGTGTTCAGTCCGTATACTTGTACCAGCTCGCGTTTGTAGTACTCTAGTACTTTAGGCTTCAATCCTGATCCTGTCACGCATTGTAGGCAGATTAGACGAAGTACCTGTGGAAGAAGGTTAATTAAAAAGATTGGATTTGTATCGGAATTAGTATATTCGTATTTTTTTTTGAGTGAGAAGCAAAGGTTTATGTATTACTAGCTTTTACCCGCGGCTTCGCTCGCGTCACAAAAGAATAAAAAGTAGCCTATGTGACATATACCAATACACACAGCGCCATCTATACCAATACTTTGGTTTTTCCTCGGGAATATCAATTTTTTCCGGGTTAAAAAGTACCCTATTATTTAATCCGGACTTCTAACTTTACATCTGCAAAAATTCAAAGCAATCGGTTGAGTAGTTACGGCGTGAAGGTGGAACAAACAAACAAACAAACAAACTCACTTTCAGATTTATAATATTAGTAAGGATTTTATCGTTTTTGGGTTTTTAACTAATTTCGTGTTGCAATAGAATACGCATAATTCACATTATACCTAGGTATAGTGAAATTTAATAAAAACAAATTAAAAAATTGTAGTATAATAATTTAAGTTTTGTTTTAGAACATACTACATTTTTTTGTTTTCTAACCGGTGAGGTGCATAATGGTTCTATTTCAATGGTACGGTGCTGTTAAGATGTATGAGTTCGTATGTAGTTTAGATAGATCATAATATTTCTCGCTACTACAATAATTCTCATGGTCACGATGAGCCTCGCATAATCCCTTTAGATTTAAAGACTCTTATTATATTTTAATAAAGAGAAAAAAAATATGGTCATAAACGTAGTTAAGGAATTCAAGGTACTATCATAGTTGCTGCCATACCTTGGTGAGTGGTTCCTTCTGCGCAATAAGATCCTCGATGTAGGGGCACGTCTTCTCGTTGTCCACGCAGTTGAGGAAGTCTTCCTCGCACTGCACCATGTCGTGGAACTCAAACGTGTCTGTTGTCTGTCACAAACATATACGTCCTATGTTTTTATAATAACTATCGTGATACATACTAAATTAACTAAAATCGCGGGTTACTCACGTGAATATATTGAGAAAAGCTCTACTAGTTTCGAACCACAGAGGGGTTCTGCGTCATGAGCAGCGTGTACGGTCGCGGCGATGTCGCGCAGCTTAGTGCTAGTAGAGCTTTTCTCAGTATATTCACGTGAGTAACCCGCGATTTTAGTTAATATACGTCCTACTTTAAAATATATGAAAATTTTACTTTAAACAATATTGATGTCTTTATTTCCTTTTAATAGTAATTCGAATGATGACAGGGTATTATAATTAAAAATGTAACTAGTTCGTCAGTTAGGTAATGAAAAAATATTAGACACTTAATTTTTCAATTTGTCGTATAATAAAACAATACTTAGATAAAACGAATTAAAGTTTAGGAGTGGGAGGTAGCTACCATTTCATTCGTACCATGTCATTTTAGACTATAAATCGTACTCAAAAGTGAAGTCATGCGATATTTCAAATCAATATATCTTCGAAACTGATATGTCGTGGTGGCCCGGAGGTTTAAGACGCCCACTTCTCATGCATGAGGGTGCGGGTTCGAAACCTACCAACGGCAAGTACCAATGTGACTTTTCCGAGTTATATGTACTTTCTAAGATTATTTAGACACCACTGACAAACGGTGAAGGAAAAACATCGTGAGGAAACCTGGACTTATAATTTCTAATTATAAGTTTGAAATCGCCAACCCGCATTGAGCAAGCGTGGTGATTAATGCTCTAACCTTCTCCGTGTGAGAAGAGGCTTTGCTCAGCAGTGGGCATTTATAGGTTGTTGATGATGATATCTTCAAAACTATTCGTTTCGTAGAAAATGATCTACCAGACGGACATTAAAATTAGTCATCTACCCTATTGGGGGTGAGCTTATTTAATACACAGGTACCATCCCAGATTCGATGTTACTTCTGAAAAATATTGGAAAAACCAAATTTTGTCATAAAAAATAAAATTAACCCCTTGATGTCGACATTGATCTATTTTTTTCTTATCTTATCTTTCTCTTTGACTTGATTTTGGTGTTACATTGTTCTCGCACAATCGAACCAATAAAACTGTGTAACTGGAGAATTGTATTGTGAACCTGATTGGAAAAGAGTAACCTATTGAGTTTCTTGCTCATTCTTCTCCATAGGAATCTACACCTTGGAATGAGCAAATAGCTTCACTTTTAAATTTCTATTGCTGACGTCCAAAAGTGCCCTCCTGGTCTAATTGAAATAATTTATTCGCCACCAGACATGGACCACCGAATAACACACAATATAATAACAAAATAACATTGAAAAACAAAATAAAAAACAATAAGAACATGATTGATTTTGACTTTTACTTTTGACCTCTTTACACAACCATTCCTCACCTCTTTAATATACTCGGCGATGCCAGTGTGCGTGGCCAGCGACTGTTTGTTGGCCAACATCTGCGGCAGGCGAGACACGAACTGCTTGATCTCCTGCACCGACTTGTCTTTGTGTCGCTCATCCAACTGGGTCTTTATTACTCGCGCCTTCTTTGAAAGAGCTGCTCCCACCTGTGAACAGATGAATATAATGATAATAAATAGTCATAGGTTTTCTTGAATAGGAGTTTATGTGATATAACACCACGCGTGTTATCCCCGAAGGGGTAGGCAGAAGTGCACATTATGGCATTTAATGCCACTGTACTATGTCCACAAAACATTTTTAAAACCATAATTTTTGTTTGATATCGACTGTAGATGACGCCCAAAGCATTCTTTAAAAAAATATTCGATGTGCAGTTTTTACTTTCCTACGATTTTATTATATGTATAGATTGAATAATAACTCACAGAAGTAAAACTGCAATCTCTGATCTCAGCGAACAGTTCCTCGCTGGAGTTGAGTACGATACGTTTCTTCTCCCGCGCCGTCGCCTCCGGGTTGGCGTCGTCCGGGCTCACGAACTTATGCCCCGGGAACGTCGCCGTCGAACTCTTTATACCGTAGATTTCATCTGAAATATAGATAGAGAATTATTCTCTTAAGTGTATTGAAACCGTGTGATTAGGACAAAGTAGAACATATTTAATAATATTTATAACCACTATTTATCTTTCCGTTTTCTTTTCTCTTTTCGTAAGAACCGAGTAGGACCTCACATTTGATGGAGACTGTGGAGTAGTTGATAAACTTGAACCTGTTACATTGCGATCTCTTCGTTTTCGTCTACCACGGGGGATATTTTTTTTATGTCATAAGCCGGTAAACGAGCAGACGGATCACTTGATGGTAAGCAGTCGGCGTCGCCCATGGACACCTGGAATACCAGAGGCGTTATACAAGTGCGTTACCGGCCTTTTGGGGATTAGGAGTTTGAGGATCGTTGGGGATTCAGGAATTAGGGAGATTGGGGAAGGGGAGGGTAATTGGGCCTCCGGTAACCTCACTCACACGACGAAACACAACGCAAGCGTTGCTTCACGTCTGTTTTCTGTGAGGCCGTGGTATTACTCCTGTCGAGCCGGCTCATTCGTGCCGAAGCATGGCTCTCCCACACTTATCGCAAACACTCCTATATAGAGGAGTCCTGTGGTCTAGAAGTGGATTACAATCTACAAGGGCTGATGATGAGTAATAAAATAATACTCAATATAATATAATGTTCCATTAAGTTGTGTGTGTCTCTAGCATGAACATTTGAATTCAGGATTAGAGTCCAAAGTCCTTAGACATTGCGATAGACTCCGGGCGTCATCGGCGGGCGGATCGGGAGACGATCTCCGGCCACCTTAAGCACGGGCTTGCAGACGGCGAGCATGGGTAGCTCACCACCCGAACAGAATCAGACCTGAACGTACGGCGCGTCGAATTCCACTCGCGCCCCAAATAGCCATCAGACCACCACGGATGGGACCCGGCAATAGGGTTGATATCGATACAGAGCCGCGGAGGACTTCACGGGTTGCCGGGGCTCCGGTTTGAAGAGCAGAAGTAGAAATGGGGTGGTTTCTAATCAATGTAAGAGTCTGACACTCTCTCTCGCCTAACCCAAGGCGGGAGAAGACAATGATTTTCCCACCACCAAAAAGGTACTTTGCTGGGATAAACTTAATTGAATAATATATATAGTAGTTCATATTATTGTGTTACTCAGTAAATATAGTTATAGTTACCAATAAGTCCCTCATAAGTGAGTTGCGTGGCCATAACACTGGTGAAGTCGACCGCCCGGTCTAGTAGCAGCAGCTGATCTATACACGAGGTGGCCGCGCCGCGGGGACCCAGGCCTTGCTCCTCCTTGTTCAGGCGACAAAGGAGGTCCCATACCTGCGTAGAAAGAAACAAAATGGCACCAGTTAAATACACTATTTTTTTTTAAAGTTTGATCCACACTAGTATTTTCTAGGTGATAAAGTCAAAGTCAAAGCATTTATTTCAATTAAACCATAATTTGGTACTTTTGAAACGTCAACAAATACAAATAAATAATAGTCTGTCAGTAAGTCCGTCAGTGAAACTAGATGAAGCTAGGTGCTCATTCCAAAATGTAAAATGGAATGGAGAAGAACGAACAAGAAACTCCATTCGTTACTCTTTTTAAAAAAGTATATAAACATACAGGTTCACATACACATGACACCCATACCCGGAACAACAATTTGTGGATTACACAAGGAATTGTTCCGTGCAGGAATCAAACCCGCGGTACGTTGCGCGGTAACCAGTTCCCCGCCACCGCGCCCACCGTGCACTCAATAATACCAACAAAATACAAAAAGAGATATTTATTTTGTTTGTCACTGTAACTCACTTGTTTAGCAGCAACGCCCTTGCCAAACACTCGCGGTATGATTCCATACATCTGCTGTATGGTGCGCAGAGCCTGTGCAGCGTTGTACACGCATGTCGGGTCGCCCTCCAGGTAGTTCTCTCTGTTACAATAAATATATTCTATTTGTGTTATCATCATAGTTAATGCTCATAAATCCAATATTACAAACATTGTTGCTTTAAAAGCTAACAAAAATAATACCTCTTTTTTTCAACCCATTAAAAATGAGTCAGGCTGGTGAGTTATATAATCTCCTAGTACATACCTACATACATACATAACTTCACGCCTGTCTCCCATGGGGGTAGGCAGAGACTAAGGAACGCCAATTACTACGATTCTTACATACCTCTTTCGCTTCATTAACAGTCATCAATCTTTTCATGCATGCTCGTTGGTTAAGTTAATCTCCTAGTCTTACTCTAATATCACCGTTTTATAGTTTCAACAGTTGTACCAACAAAGTAGGATATACAGGGATACCAATAAGGAAGGATAAAATAGGAACAAGGGTGGCCAACTTGATCAGACATAAGATCTAATTTTTACCAACAAAACCATGTGCGATCTACTACTTACATACTTCTTGAAATCTTTAATGAAACAGTGTTTAGTAAATAATCATAAAAATATTGAAAAATTACATAAGATGATGCTGTTGATAATTTGTTGTTGTGCAGTCTTGGCTGTTTATTTATATTTTTTTGCTTAGCCACCATCCACTGGACTTATGGTCGCGATCGTTCGCGATCGACCGGTTGGCCACCCCAGGAGGCTTACTCTTGATTTCAATTCCGATCAACCGACATTGGTATTGTGTAATTTCGTACTCTTGAGTTGCAACAATAGCGCCCATTGCATCCGTATTGCGTGGATATTTATTGAATTAAATGGTATTGAGTTTGGCTTTATATTCCGTACTCTGAATGTTATTACAACAGTTACGAAAGGGGTTGTATAGTTTTGACATTGAATAATTATTGAGATTTTATTGGATTGAAATTGCATTGACATTGAGATTGGTTTCATGAGTAAGCACCCTGATATAGAACATATTAGTAATACTTGAAGTATAGAAAGCATGGATTCACTCACCGAAAGTCATTCTGCAGTTCCAGAGACATGACATCACTCTCAAATGGGAAGATGTCACACTTGAACTCATGGATGGTCAGGTTGGTCAGCACTCCGAGGTTCGTCAGGTGCTTCTTACAGAGCTCACTCTTTCGGGGCACAAAGAACAGGTGGAACTCCAGAGGTGTTGTTTGTTTTGACCTGTGGGGGATTAAGAAGTTTAACACGTTAAACGCCATGGGGGTCACCGGTGACCAGCGTTAGTGGAGGATTTACCTTCAACAGTTTTTTATTGGCAGTCAAAGTCTTAATTTAAGTTGTATGGAATGTAGCCGATTACAATATTCTTGAGGTACGACATGTGTTGTTACAATACAGTAAACTATAAATAGAAATATTCATTTTAGGAGCAATATTTACAAAATTACTAAACATTTTTGCTGGGTAAATTTTTTGTTCTTAAGCTATTTTAAAACACAAGAATATTATCGACGAACAAGAAGAAATTTAAAATGAATAAATCAAATAATAATTAAGCACTTAAGAATTTATGTGTTGTCTGTATTATATATCTTTAAGTATAATATGGTAGAGAAGAGAATACTATGTGCCATAATCAAATTATGTACATAAAAGACTAAACAAATAAAAAAGTTATATTAAATAAATAGTGATGTTTTTAAGTAATCAAATACCTAATTTTAAGATATATTCAAGAATTAGAAGACAACATTCATTGGAAAGCATTTAATTTAAAATTTGTATCATTAATCCCCGATTATGAAAAATCCAATCCGAAACATTTGTTCATACAAAAGTAGTCTCTAAATATTGGAAATAAGATCTATAACGAAGTGGAGAGTGGAGACCGGTGACCACTTGGGGACATATTCAAGACTATTATAGTATACTAGCAGACCCGACAGACGTCCTGCATATGTATGAAAGGAAAGACCAATAAAATAATAATTATTATTGTTAGTTTAGGATAAATATCCTAAACTGACTGCAGCGCCATCTGCCGGGCTGATTTGTGAATCTAAACCATCCAGGGCGCCACTCAAACACGTACAGAAAAATCATTTAAATCGGTCAAGCCGTTTAGGAGGAGTTCAATGACATACACATGCACAGCAGAATTATATATATAAAGATTAACTCAAGACTTACCTAAGTGATTGAATATAATTAGCTACTAAATCCATCAGATGTAGCTTAGGTCTTGTGATAAACACTATGTGTTTCACAGATATGTTTGGCAGGTTGCCTGGTTTTAGAGGAAACATCTCCGTGACTCCATGGTCCTTTAGCAAGGAGTATTGGGCTACTAGGAGCACAGGACCTGCTAGCCATTCATCCCATATTGTTACCTAGTGGAAACATCAATAGTTTATATGCTAATTATACAAAAATGGACCTTAAGGATAATTAGAAATAAAATACATATTTGTTGTATTACTTTTACTTCACACCCAAATTAAGGTTTTCTGTGTTTTGGTGACTTGAGGTTAGTATGGGACTAACTGTTATTTATGTTTTTTTATTCAGGGAGCACAAATCTGATGTAATATGCATTATTTTTACAAGTTACACTGCAGTTATTCTTATAAGTGCTTTGTTTTGATGAAGATTACAGTCTAATTAGAAGATTTATAAATATTAGGTACTTTCAGATGTAATATTTACATCATTAACATATCAGCCAGGTATCTATTGTTGAACATAGGCCTCCCCCAATCACATCCAAAATTCACATAGGGCTAATTAATTAGAATTAGCTTGATACTAAATACAAAATTAATTAATGGAGCGAGTCAATAGCTTGGATTAAAATAGTATATACATTTTATCATGAGGAAAACTAACGCCTTTTATTGATTGATAATGTGTTCATACTCACTTTTGGGCCTTTGAAAGGCTCTAATAGATTCAGTAACTCAGTACGCATCCGTTCCTGGACTAAAGCTACGTTTAGTCTACCACCAGATAAATGTGTACTCATTTTTGTTTCACGCATTTTGTTGTATTTTTCTTATTCTTCTTCAGGCAGGGGTAGAACTCTGTACTTTGTTGTTATTGTTTTGTCATCTGTCAAGAGTGTCAATGTCAGATAATTGATTGTCAAAGTTGGTTTCGTCCTGAAATTGACAAAGAGCAGATTGAAATAAGAGAGAGAGATAGATAGCTTTTTTGGGAAATCTAAAAAGAGAAGAATATGTGTTATTCCACTGTTATTCTTTTTTTGAAAAATACTTGTATTTTAATGTGATTATAATCAATGCAAAACTTAAGATAATATTCATTCATTTAATTTTCTTTCTGTAGTGCAGTGAAAAAATTATGTGTGTTTTTATCTCTATAACAATGATAATCAATATTGTGTTTTGTTCTGACTACTTCTGACTAAGGAAAAGAACAATGAGAGTGACCAAAATGTAAATAGTTAAAGCATAGCAACATTTTTTTTTGTAGAAAAAGCGGCAAAGTTAAAAATGGTTGCTAATAAAATTAACATTAAAATTCAGTTTCTAGACTCAACAGTTGGTACAAAATAAATCATACAATACGAGCCAACTGTAGCTCTGAATAAACAATTTATTGATTGGAATTTTATCTTCTATTGTATTTTCTCGTCTCAAAACAACCTAATCATGGTCAATTTATTATCAATAATATTACTTATATCTATTGGTAATTGTATTTCCAAGTACCTCTAGGACAATGAGAGACCTAACAAACAAGCTGCCTACAGAAAGAACATTAATTCAATGAAATTGACTTAATACCCCCAATTTCACGATAATGACGCGTAACAGCCCTCATATCTCTGAAATCAGCTGGTAAAACACAGCGAAACTTCGAGGCAGTAGGTATATAGCTATAAAACCTGTAGGTATGTTGATAGGATAGTTACGAGGCTGTTGCTGGCGCGGCTCTTACTCCTTATCATTCGTGTGTAGCGGCTCACTGCGCGCGGCGTCGCATCGATTTTTCCACCAAACAAGCCATTCCCAACCATCACTTGTATTGTAAACACGTTCCATAAACAAGTGACGCTCACAGTCGCGATAATACGAATAATAAATAATATTGTGAAATGTGAGAATTTGGAAGGAAAATAATGCGCCACTCCCCGTGGGCAGAAAACTACAATGGCCGCCCAAAATAAAGGTAGGTACGTTACTCGCAGATTTTTCATGGAAACTAAAATAAATACGTGTGTTTTAATTTGTTTATAATTATTTTTGTGTTCTGTCGATGATTTTGTGTTATTTCGTTTTGTGTTTGTGTTCGTAAATATTTTTGTTCGGCGTTAATTAAAGTGTATCGTAGTTTTGACGTTAGTTACAATGATAACATGAGTGCGTAGGCGAATGTCGGCCATGTGAGTGCTGTTTGCAATCTTGTTTTTATGGCTGGTGGTGATAAGGGCGGGTTTAGAAGGTCTTGGGACTTTTTGTGGCAATTTTTTCGAATAAATTGGGGTCAGACTAGGTGTTTTAGAATTAAGTTTTTTCTTTATAAAATATATTTTTTTAACAACAATTAAAGACTTAATTCTCAATTTAAAAATTACGCGTTATTAAATTATTTTCTCCAAAATTTTCATTTGATATTTTACTTTTTATAAAAATACATGATTTATTAAAATCATCTATACCTACCTTACCTTTTTTATACATTTAATTAATTAAATATACTGGTATAATATATATCCACTACAAAAGAGGTACGTAACCAGTTTATTTGCAGAAAATAGATTGTGCCTATTCGCTTCGTCACTCTGTGGTGACCGTGAAAGTATCCAATCAATGTTTTATTATCATACCTAGCTATACGTACCTACATAGTATAGATACACATATAACGGGGCTTTTGTGCTTGAGTACGTACTTATCTCAATTTACTCTTGGTTGGTATTCTTAACGGTTTGTAGGAATCATTTCAGTAGAGAGAGAAAGTGAAAAGTTTCATCTCTGATAATATATTATGTATTTGTTTTAACTGTCCTTGCTCAAATTTATAAGAACCGAATTATAAAGTTTTTTTTTGGTCATCTTCTTGATGTAGGGGTCGACAATTTATTGTGCTCATATTATTAATTGTCTTTCTTCCAACATGACAAACTGAAAAACCTATCTATCTTTATGTATTACTTATACATATATAAATAGGTCAGGAATATATTACCTATTGGTCTAACTTGTAATCTTTTTCAAGCATTGCACAAAAATGTTATCCGATTTACTTCTTGTTGTAACAAGAACAAAGCTGATCATGATAACGATCTCCTGTAGTAGATCGGATGCAGCCAAATATTTAAAATACTTAATTTAATTAAATAGACTTAAAAAACCTGTACTGCTAAGTAAAGCTGGTGCTACTGGTTAGAGTAGGATTTATGTTTTTCGTGTTTATTAATTTACTAGCTGAACCCGCAACTTCGTCGGCGTTTTTTTAAAATAAAAGTACCTATCCTATGTTACTCTCTAGTACATTAGCTACCTGCCAATAAAAGTCCCATCAAGATTGGTCCAGCCATTCCAGAGATTAGCCAATACAAACATACAGACAGGCAGACAAAAGTTGTAAAAACTGTTATTTTGGTATGTATCGTATGTATATTGAAATGCATGTAGTAAAAAGCTGTTATTTCAGTATTGCAAAAGGACACTTCAATTTTATTTATCTTAATAGATGTATAGATAGTTGTACATATACGCTATGTATTTGTAATATGTGTCTAACTTGCGTGAGACATACTAAATAAATTATTACTACTAGCAGCAGCTAGAGAGTAGCAGCGCGACAACCGCCGCGTCGCGGGTCGCGAAATGCTGCTCATGAATATGAGCTCCTAGCATGGCTTGAAACTAGTCGAGTTCCTCGTCAAATTATTACGTGAGTAAGCCGAAAACATAATAATTTATGTACGCTATGTGGTGAAGGCAGAGAATAAAACACTCTACATGGAAATTATCTATTCGTTTTTCATTTCTCATTTTCCGTTCAGCTCAGTCCGCTCATTTCTCTATCTCAGTTTCATTTTGCAGTGGAATACAAATGACTAACTCTTCGTTGGTGGAAACGCAAACCTATTTCATTAAAAGGAGTCCGTTCCGCCTAACCATTTTCCGCACATCCCTTTCGCAGTGGAAACCGGGCTTTACTCCTTCACTACACGCGGGTACCAGGAGGAGGCCGGGAAACAGCGTTCTCTTGAATTTAAGCTCTTACTTAACCAAGCCGCGATCTCAAATTATACTTCCTTGCAAGTAGTCGAGGAGGCTCAACTGTCTAGTAGCTATAGATTGTCACCTTCAATCAATACGAAAATTGTCACTGGCTGTTGAAGATGATGGCATCGCATCAAGCTTCCTTGTGCGTACTGCTAAGCAGTGGCATTCTTTGCCAGAGTCTGTATTTCCTGAAGGGTACCACCTGGGTATCTTCAAGGCCCGAGTGAATAGGTTGCTTATGGGACGACGTGCTCCATCGTAGACCGCATCATCGCTTACCGCCAGGCGAGATAGTGGGCAAACGTCGGCCTATCAAATATAAAAAAAACCCCAAAAGTATCTACAGTATTATTTACCCAGTCTCATTATTTTCGAAATAAATGCTTTCGTATGTCCACCTCGTTTGTCCCTAGAGACTTAAAAGAAACAGTAAGAAACACCCACATTACCATAATATTTCTGATAGTGATCACATGGGACTCGGAGCTGACTTTGTAGCCTTCATACTGAGTTTATCAGGGTGACCCTTTATTACCGGCCAGTCTTACTACAAAAAAAAACATCAAAATCTTTTCTAAGTAATAAGTAGTGGGGGAGAATGACAGAACTCGTAAGGAATCCTATTGCACAATTTTGTATTTAACAAAAGGAACGACAAAAGGAATTACTTATGTTTTGTATATGAAATTAGCATAATATACACTATCTATAGTTCGTTAGTCTCGCTAAAACTCGAGAACGGCTGAACCGATTTGGCTAATTTTGGTCTTGATTGACTTAAGGAAGTCCAGTGTAGGTTTAAAAGGTGAGAAACAAATTTTAAGGTGGTACGAAGTTTGCCGGGCAGCTATATAATATACGATTAGGCACATAACGTATTACACTTTATAATTCCTTTATAACCAGCTGCTTGCAGGCCTTTTGAATTCTATAATTAATAAGGTACTCATAAACATTACGACGCTTACCTATCACCCGGGATTAATAAATTTGACAGAGAAAATGTGGTTGTAGCCACCTATCATCCATCGCCGTCCACTCGTTCAAGGAAAACCCAGTAAAATGTTGTTATGCTATAATTTTGGGGTAAATTACATTTCGCTTACGATAACATAATCTCGTTTTGAGTACTAATGGAATCCTAAGGAAAATGTTCTGATACGGTCCACGTTATAATAATGTACGTGTTTCTGATGTTTAGGTAAGTGTTTGGAGTTCGTGTTCATAGGATACCTAAGTTTATGTACGTAGAAGATTCATTTTTGTTTATTTAAAGATGTTTGCTCGTTTTATTTAGCCATTTTTCGTCTTGAAAATCAAGGGTCTATACTAGGCATATTGTCGCGGAGAACCTAACGGGTAATCCGGCTCGACGTGCAGGAGAAGGAACGGGGTGGTTTTTAGTCAGTAAGAGTCTGACACTCCCTTCCGGGTCACGGGTAGATGATTTTACCCGCTTAAAAAAATACTAGGCATATTAGACAAAAAAACCAGGTATCAAAACCAAAACAAAGAAAAAAAAAATACTCAGTTGTCTGTGATGAAAGCGCGCCAAACGATTTCCATTTTGGAATTCTTCACAGATTTCATCAAACTAATTTTGCGGGTTACCCTTCGAAAAATTTCGTCACAAATATGTATAGGTACCTAAGTAGGTAGGGCGTAGGGCTTCATGATTGATGTCTTCAGGCAATTTGGTAGGCTTTCTGCAAACTGCGACGCACAAAATTGCGTGGTAGCTTGTCGTTCGCCGGTTCGGGAACAATTAATCTTGGCT